CTTGTATTCCGTTTGTCATTGAACGAGCTTTTAAGTTGTGATAATTAGTTTGCGAAGGCTCTCGGATTTTCTTGTGCCAAAACTTAATTACGTAATAGCATTGTATTCCATCGATGTTCTAGCACTGCACTAATTCGTATTTGGTTTTCTCTTGTTACTAAAACTCCGTGCGTTCTTGCCAAAACGTATACGTGTATTAAAGAGTTTATCTTGTCTTAGAAAATAATATCATAAAATTCTGTAATATTCTACAGGTTTCGTTATGGGGCCATAATGAATAATCTGACATGAGCCTCTGTAACGTCATCACCACACTTACCTCAATTTACTTTTGAATTGGCAAACAGCACAAAGCATGACTCTTAAACAAAAAACTTCACCACCTCAATTAACAGCTAGGAACAAACAAACCGATCTTCATAATCTTTTCAGAGAACTTCGTTCATACACCAGCTTATTGGAACTCAACGCCGGACAAAAATAGAGCGGCACTATCTTTCAGTGCTTTTTAAAATAACATAAGAAAATTAGACCTGCTAAGTCTATCTTGATCACAATGTTTTTTTTAAAAACAACAAGAGCAACAATATTTGTTTTGTATATCTTCTGTTTCATACTTGAAAACTAGCTTGAAAGTGTTTTTCACTCATAGCTAGGTTTATTTACACAATACACCAGTATGTGTGGATCGCGGCATGTACGTTATTCCCTCACAGAAAAGTAAAATTAGCCTCAAGGGTGGTAAACACATTCGAACCTCTTCCGGCACGATGCAAAGCTACACGGGTGTCTCAATAACTAAGACCAAAGTTCTAAGACCTCGAAAACTTATCGATGAACTGTCTTTGACTCTGTTTGACCATCTGATTCCAACAAGGAGAGCTGACCTCAAGTACCCTCCAGTTCATCAAAACGCAAAGTTTTCGAGGTTTTAAATCTTAGGTCCTACTTGGGTGATTATAGTAACTGCGCTAAAAAGAACAAAACTATTTAGCTGAAAGACCAATCGATGTCTAGTTAACATGGTGCCTGAAAGAGAATAAAAGATAACTAAGTAGAAAATAACACATTAATTTCATACCAGCAGGCTGATAAGTCAGCAATATTTATTGGTAAAAATCTTACAAAGCTTCATTCATTCATCATGATAATTCGGCCCACCCTGTTCCCTTATATTCGTGGCTGTCCATGGCCGGTCAACGCGGCGTTTTATCCTGGCCAAGAGACTTATTCGAGACGGTCCTTTCAAGATTTCTGAGCATAGGGCTCATCCTTCGCAAATGTAAATTGTTAGCGGCCTGGCAATCTATCACGAAAAGATTTCCAACCTCCCCTTTACGAGTTACATTTATACAATAAAAAAAATTAAATCTTTCTGTGACAGTTTTTTTTATCTAGTCTTTTTTAGTAATTGTTTATTGATCAGTGTCGTCGAAGCTTTATTTCTTCTTTTCAACATGATTATTTCAAAGAGTATCGTTGTGATATTGTATTTATTTAATTTCAGTGGTCCCAGGATGGAATCAGTGGATCTTACGCTGTGTGCGATCTTTCGGAAACGAGAACTAATCATACAAACAGCTGGCTGATCTCAGAGTATGTTGACCTACAGGGAGCAAACGAAGTTCGACTCGGGCTTACATTCATGGTTGGAAAGTGTCCGGCTGAACTTAACTTTTGCAAAGAGAGCTTCAGCGTTTACGCGCTTCAAACGGAAGGGCCTTTTGCAAGTGGCGTAACTAAGCGCGATATTGAATCCGGTAATTTCACATTTGTGGAAACCGTCAATGCCACCAATCTTTGGACGCAACAGGATCCTTCCCAAGTCAATCAAGTTAATTTGACTTTAGCTGTTAATAGTTTCGGCATCTACTTTGGGTTTCGAGACACAGGCGCCTGCCTATCGCTTACATCTGTTACTTTGTCATACTTATACTGTCCAACTGTTGTCAATCAGGGAGTTGTCTTCCAAAAGATTGCTGCACCTTCGTCGAGCCGGCAAAACACTACTGTCAAAGGCAACTGTTCTGAAAAGGCATCGCCATATCCCAGCAACAGCACACTCTCTCTTACGTGTCTTAGTTCTGGTCAATGGATGATGGACAGTCAGGTCACATGTCAATGTTCAGTTGGATATGAATTAGTGGGAGACAAGTGTGTCGGTAAGAGGGACTTTTGTTTTCAAATACGCCCTTCTTTGCACATCCACGTTTTCCTCTGACAATTTAAATTAATTTTCTCAGACATCGAAATTGGTCTAGCAGTGTACCTATACAAGTTCCGATATTCATCTGTTACAACCCCCTATGTAGTGTTCTAGAAAGATTTAGCTTTATTTTCTTTGTGCACCCTTCACAACCGTGCTTGTCTTAAAAGTCCTTGGAAAATTTACTGTTGGTTCTCCTTACGCGATTAAGTAACAACTAATTAATCTTGAATGCAAAGCAAACAGTTTTCGACCCTATCATTCGCAATTTGTCTTAATCTTCTTTATCACCAGCCATCCGCTGTACTCCTTGTTCATTTTTTTTTGCTTTTTATTACCTCTTGTGCGTTTCTCTTTTTTCCCGAACTCATAATCGAAAACTATTTCAAGTCTATGTAGTTTGTTCTGCCTAAAAACTTACCCAAAATAATTATAGCAACGCAGCTCCTTCCAAGTCTATTTGGTTCTAACGACCTCAAAATTCAGCTGTCAATTTATTTCTTTCTGAATTTTATTTGTAAATGTGCTTTTCAGGATGCCAGACAGGCCGATATAAAGCGTCAATTGGTAATGGCTTTTGTGCTGCATGTCCTGCTAACAGTGCACCTGATCCTAATCATAGTTCTTGCATCTGCAATAATGGATTTTACAGGGCCCCTGAGGATGCTGTGAGTGATGACTGCACAGGTAGGAATGTGCTAATTGTAGACGGTTTCTTACTGGTAAGGATTGCTTGACTCTGTTGTTGACTTGCACCCAGATTAATTTTTGAAACGTCAGTTCCAGATTTTTTCGGTAGATCCTACAAAATATCTTCTGTTCATCATCCCGGCTATCCGCAAAACCAACCGATTAAAGAATCATCCCTGCATTTGAAACTAACGTTGCATGAAAAGAATTAAGTAAAAGAAAACAGGCAGCGTTCTGACATACATATCATAAATCATCATACTGATACAACACACTTTTGATTTGTTTAGAAAGTAATATAACTGTATTTATGTTATTAGCCCCTCCTTCAGAGCCCAAAGATATCAACATCACAGAACTTACAGACAGCATTGTGGTGGTTGCATGGTCTCCGCCTGCAGACAACGGAGGGCGTAATGACGTTAAATATGACGTTCAATGTACTACTTGCTCAAACTCTGGTTCATGTTCAAAATATTGCAACGGTGCACAGTTCTGGCCTGGTTCTTTAGACCTAACCTCGCTCCAAGTGACGATAACTGGTCTCAACTCAGATACGGTCTACAATATATCTGTGATTTCCAAAAATGGCGTCAGTAGTCAGGCAGGAATACAATCTCTTCAACGATTGCACAAGACTTTCTCTATAAGAAAGAATGCAGAAACAACTACTAGTCCCGGAACAACCACCGCCGTGATGGAGAATTTTACGACGACGGAAAGTACGAAACGTAACAGTTTTTGCTATACAAGAAAACTATATGCGCATTTCCCATCCCCCTTTTCCTGCACCCTATACCATTTTTCCTTATAATAAATTACAGCTTCAATCCTTTTACTCCTAGGATCTCATTAGTAATTCTTCTTACTTTCTGCCATACAGTTCTTATTATGTTGGTTTGGAGAATTTGGTATTGGCCGGATCAACCAATAATCCCCTAATTGATATTTTCTTTATTCTCATCATTTGCCTGCCTGATATTTTATTGATCTTGTAAGGAGAAATCCTATCTTGGTCACTTATTAGAGTTTATGGTTTAATCATGTGAACGACTTTCCGAGCAACCATCAAACACTCAACGTCTCCATTAACGCGATTCGGCTGCACCTGCTAAAGATTGTCACGAGACTTAAACAAAAGGGCTCCTTTAATTGAAGTTGGTATCTGCGGATGAATAGAAAATGTTATTCAATTTTAAGAATTCAATTGTTACAAACTGACAGTTTTTTCTCGTTTACTTTTACACAAACAGCACGTCCGGTTTTAGGCACTGCAGGCTCTCAAGTATCTACCGCTATCGGCATTTCTGTGACTGTCACCTTTCTCGTCTGTTTCATAATAGCAGTCGTGGTTTTCTTCTTCCTGATGAAAATTTTGAGAAAAAGACTTTTCGACAAGGAAAGTGTTCAGAGTTCCTCAACCCAGCTGACTGAGTTCTCGAGGAGTGAAACCCCATCATCGAATATGCAGTCGGTTGTTACTTCAGAAGATCCTAAGGAGAACGATAATAGCCCGGAAACCTCGCAGCCTGCAGATAAGGAAAAAGTTAGTCGCAATTTCACAGTTCCACTTATCAAAATCAAAGACTTCGAGTCTAATTCGAGGCCGAATTCTGCTGGAAGCAGTCACTCCAGTGTGCCCATTCTGCCCATTCTGCCCCAAAGAAAAAATAGGATTCTTCCCCATATTGACTGGACGCCTCCACGGTCCATAACGCCCATGTTGCTCCCAAGGAGAAAGGACTCACTACAGATGGATCTTGATGACAGCCTAAGGAAGGGGGACTCATTACAAGTGGATCCTAATGACAGCCCAAGGAAGTCCCCGGAGGGTTCTGAACGTGCCAAAATCGAGGTAGAACGGAGTGCGTCCGTGAACAGCTGGTTTCCAGCAGAAGAAGTACAAGTTAATGTCTGAGATATCCATCGTCCTGTACTGTCCTATGTCCTGTGGATTCAAATCAAATTGCTAACAATAGAGTCCAATCGGCTGTTTTGTTTTTCAAAAATTGTTTGGCTGGACCGTTTAATCGGTAAATGAGGAAGATAAATTCTGAAAGCTGAAAGAGCTGGTTCTGGCCTAAGTAACCACGTCTTCTATGATAACACTACTCAGTTTTCATGCTATCAAGCAGACTATTCACTGATGCGGGGAAGTCGTTTTGACTGCCAAATGTTGTAATGACAGTGCAAGAGTAATACTTTTAAGTTCAGTGAAAGCTCGCGAGACAAGACAACTATCATATGCGTCCTTTAAAAAGCTGAAATACTAGCTGTTTTATTTGCACTAAACCTATATCAAAATTGTCAATATCCATCGCTGGAAATCATCAATGAAGAGTGTAGTTTACGTACAATAAGCATACCGCCTACGTTATTGTTTTTCTTATAAATAAGAAAGAAGACCTGAGATGCTGCATTTGTACAATGGCAGGCAGCTCACTCGGGAAGTTGGCAGGACCCTTCAGGGGTCAAGTGTATTTACATAAGTTCTTAATGAACAGTTTGAATGGTACACGAGAATTAATGAAACGCCCCAACGTTCATAGTACAGCAGTGTGATGTCCCCTGCATACGCTTCTGGTCCTGGCCATCCTCGATCCAACAATACTCTTTGAATTAAACTTTTGCATCATGAATGCAGTTCCATAACAAATAATGAATTATTTGTAATATATTTTGCAGTCGCAAACAGGAATTGTTGAACGGGCGTAAACCGAAAACTTAGAAAGTTTTCATGTAAGCTTATCTGGCGGAGACAGTTTCAGAAGAATCTCATTCTAAGCAGAAATCCTTCAGCTGCAACTATTTTTATAAATGAAAGTTCTTGGTCACGTCCACGACAAACAAGAAACTTAAAGATATTTATTTGGTGCGTGTAGTATTTAACTAATTTGCAGGCCTTTATCAACTGCCTCTCTTGATGGAAAGAATCAATTTTAAAAGACAACCCCTTCGATTCGTTAGACGAGTTTATGTCGCTGAGAACGAGAGGGCTTCATGATAATTTGGTTTCATCAACTGAGTTGATTGTGTAAAGCAGCTTCCGTGGAGAGTTTCTACAGCTGACGTGAAAGCGTCAGTCCTTCATCCTCATCTCTGACGATGAGCTAAAGCTCAAAATGTCAACTTTAGAAACTCTCTACGGTGGCCAATTTACACAATCAACTCAGTTGATAAACCCCAAATTGTCTTGTGATGCTACCCATTGCCGCACCACCAGAGTTTCTCTAGTAGCTTCCCCCCCGACCCCATGTAGATAATTATCCTTAAAGCAAATCTTGGGCTCAGTCTTTCATTCTTTGCTACCAGTCTCCCGCACTGATCCTCAGTCCTCTCTATAAATTAGGAGCATCTCCTTATCCTCATTGGCTTTTATTGTCGTGTGACTAAAAATAAATTAGCTAAACAGAAGTTTCGCGGCACTAATGATTTGATTTTCGCACGTTACTTTTAACTAACGTACCTGACTGTGCTGAATAAGGTTCTGATTGAAGTCTGTGCACACTTGTGTGCCATTCTCGAATTCTTCCTTGTTCAGGGAGCGTGCATATTTTTTAATTTTTTTGAAAAGAGACTGTGTGGTAAATCGAAATTCCGTCGTCAAAAGACTCAGCGCAGAAGCATTTCTGCTAATAAGGTAATAAATATGTGGCATGGCACTTGATAGAACTTCATCGCCCTGCAATGTTATCTCGAAGGCAAAGAAGTCCCGTTGTTTTCATAATTTTTGTTATTGTTGGATGTTACAGCTGGATGCCTAGGACATCCATTTATAGCAGTTTTGCTAAAGGATCTACCCTGGTAAAATTTGCTGTTATTATTATCATTATGTTACTAAAATCTGGAACGAGGAACTGGTAAAATAGGGATTGGAAATCTTGGACTGAGCGTACAGCGGTATTCCGCATAAGTACGGTCAAAATGGCGTACGAGCTTCAACAAGGGACGTCAAATGGTAAGCTTCATTGTAGCTTACTGTAGATACGCTCAAATAGAAGATAGAAGGTTGTCGTGTGCAACCCTTTTTTAGGCGTTGTCGAAGTAATTTTGTTCAGGGTCTCTGCCGTTAAATTTGTGTTTCGATTGCAAATCTGCATCTTTTTTTTTTGTATTTAACTGTCTTTGCCAGCATATTTCACAACATACCAAAATATAAGTGACAACAGCATGTCACTCAGTAAGAATTCACCAAAGAAGAATTCATGTAAATTCATTCTTGTTTCACCGACGGCTGGGATAAAGAGGAAAATATACAAACAAGGGAACAGATTGGATATGCATTCTAAACACTGTATTATAAGATTGTATGAAGTTATTCATGTAAGAGAACTTTTAAGAAGTGCTTGAGTTACAAAGAGTTTTAAAGGAAAACTCTCATAAGGCCACAATATTAAAAAAATAATTGTAGAACTGCTTAAATAACACTTCTAGAGGTTTTCAAACTTTGACAGTTCTGAAATCCTGAAGATTACAGATCACCTATAACTGTTGCAAAGTTCAGCTCTGTTTGGAAGCCCAGTGGGTTGTGAATTATGGATTTTATTTATACCTGACATGAGAAATTGTTTTATAGGGACAAGAGTAATTTGCTGAACAGCTGAGAACTGGGTCATTTGTATTAATATTTTTCAAGGACTGATCGCCAAACTTTTAAAAGGACTGAGACCATGATTCATGGAAGCTGATTTTTGATGATTGATGGTAATAGGACTGAGTGGAGTACAATTCAGGAAGTAAATGGGTAAGTAAAATTACATGTAATTTCAAATTAGTCAGTTGCACATTTGTGTGCACTTCTGAAATTTTTAGTTCTTGCAATAGCCCTGAATTGTTTGATTGGAAATCCTGATCCTAATTGGCATTGGTGGGGTACTGTTATTAAATTTCATGGGCCATTAGCATCTATTTCTTAATTTTTATTTGCTGATTATCAGTTGGATTTGACCTGTTTAGTTTCATGCATCATGTACATTGTAGTCAGACAGGCCATATTGGGTGGTTTGATGCAGCACAAGCCAAATGTTGTCACATTTGGCCTGTGCAGCATCAGCGTTAGACTTAGTCTGTCAATAACCAATTAGAATGAACCATTTTGTGCTTGATACAACAAAGATTGTTGTAAACAAAATTATGCCGCTGCTTATACTTGTAAATAGTAGAGAAATAAAAAAGGTTAGTCTGGGACTATATACCTATCAGTTGTTAGTGATTAATTGACAGTCAGGTGAAATTAGTGACTAACTTAGTGGCTGTTGATTTATTGATTGATTGATAATTTCATACGTGTTTGATGCATAAATGTAATTTTATTGGATACATGAATACAAGACAATAGACTGGCTGAATAGCTCAGTGGCTGGCTAATTAGGTGCTTGACAGCCTGATGGACAGACTGGTTAATTGAATGATTTATCAAACCAGCTGATTCCCTGATTGACTGAACAAAAAAACCACGTGATCCCCCAAAATCCCCGTCCCCTTCCTCCCCCCTCCGGGATTAAATATGGGGCCGGTCATTATTTACCGCCTGGGTGGGACGGGGATTTTGGAGGATCACGTGGAAAAAACACACGCTATCTTCAGTTTGTTCAGAGCTCCTCTGTTCTGATGGTCGACACCAGCCCCACCAGGAACGTTAATTTGAAGGGTGTGGGAGAAATAATTGCATATCAGCGTGGAGGAAGACTTAATAAAATAAATATAGATGCATCGCGTACCTGTAACAATGAAAACACATGTAGCTATTTGAAAAGGAATAGTTTAACAAGAGGACTAGGCTGTATATTTACATGTACATCGCCCTGGTGATATTCAAAAATTCATTTCAGAGTAATACACTAGTTAGCACTTTGATTGTTTTGGGCCGGAGTCGAAATTTAGTGTAATCACATTCGTTTATTCAAATCTGCCTAATCCCCCTTTACCTCGCGGTCTTAAAATGACAAAATACATTAATCAGCGGAAACTCTTAACAAGCCGTCGGCTCAGTGACGTTTCGAATTGCGGAGGTTATTTCAACACAAAAATTTCACCTCTCAACGTTGGATATCTGACATATCTTATTGGATAAAACCGAACATATCTTGCTTTAATGGAAGAAGTGAGATAATTCTTCACGATGCTGTTTCGGTCTGCATTTCCTGGAAATACCTGCCAAAGAAGAGAAAATTGTGGAGCTTACAACATACTTGAAAAAAGCAGACTCTGATGAATACCATAGTTCTAAATGAAGCAGGAGCAAATAGTTCATAGGCCAAACAGAAATTTGGTAGCTAACGAACACGCCGTGTAGGCTCCAAACTACTTACAGGGAACTGCTAATGCATCATCAAAATATTGCCTAATGGTCATCCTATGGAAGCTGAGGAAATAGAAGAGATAAGCAATCCATACTCAGGTTTAGGCAGCGATTAAAAGATTTAGACAAATCAAATTGTTAAATTCGTCCAGCAAGATTGGTTCGTTTCGCTCTGATCACCTAGACAGCTACCGCAAAATAGCTTATACAGATCCTATAGGAATATAGAAATTAGACAATTTAGAATTTGCTCACTTTATCAATGTTATTTTCCGCGTAAGTTTTCCAAATCACTCCATGTATTTTGTAACCGGTAGTCCAGTCAATATATCTTCCACTCCCTTGAGTCGCCAGAGCACAGACATATCGCACTTCACCCATATCAACCTGAAGATAGTGTGAACTGTTAATTGTAGTCTTTGGGGTCTAACCTTTACCACCCCTCTGTCCATTTTGCCGGCCGTAGGACGGTCTAAAACCCATGTTGAACATTGTACTTGCAGTCATTCTACTACTATCAGGGATAATGTTACTGTCCTCTACGCCTACAGCTTCACATGCTGGTCAAGAAAATTGGAAACATTCTTTATTGAAATCAAAATGACCTAGATAATTGTCTTTATCTCTGTATCAACGAAAATGCATCATAGAAAAAAAATCACCTATGTTTGTGGAAGGAAACAGGCTCAGTACACTTGAGTTTAAGAACCAACGGTTTCATCTTTACCCAAAGCAATAAACTACACAATCAATTTTGTGCAAACAACTGACCATTGTAATCCTCCTTATTAAACCTAGGTGCTTTTGGTGAAAACAATTGAAAAAAGAAGAAAAGTCTGCGTGCGCTGTTGTCGTGCAATTCGCCGAGTAAATTGTTCTTTTTTTATGGGAACGTATAATCGATGTCTATTTTCTTTCTCAAATTTTGCCATAGTTTTGATTAATTGGTGACAGGACAAGTGATGACGAAATCGGACTAGCGCTTCGCGGTCATCCGATTTTGTCAATGACCCTTATGATAACAGACCGAATCAGACTACACTTCATCATATTACCATTATTGATTATCACAGAGGGAATTATTACTCAAAGCAAATGGGTCAAAGGATGGGAATTTATTTCTTTAATCTTGCGGAACATCCGAGAAAAGCACATATTAAAAAAAAGTTAGAAACGTACTACATTTCCTAAACTATCGTCGTGATATCATTGTCAAGAGACGGAAAACAAAAGCAGTTGTATCACTCTGTTACTGGCAAACATCTGACAAATGAACACCAAATTGATATTATTGATTTTGATGAGCACATCTCACTAAGTCCTAAGAAAGGTCAGGGAAAGTTGGCCTTTCTCATTCATCAAACGTCATCAGTCTCGCGAGTAAACAGAAACTCAGTACCAACAGACTACTGTGGCAAGAGTATTTTCTTTTCCCTCTAACTTATGTTTGATCACCCGGACCTATCAAGGACTACTTGACACTTCATCATTACTCTTGAAACTACTTAACCCTGACACGCTGCTAGCACAGATATCAACACCATTTTTCATTTACCACTTTTCTTCTGAAAAATTATATCAAGAGCTGTGACTTCTATCACGGCCACAATCACAGTTATTACCACCGTCACCGTCAGAATCACTATCATGATCATTTTCATCGTCACTATTTTAAAATGTTATCATAAATCTTGCTATCATCATGATTACCTCAAGTATTAAGAAAAGAATCACAGGGAATACTTCCTTTTGTCACAAGGAGTATGTTCAGCCCTGTCTTTATGCAACTTATTACAGAGTCTGTAAGACGCCAGTGTGAACGCAAAAGACTCACAAAACTCCATAAATACTTGCAGACCTCCTTTAGAGTTTAACTACTTACATGATACCGAGAGCTGCATTGCAGAAAATGCCTTAAAAATTCCCGCTGATGACGCTACGCAGGTAAACTTTCCCGAGTCTTCATGCTTTGTATTCCAGATATGAAGTGTTCCATCCTCATCGACCTTCGATCTTCCAAATGGTAGCTCACTATTTTCTTTAGCCCACGTCACTTTTGGTTTGGGGTCACCATTGGCCTGGCAAGAGACTGAAACGTTGCGGTGCTTGAGTACGACTAGATCTGAAGGAGGACGCGCACTAAATTTGGGCAGTTGTACAACGCTAAGATGCGTAACGGCTGAGGCCTGCCCTAATTGATTTGATGCCATACATTTATATAAGCCAGAATCTTTATTCTGGGAATTCAGTAACGACAGTTGTCCACCTTTTAGAACAGCTCTGCCTTGCTCTATTTTACCGTACACTTTAGACCACGTGATCACCGCTGAAGGGAAGCTAGTCATATGGCATTCTGGCAGCGTGATATTTTTTCCCTTTTCGACGTAAGATGGGCCAAACGAAAGAGAAACCTTGGGCTGGCCTAAAGAATAATAAAAGAGGAAGAAACAACAGGGTTCTAGAGACAGAATTATTAAACAGCGGAGTTTTTTAAATACTCCGTGTAACTCGGTTAAGTTTTCCCGTTTGTAAAAGAGAAGCTCTCTCTAAACAGACAGAAGGAAACATATGTTAGTCTCTTGGGATTAAGGAACCCCAGGATGAAAATTTTTACCAAGTTTTGAGAGAAAAACGACAAAGTCTGACCATATGTATGTGACCGTATATGTATGTGGATCATACTGCCTACTTTTTTCTCTCGTGCCAGAATACTTCGAAGAGGAGCCTACTCCAGTGATACTGTGTAATCAAGGTTAAAAGCTACCCCCTTCCCCTCTTCCTCTTTAACCTCCACAGCCCTCAAGCAAGAGAAACCCAAAGCGCCTAACGAAAGTGTTAAATCCCATGTTTTATAAAGGAGAAAACAGCATTTCTTATGAACGTTTTCAATTAGGCCTGCACGCCGAAAGTACTCTGACTCGAAGACGTGCTTATGACTTAAGGGAGGAAATTAGCTGAAATTTGCTTTGAAATTTTCTTTAAAAGCAAAACAATTTAAACGACGTCAGCAAAAATGATTAGTACACAACAAAAACAACAAGAAAAATACACAGCGCGAGATATCTGAAGCATGAGGTCATGAGTTGAAAAACAGGAAGTCACGTAGTCTGACTCACATAAACATTTTCTGGTCATTTTTGTTTTGAAGTAATAATAATTTTGCTTTGCGAAAACTGGAGCGAAACGGGAAGCCACCTGGTACCTCTTCGGCTGCTCGGAGGTCAATAGTACTTGGCTAAGCCGAGAGGGCTAAGCAGTGCGTGCTAAAACACTTTTCACTTACGTGGTCGAAAGTAGGTCATATCTTACCAGGCCCAGCAGAACTTGAAAAAACATAGTCATCCCGGGGGAAATTTTAATTACTTGGCGGAAACAGTTATGATATGCCAACTTACTAAGAGTTTATTTGACATTTCAGAAGGAAACTTCTTCAAGTTTATTGTTTTCAGTGATAAGGAATTAAATTTTCTATCACATGTCTGAACTCTTAAAAGATAAGCAAAGTAAAACAAAGGGAAACAAATGTTGTGAAGTTACTCAAAGCGTGAGATATATCCTTAGTATTTTCTTACATTCAAAAAAGAATACATTTAATCTACGTGTAGCCGTCCCTCCCTCCCCCCAAGGAGAAACGGAAGGGGTTCTCCTTGAGAAGAAGGGTACAGCCACACGAACGCTTCATTGCATTCAACGATTTTACAAGAAAAAAATTCCTCTTAGAACAAGCTTGCCTAAAATTCAAGGAAATAAAGGTAACCAAGGAAAAAAGGAGTTAGATTTGCTTCTGATTTTTCTTCATTCTTCTCAAACTGTTATAGAATCATAACTTGTTTTGTGAATCCAACCAACCATGGATAAACTACTTTAATTGTAAAATTCAAAGTTTGTCGTTGGTGTGGGAAAAGCAGTTGCAGTCACGCTGTAACTCTTTGGCTGAGCAATCCCCTCAGTGTCACTTTATTGTAATGTATATACTTCAACCCTCATACAGGTCCATATGACGGCTGTGACTGGATGAAACCGGACAAATCTAGCCTTTACTGGTGGACCAAACGAGACGGTTGTTTTGTAACCCTGATAACGTATCTCTTGCTTCACAACCTGCCGATAAAAAGAGACTTAAAGGTCAAAATTGGTTCCTGAGAATAACTCCTTAAGGGAAAGATAAATACGTATAGACGAACCTCCATTCAGTGGACACTATTACGACCAGGGAAAGTGTCGTCACAATAAAGATGGCCCCTCAATGAATCAACAGATACAAAGGCTATGAATAAGGAACCCTCATTATTTATCACCTGGGGTGGAAAGGGTGGGAAGATTTCGTTTGTGTCATAATTAAACTTACATGATCCCCTAAAACCTCGGTAGAAATATAGCAAACCCCCATCAGTCAATGAAACAAAAGAACACTCGTTTTTCCATATGTTAAACCGGTCCCTAAGAACATCTTTTCCGTTAGGACCAAAATTTATCCTCCTTTGAATGGGATTGTCCCCTTTTAAGCAATTCATTACTTTGCTTTCAAGTTAACAAATTGTTCTGTTTATGTTCCTTCATCTAAATGCTCACAAGTCCGCATTGTACTACCCCATTCAATCCATGATTGAAAGAAAACATTTTTTTTTTCTTTAGTTTAAACCATTGTTTGTTCTAATTTAGTCTATTTATCAGAATTACTTGAATCCTATGGAAAATTTAGTTTAACGGTTCTCTATTTATGACTCATGGTTTTCATTCAGTTAAAAACGGTTGAACTAAACATGTTCAGCTGGTGTGAATGGGGTATTAGACATTTTGCGATGACTTAGCTTTTCAGACGTATCCGGACAAATAAAGCTTTGTTGATTACAGGAAAGTAGTGTTTAATAGTGAAAGAACGATAGAAAATTATCAGAAATAGACGCAAAACATCTGTCAACGAAAAAGTTTCTAAAAAAACGAAAAAAACCTAGAGATCTTGGTAGTGTGACGTTCAAAGACAAGTCACAGAGAGTACATAAAGCAAGAAGACAAAAAAAACAACCTTTCTTAATCTCTACAGGTTACATTTCGATTATGCAACTTACCTTTTCAACGTTATCTTCCATGTACACATTCCAAGTGACACCATCAAGTGAGAAATACAGCTTGTAAGTAGACACGATGTCTCGAGTAAACCGTCCAGCTTTTCCTTGTGACTTCGTAGCACAGACAGACTGAACGCTTCCAAGATCAACTTGAAGATAATCTGTGCTGGTGTCTCTGTTCTTTGAGCACCAGCCTCCTCCTCCGATAGATTTATCCAGCCGGCCGTAGTACGGTAAATATTGGGGGCCCCTAACTGAGCTTGCTGTCATACGCGAGTCTGGTATCTTATTTCTGTCTGCCACACCAACAGGGGCACACACTGAGGAGAATTGTAGAACAAGCATAAGCTTACACTAGGAATGAGACAGTTTTTTGTGCTAGAGTTTCAAGTAAAAGAATCCTACCCATAATTACAACATAATGGCACTGTCCACTCTCCACCTTAAAAATTTTAAGAAACAGAAATCGAAGTTTTTCGAAAACAACGTCACTCCTCTTTGGATGTTTGGTGAGATATTAGGCGCACGCTTAAGAATACACTCAAACCTCTCCTCAGCCGGTAATCATTATAGTGCGAACAGTCGACGTTCTATGCATTTTCTCGAGTACATTGAAAACTTTTGTTGCGTTCTAATTTTTCGAAGTTACTGGACAGAGTGCTGGCCACATCGTTTGGCCTTAGTTTGCGCGTCCTTTAAAGCACCGTGACGTTAATACATAGCTCATTCATAAAACACTGACTGGTGGAAAAACGGAGATTTTTTCGAAGGTTCTCTCGTTACCCTGATGAATTTTTTGGCTTAAACATCATTACCTTTAGTGACGGTAATTTCCACAGCAAACATGGCCTTGACTTTGTTCTCGTTCCACATTCCAAGGCAAACATATCTCCCCGAGTCTTCTACTTTTGGGTTCCGAATCTCTAGATCATAACCACGATATTTGGCTCGTTCATAAGGAATCCGTCCGTTTATTTTCGTCCACATATATGTTGGAAATGGAGCAAATATTGCTCCTTTCCAATCACAACCGACCGAGATGGTTTTATCTGTTCCAGTTCTGATGTACTTTGGCGTTGGGTTCCCATACTCTCCCATAGTATTCAAATTCATAAACAGTAACTGAGTAGCCTTCATCTCCTTTCCTAAGACATTTGCGGCTTCACAGGTGTACCAGCCTTTGTCGCTACTCTTCGCATTTATGATGGATAAGTCTCCATCTTTTGAAATAGCTCTGGATTGTGGTAGTACACCGTTCCTTTTAGACCAAGTAATTACAGCTGGAGGGACGCTGTTCACCCGGCATTTTGGGAGGGTAACGTTGCCTCCTATCGCTACAAATGACGGACCAGGTAGGAGAGTAACGGTGGGCCTTACTGCAAGGAAGCAGAAAAAAAACAGTCACTCAAAGAGGCAGAAGAGATAAAAAATACACAAGAAAAATGGACTTAGCAGTACACATTACGAGTTACCTAGTACCCATTACTTATAATCAAATGGACGATAAATTTTGTGGGAGGAGGAAAGCCAGACGAGGATTACCAACATGTCACGCTAGCATCGGAAATCGGACTCAGGCCATCGCATTAAAGGGTGAAAGCACTCAGCGCTGTGTCAATCCTGCTTTCCACTGAGAAATAAGATATCCCATTAACGTTTTCCTGAACGCATTTTTAGCATAACAGCCTATTTAAAGGTAGCGTTTGCTTGAGACTTCTGATCATCCTTATTTTGAGTTGAACCCTTTACTCCTTAACTTCTCCATACCTTTCTCTATGCATTTCCTTTGGTACTGACAAGGAGAATTTGCTTAGCGATCAAAGCTTTGCAATTCTTAGGCTGGCGACCACTTCCTTCATTCTCGTGATCTTAATGAATGATTCAGCAGTATAAAAGTAAGGAGAAATTAGATGTTGGACTTAGAGTCCAGCGTAAGCTAAAATGAACAACTTACTATGTACTACAAGAGTTGCTGTTTGTTCATCTTCCCCCAGCAGATTTTTGGCTCTACAAGTGTATTTGCCAGAGTCCTTTTGACCAGCATTCGCAATCTTCATCCGGCCTTCTGACGTCACTGTAGTCCGTTGGCTAGGTAACACGCCATTGACTCTGGACCAAGATATTAGCGGAGGGGGATTTCCGGTGACGAAACAAACCAGAGAGGCAGTGTTTCCGTCTTTAACGGTGATCTCTGGCGGGCTAATTGTTACTTTTGGTGCAGAAAGCGATTCGCCTGGTTCTCCTTTCATACCTTGGAACCCCGGGGGCCCACGTTCTCCCTTAACCCCTGGGAGGCCCGGTTCACCCATGTCCCCTTTAAATCCCTTAGGACCTGGGAATCCAGCAAAACCTTTGAATCCTCTCATTCCTCTTATTCCAGGTGGACCCATGATTCCTGGTTCGCCTGGTGGTCCCGGTGGTCCCGGCGGTCCTTGCGAGCTTGCGCAAGAGTCGAGGCTGTTTTGTATCATCGCTTGCAAGCCAGTGGTGATTTGTTTCATAGCTTCTTCTAAGTAGGCTGAGAAGTTGAAAGGTGAACCATTCCCGAATATATCTGTATAATTGAAAGGTGAACCATTTTCGAACTGGTCGTCGCCCTTGTCGGGCAGCGGAGAAAGGTCTGGTATATTCCGTTTGTTTCTGTTGAATATCTGTTCAATGCTTGGTTTCTCCTTCTCGGAAATTTCGGCTCCTTCGTCTGAGGAAAAAAATCATGCATAAAAGATTCAAATGATAAATAAAAGTGAAAGTTTGTCAATCCGCATAATCGACAGAGTTGTGAGTGTATATTTACAAATGTCATCTTTGTCGAGCGTGTCATTAGCATGGGCGTTTGTGTCATCTATGTGTTTTTTTCCCCACCGAGTGAACATTTTGTAGCCTCCCTCAAGTCAGGGGTAATCAACCACACTTTCAAATATTATTTATCGTTTCCTACAACAAACGCTACAATTTCCCTTTCGGATGTTCCGTGGGTTTGTGGATTTTCCGTTTGGGTAAAAAAAAGTCACCTTTAAATTCAAACTAAAACTCTCTCAATGATCTTTCTAAAACATGTTAAACTATCTTGCATTCTTGGATTGCAAATAAGCCCAATCTCTGCTCTATGATGCCTAGATACCCTTTATTTCAAAAATTTAATCCGCTACGGAATGCAGTGTGTAAATATCAATATAATTCAATAAAGACATTTGGCCATGTACGAGCAATCCATAAGTCTTTCGGGAAAAAATTCTGCTGACTGAGAGGAACTACATTAAGTCCATTGCTTCTTGACTCTCGCTTTCTTGATTTTATGTACAGAACTACAAACATATTTCTATCCATGGATACCACAGACATACAGGCTGAATGCTATTTTTGCACACTTAACTAAGATTGCTAAGTTATTTTGAGACTTTTTTTGAAAAAAAACAAAATATGAATCCGGCTGCAATGGACGAATTTTGTGTGTGATTCTACGCCTATAAAAAAGGGGCTCGAGATATTTCCATAGCGGAGCTTTATGTCTCGAATACGAGTAGCTGAGTTGTGCGATCCCAAGATGGGCAGTCTTCAGTGAAATTTTTGTTAAATATACACCAAGGATAAAACGGGCCATGATCATTCAGGATATTACTCGAGAGAGCGTTGATAAATTGATGTCATTAACAATGTCAGTTAAACAGGAAACAAATCAAGACTCGGGACTCCGAGAACTGGAAATTTCTGACTAAGGTTGAGCCAGACCCATAGTTTGAACAGACGGTTCGCCTACTTAGAGAGGTTACAAATACACTTACTAGACTTATATCCATTTCACGAAGACAACGGGAAAGAAATAAAAGAGATTTTTCAACATCACTGTACCTTTAATGTAAGTCTTCATTTCAAATTTCAGAAGAGCAATGGCTTCCTCAACAGCTTCCAACCTCTGGTCTTGATCATCAAACTTCAACTCGACCCTGACGAATCCCGCGGAGTAGAGAACTAAACAAACAACTGACAGCACTAAGCCTGGGCTGACTGTCATGCCACGATTTCTCGAGGTCTTTTGCAGTTCGGAGTACTCCATCGTCTCAGAGAACCCGTCAGTTTAGAAGTACTGCTCTTGCACTGCGGCAATGAATATATTAGCAGTGGTGAAAATTAATACTACCGCGATGATTCTATTTCTTTATATCCGGTTCACCCTCTCGCGTCCGAGCATTGGAATGAATCGTGAGCTGATGATCCTATTACTAATTGATCTGTTATAAATTGACGCATTTGACCTGTACTGACGTGCGCGCTTCTCTTCGACGTAGCCTGCTTGTTTTAGGGATTGTTTTTCTGATGTAATATATTTTCTCACTCTCCCTGAATTTGTAGTAAGTCGGACGGCCATGCGATTGTGTTTATTCAGAAGAGTGCTTTGCGCAAGTGATATCTGGAAGTTTTTATTCATAACTAATTCGATATTTCCCAAAACTGGGTCCTTGCAGGGAAAAACCCCTCGGCTTGTGGGAATGAACACTAATAAGATTAGGTGAGGAGTGAACTCTCAAATCTCGTGAGGTGTTTTTTTATTGTTCAAATTTCCAAAAATCAGTTTACCTTCTCGTTGGCTTCCGTTTTTGTTCCTTCTATTAACAACGTCCTTATTTTTTTCCCTCTACACTAACAGAGTAATTTCTCCACGTGTGAAAATCTTTTCTGATTTTTCGAGTCTTGACCTTCAAAATCGCTCAATAGATGAAATTTTCCCTTGCTAACTTCTACTCCTCTTACGATACTTATCTACTTCTCCACACGATAAAAATATATGCTACCCCTCTTCCCTTCTTAAGTGTTATTAAGAGCGATATTCTGTAACTAGCGTCGCACAATTAGCGTATTTGTAACTAATATTTAGCTGAAGACCTATGTCGTGCGGAAACACTAAAGCATTTTTGCTTGTCATTATGCGTGCTGATAATGAGCGGCTAAAGCGGAAAATTCTAACTTGTACGATAAGTGATATTAAATTAAAATTTAAACTGAAAGAAAATATTTCCTGTGTGAACCTGCAAAACTACAAGTAGATCCAGGAAAATTGCAATGACGAACAGTTGTGCAACTCAGCCCACGCACACGGGATAACGCGCAAAGCTAATCTGAAACTGTCATCTCTGTCAATATATTAATTACAAGATAGTCAGTGGGCACAGAATTTGATCTGCAAGATTTTTCCTTTCCTTTATTTTCTCACGCAGATTACTTTTACCTGCAATATATATTTTCCTCATGCTTTCTTGACGAGTGACGAGGGTCCTTTTGATTTGATTTTCTATTCATCTTAAAAAGAATAAATCTTAGTGATATAAAAAAAAGTACGTCAGCAAACATGATGAAATTTAACGTCACATCTCTTTTTCGCAGGGAGAAAGATCGAAAGCATCGTTATAATTATGTCATACCTTTGCAGTGCGCTAAACGCTGGCAGAGACAAACGCATACTTGTTAATCGTCTGTCGTTTAAGTCGAACAAAGTCAAAATACGAACCTCTTCAAAATCTTCACAGCCAAATTTGTGCACGTAAGAAGCAGAGATATCTTATCTGTTTTGTTACGGCTTATTTGAATCCTGTGGTGTAGTTTCATATCAAAGGAACCGCTTACTAAACGATAAACGGCATGGCTGTGCGTAATGCATACCTTAATAGAGCCAAATTTCTTGAAAAAAGGTTTCAAAACTTGCAGCTGGCTCTTTCAAGGATGCTCATCCTCGCAAATTGAAGGTTACAATTTGAAATTTCTAGTCAGTAAATAGTTATTCTAATGCGTGAAGTAGACTAGTTGCTTTTGCACGAAATTTACGTGATAAAGTGTATACTGACAGGTTTGCCCCGTTGAAAAATAAACAAGAAACAGTATTTCAGATGTATCAACCCACGTAATTTCACGGCCTTTTCTTCATGTCGTCCTAATGAACTAAAAAAAAACAAAGGCACAGGGAATTTCATATCGTGTACGTGCTGAGCGCACATTTAGTACAAATACGCGGAAAGTATTGATTGCATAACGCCTACTGTAATAAGTGTCACATAGCAATAAAATAGCAAAATGACACAAAAACCGGATCTTGACTTTTCCCCCCTTTTTTAAGACAAACAAACGTAAGGGGCTAAATTGCATGTTCGCCTGTCTGGACTTTCTCTTTTTTAGTCACTGCAATAACGATTAGATAGATTTGTTACTTTGTTTTCTAAACAAACTGATTAAGTCAAAGTGTCCTCTATTCAAAGCCTTCTCTCTTCCACGATAAAGAATCAGCTTAGCATTGTTCAAAAATTAAATATTGAAGGATCAGTGTACATGAAAATCGAGCAGATTTGCGGCAATTCTGTAACTACAATAGTTGCAGGTAAAATGAGCCTTATAGATAAATAAAGCCATCCTCTATAACGTAAATAAACATGGGAATTGACGTCAAATTTCAAAGAACAATCGGCCTACTATAACAGAAAAAACACGTCAATGCAGGTTGAACTAATCATCTTAAAACGGTTCAATAAGTAATTGGATCACCGTTAATTACTTCATTCCTATGCTCAGACGCGAGAGGACAAACCGGATATATAGAAATAGCATTAAGTTAGCTATATAAATTTTAACTGCTGCTAATATATTTATTCCCGCGATACACAACCGATGCTTCAGAACTGAAGTGCGCACGATGGATTGTTCTGTAAGTCCAGGCATCTTGTTTTCTGCTTTCTGCCTGCTTCTATACACCGCGGGGTACATCAGAATCGAGCTGAAGTTGAATAATCACGATGAGCAGTTGGAAGCTTTTGAAATAGCAACTGCCATGCTGAAGCACAGAATGGCAAAGGCCTCGATGAAAGGTATATTAGATAAATGTGGTATGGTAATCAGCTGATTAATAATTTCTGGGAACTTAAAGTTGGATCGCTAGAAAAAAAAATTGTGAAGAGAGTAATACCTATTGCTCAAATCTGTCTCATGCATGATTTTTATGGGTGAAATCCCTCACCAGAATTGTTTGTTTGCTGTTTCTTTTTTGTCTTTTGTTGGTCATTTTGTTGTTTTCTCTTGGGTCACTTGATACAGATGGATTTATTTTTGAAACAGTTTAAATGTAACAACCTCCCCCACCCCACCCCTTTACCTCATTTCCCTCCAGTCATAAGAGTCTCTTACTTTGTTTAAACCAAAATCCATACAGATGTAATCAAAGTTGAAAGTAAAAGCCAAATTCTATTCTTGGTTCTCTGGATGCTTAAACATAAGGTAGAGCTTTCTATCAAAACGCATAGATCTCGCTAAGAAATTATAAAAGTATTGGAAAATAATATGCGAGGAACCATCTTGAAACAAGACTTTGACTGAGAATTATTAAACTACCTTGACTGTAGGTTTTTGTTGACAACAACAATCTTTCGTTAAGAAATATTGTGTGTTAATTTTGTGATCATTAATTACCAAATTTAAGAGTAAATTTTTTGGGAAAAAAATTCTCAGAGAGATATGGCACACAAATTACAATATTATAGTCATAATAATTTACTTTTCTCCCCATGGTTATTTATTTATTTATTTATTCAAAATTAAGTGTGCAAAAATGCAAATGAAAATCATAATTTCAAGATTAAAACAATTTTTTTTCCAGCGGGTTGAATATTATCTAAAAGATAAACACATCAGTAGAAAGAATATTCAATAAGCTGCTCATATCATGCGGCACAGTTTTTCATACAAATAACTCTTCTTAATCATTTTCTGTGACCCTTTGAGCCCTAGAAGTGACAAACTTCTAATTTTCCCAACAATATAATCCCGGGGTAAAACATTAAGGTCACGTGAATAAAGGAAATAATTACCAAATAAAGAAGCTCTTGATTTTTGAACAAAGTCTCCTTGCAAGTTCGTTAGGAAATGTATAGAGAACAGTACAAAGAACATGCATACTGAAGGGTAAAAAGGGTTAAACTCACTTGAATAGGCCATTTTACAGTAGTTTACCTATTGATCTTTCAACGATGGATCAAACTTGGTTAGAATTGGTCGAAAAACCATTTTTAAGCCTTCTCTTAAACATTGAAGGAAAAAAATTAAAGAAAAAGTTTTACCTTCATGATTCTTTTTTCTAAAAGCTGCACCCTTACCTGAATCAAATAAACAAATTGTTTGATGTTATATCACAAAAATACCCATTTTAACGTTTTAAAAACGAAATATTGGAAAAGATGTACAGCTTGTTGGAGGAATTCGCATCGTAAAAACCTCTTGGATTCAAATGGTTATCTATCAATAAGCTATCAGAATAAGGGTCCTTTAAGACACTATTTGAAATGATGCTATTTATCCATTTATTTCCTAATTACTAGGAAACTTAACCCTGAAATCAAGCGAGGAGGTAATCACTGAAGCGATTGGTCAGCGGTTCAAACGGGAAACCCCAGCTGACGGACCACACGATTTTCCTAACCCTTCATTCAATTTTACAGACCTACCGTACAATTATACAGATCTGCCATTCAACTTGACGGAGATTTTTGGAAATAATTCACCATTCAACTATACAGACATCTTCGGTAACAATTCTCCATTCAACTACACAGACATCTTCGGTGAAAACTCACCTTTCAATTATACAGATCTATTCGGAAATGGTTTACCACCATTTAATTTCTCGGCTTATATGGAAGAAGCTATGAAAGAATTCACCATTGGCTTGCAGGCGATGCTTCAAAGAAGTTTCAACGCTTGCGCATGCTCACAAGGACCACCTGGACCACCTGGCGAACGAGGATTCATGGGTCCACCGGGAATTAGAGGAGAAATTGGATTCAAAGGAGATGCCGGGCCACCGGGTACCCCAGGGATGAAGGGGGATACCGGCCCACAGGGTACTCCAGGTTTTAAAGGAGATGCTGGACCACGGGGTAACACAGGTATGAAGGGCGAACCAGGCCAAACATGTTCAGCGCCGAAAGTAACCATCTCTCCAAGGAAGCTGACTGTTTTAAAAGGAACTATTGCCTCTTTTAGATGCTCTGCTAGTGGAAATCCATGGCCTCGAGTATCCTGGTCTAGAGCTGATGGATCGTTACTTAACAAAAACGCCACGGTAACCTCAGATGGGCTCATAACGATTCCCTCCGTCCGGCTGATGGATGCTGGGAGGTACACTTGCACGGCGGAGAACATTGTGAGGAAGATTGAAGAAACAGTTGATCTGGTTGTACAAAGTAGGTTGCGATGATATATTACTACCATTCGAAAAAATCACTAATTATTAGATTCTAACTTCGCAAAACTTTCCTATGTTAATTTCAGAAAAAAAAGCTTAATAGCTTTTGTTTTACATTTTTGCATATTACTACTTAATACTCTGTTACCCTACCCCCCCCCCTTCCACCCCATGAAGCTTACTCGAGATATTTGACTTTTGAGTTATAAATACTGTTTTTTGAAAGCTTAAAGGTTTCTTCATAATTAAAAGTTTCCTTGTCATCAGCTTTAGTTGCACTTTCGCTTAATAATGTCCACTTATAAGTATATCGAACACATATAGAAAGAGACAAAAGCCGTTGACAGATCGGTTCAGCATTTCCTTCACGATAATTGAAGATTCATACATTTTTAGTTACGAATAAACATTGACAGGGACGAGAAAACAATGGTTAATGGCTAACAATTCTGCAGTTTCTAATACATGTGTTGTAACTGAGTCTTTTGCTTCTAAACTCTGATGCAGTATATCAAATTCATATTGTAGAAAGACCTTACAGTTGATCCCTTCTGTGAGTGAAAGGTTTAAACACTGGATGGAAAGTCACTTATCAGTACGTTTTGTTTTTTTCGATACGTTCTCATGCACTAAGACAGAACATTAACTAGGATATTGGAATCTAAACAGACTGAACAGTGTTCCTTGTTATTTCTCGCCAGGCTCACCAGAGGTTTCTCTTTCATTTGGGCCATCTTTCGTTCTCGAGGGCAAAGCTATCACTCTTCCAACATGTTACGCAAATAATAGCGTTCCTCCAGCGATATTCACCTGGTTTAAAGTTGATGACAATCTGAACCAAGATAGAGCCGTTCCTAGAAACGGGCAACTGTCAATAACGAATGCTAGAATGGAGGATTCTGGTTTGTACCAGTGTATGGCTTCCAATAGCATTGGATATCATTCGGCGTACACTAAGCTGACTGTTGTGACGATGCCAAAGTTTACGGTTCGTCCACCTGCCAAACTTGAAGCAACTTCAAACAAAACTATCACCGTCCGTTGCCAGGCGACCGGTCAACCCAAACCTTTTATCACGTGGGCGAAGAAGGGTGGAGAATTGCCCAAAGGAAGATCAAATGTCAGCGAAGATGGAACACTTCAAATCTGGAGCCCTGAAAGTGACGACTCGGGGAGATATACTTGTACTGCATCTCTGGAACAGATTTCCGTTAATGTGGCCTCTGTTATGGAACTAACTGTTAAGATCAAGAAAAGAGGTCAGTCACTAACCCAATCGTAAAACATGATTATCTCATGAACTAAACGTTTGGGTCAAACACAAGAATGTCGGGCTTTGTAAGATTCTGATGACCCCCACTGGCAATCAATCTTCTACAATCCCCCCTTTATACTCTATATGCGACGATTGACTTCCCCCCCTATCCCCCTTCCATTCCCCCTGAAACTCATATGATCTCCCAGAATCCTTCACCCACTTCGGGTAATAAATAATGATTTCTCTGGGTAGTGGTTATTTGTTGGTTTATTACATTTCATTTTTTTGCTTCTTTTTTCAGTAAGCACGTTCAAGTTTCTTAAAAATATTCAAATAACCTAAGTTCTCATCCCTAAATAATCCAAATGAATGACGATCTTTTTCTCAGTGTGTGAGGCGATCGGTGTACAGAATAGATACAAAGTACCAGATAGCAGAATGACAGCAAGCTCTTCCTTCGCTGGACATTTCGATGCATCACGTGGAAGGCTCTGGAACCAAAGACAAGGAGGATCATGGGAACCCAAATATCCCGCAAATGTCGGGAAAGATTGGCTTCAAGTCGATTTGGGTTCAATACTGTCTGTCTGTGCAGTGGCCACTCAGGGTAATGGCTGGATTTATCCTGACTGGGTCACTGCGTATAAAATCAAACTCTCGACGGATGGAAATATATGGAAATTCTATCAGGAAGACGGTGTGGATAAAGTAAGTATATTCAAATTGCTTGGGCTGCAAAGTGGGATTTTCTAACCGTTGCTATGCAGTGTTTTTGCAATTTTCTTCAATGTGTAACTTAAACGAAATTTAGTGAGCTTGTCTATATTTATAACTCAAATTAAAACTGAGATTGTTCTTTTCAGTTTTTCTTTTTGACGAAGATTACATTTGAGTATAAATCATTTATCCTCTGATTTTCTTTCTTTTTCTTTTCTTGTTTTTGTTTTTGTTTTTTCTTGCCTTGCTTTTATTTGTTTCTCCGGAGTCGATTATTGATAAGGCGATAAGAGCAGCATATTGAAATACAGTCTTTGTTTCCTTTGCTGTCCAAAAACCAACCCCTTAAAAATAAATCACATCGAAATAATGAGAGATCATACCTTCAAATTATTGTCCCTCTTTATATTTGTTTCTATTTATTTGACTTACGGTTGCACTTTCAGCTTTTTTTTGGTTTTTTATTCCTGTTTGTTTGTCTTTTGGGTGTATTTTGTTTAGAAATTTTCTCTTTTGATAAGGTTACATTCCTAAGCTGTGTTCTTCTCTTGTTTTAAACTCACAGATATTCACTGGAAACACAAATGCAAATGATGTGGTAAAGAATTTCCTTTCACCTTTTGGCGTTGCCAGATATGTTCGATTTTACCCCGTGAGATATAACACTTACCCGTCTTTAAGAGTTGAAATATATGTTTCAAAATACATATAACCTACAATCTTGAAACTTCCATATCATTTGAAACTGCCTTTAAATCACTCCCGATATTATAACAGGGTACGTACCAACTAGCTTTATATGAATATATTTTCAGTTTTGAATGAGGCTGTAGTTGTCTTACAGAAGTTCCTGTTATTTGGACTGAAATTTTTATTATCAAAGAATTTTTGTGTCAAATCTGTGATATATTGAGTGAAAAGCGGGTTTTCTGCATCTGGTCTAACGAAATGCTACACTAAGAAGCCTCAGATAACACTGACGTATAATCAGTGCGACTTGTTGTTTAATTACTCTGAATCTTTTCCATGAAGACTGATTGATAGGTTAATACGATAAGTTATCTTTGCTTTGTGAAAATGAAATAAATGGATTCAAGAAATTGACTTTACTGGTTTTTTTAAAATTTTTTTAAAATTTTTTTCGATTGTGAGATTGTGCTCTCGGGCAGAACTAAAACACTTCACTCTCTCAGTACCTCTCTCCATCCAGGAATAAAGATGGGTACTGGAGAATTGTCAGGGAATCCTGTGCTGGGGTTAACCTCGCGATGGATTGGCAGATGTTTTTTTTAACACCACAGAGTGCCTATGAAAGATGGAGCTCCGTGCGTTTAGTAGCATCCAATAGAGAGGCTGATATGGAGCCTTAAGGCATTTACACGAGGTCTAATCCAAACTGCGGTTTTTACCCTTAACGGTGTGCCTTGCGTATTTTCTACTGAAGAAATGTAAAATGGTTTCCCTGTTTACATCAGGCTATGTAAACACGGAATCTATTTTACATTTCTATTATAGAATAACTAAAGAAAGAGGAACGAAAACCGTGTTTACATACGCTCATGTAAAATGGTTTTATGGCCAATCAGAGCGCGCGTACTATTTGAATTATTTTACAAGAGAGTTTTTTTCCTGATTAAATAGATTTCCTTCCACAGCCAGCGCTTTCGACCCTCTTGACACTGTTCATAAAAAAAAATGTTCAGATGAAACATTCTGCCAAATCCAGTAAAGTTTAAAACGCGGTATTGTTCAACAAACGGCTAAAGTTTAACTAACTAGCACATGGGTTGTTAGTCACTATTTCAAAATTGAAATGAGGATGGGTTATTTTTGATAAAAAAACAACTCCTTACAACAACCTTCAAAATACTGTTTATTTCATAATTCGTAACTGTACACTAAAAACACGAAACAAAGTTATGATATTCCATATAAGGATGTATATAATAATGGCCGAGAATTTTATATTTACACGCTCTCGCTACAGATTGTGTTATGTTATTGAAACTAAATCAAGAAAGCCCTAAGCGCATTTGATTAAAAAAAGACCTACAAAATCTACTCAACTTATTAAAAAATAATTCCTAACTTGTCTGTTGACGTTGAAAACTCAAATTACACCAAGTGAGAAAAGAAGCCCCATCTGTATTCTGTTCAAATGTTGACAAAATGAGACTTGAATTTTTCAAGCTAGGATTAAAATCGTATTTCTAAAAGGGATAGTTGGCTCGGCACTTATCAAGATTAACTACCTAACTTGATATATTTAACTGCGCAATTCTTTCCAACAACTTTTTCTACATTTGATTAATATTCCCTGTTCAACTCCACCTACTTTCACAGTCTAGAAAAAAATAACTTTAAGGAAAAAGATTACTGTCTTTATTTTGAGAGATATAATTGAATAATTTGAATGGTTTTCCCTGTTCTACTCCTCCTACTTTCACAGTCTAGGAAAAATAACGTTGAGGAAAAAGAGTACTGTCTTTATTTTGAGAGAGATATGAGTCTTCCACAACTTATCACACCGGTTCCAAATGCTAAGAAGTAAAGTGCGGAACTGGAAATTATACTGAGTATAATTATCCCCCGCAAAATTTTTACTTCCCAATGCAATGCTATCTGCCGATTAAATCGATTATTGACGCACTTTAAGTTTAATGCATTGAGCGCGCTGGTCTACTTATATGTTCGCCAGAAGAAGAAGGGTCGTTATAGAGAAGATAGTTGGAATCAATGTCAGTAAGATCTATCTGGGCAAATGCGCACCGTTTTCTCCCCTTATCCAACAACAGTGAACTGATAACAAGTTTAAATTAATGTTGTGTAAGGGGAGGGGTAGTTGCCCAGTTGCTCAGACACTGACAATGATCCGGTAATGGTAATAACATAAAGATAAGAGTTATTTTAAAAGTAATAATAATAATAATAAGAAGAATAATGATAATAATAATAACATTACACCTACGTCACGAGCCTGTTCTGAATTGAATAAAATCCTTAAAAGATACATTTTCTAAAAGCAAATGCAGGAAAATCTTTAAATTCTCATATTTAGTTCCACCGAGAAAATAAAACTCTAAACAAAAGTCTTCGTTTATGTGTACTTGTCCATCTCTATTGATTGATATACTTATCCATAGCTGTTGACTTGTGCGCATGCCCTTGTTTACAGTCCGACTCAAAAATGTAGCTGGCTCGTTACCAATTCAACGCTAAGAGTTAGACAACTTGAAGGGAATCTTTGTCCAAGGTTTTCTTCACTTCCCTTATGCTCTTGCGAATTTTATTCTTGTGACCAATGAGCTTAATGCCCATTTCGTTGAGGTCGAGCTCATCATTATTGGCTACTTGGTTAAGGTGCGTGAAGCCTGCTTTGTTGAACTTGTCATGGTACTGTCCCATCTTGATGCTCTCCAGCCATTCTTGCACTGTTGTCATGGGAGTATATTCCATCTTGGGTGACCTACAACGAGTAACACCAAGTATACAGTGACTCAAACTATACATAATCATGCGGCAAGTCACACTACTCTTACGATAAGTCACGCTATACCCAATAAGGGGGAAAAAAAAGTAATTCCTTTGGTCGTATCATTTTTTCGGTTGCCAGGTTGGTAGTGACAATACAAGCACCAAACGTCAAGTCATCAAACACATTTATTATGGCACATGGGTTCAATGGGGATTCCCCAATGAGACCATACACTAGAATCTTTACACCATGGAGAGTCTAAAAATTCCATCGGAAGTAATAATAATAATAAATAATAAAATCTTCATTACCGTGTCAATGTATTTAGCTCATAGAGCTAATTGGGGACACCTACTATTACAAAATTATGTACAGTATCATAATAAGTAACAATATAGCCGATAAACTATGCATTAAAATTTAAAAATATTTAGAAATATTAACAATGTTCAGATAACATAAAAATACTTGTACAATGCAGATAATTAGAAAAAATCACGTGCTGCAAAGATTGCAGCAGTTGCCACTGTCTTCCACTAGGCTGGCCAGGTCAACTCTACGGATTTTAGTTTTAAAGATTCTAAGTAAAGTAAAGTAAAAGTAAAACAGCACTCTCCGCAATCAATTACTCAAGACAAAAAAAAAAAACCCTCAAATTACGCTACACTCAAATTAAATGCAAGACAACCGCTGTCCCTCAAGGGTAGGATATCAACACCTTTACAGGCTTATATTTTTGCTCCCAATATCTCACTGTTAATTCTCCCCTCTAACTACTAAACATTTCCTTGTAAATTAAAAGTGAGAATATGGTGTTAGATCAAGATAACAAGTTTTACCCGATAAGCTTGAGTTTTCTTATAACTTGTTTGCTGGATAATGTACGGATATTATAGGGAGAAGTTAAATGTTTATCGCCTCTTGGAGTTAAAGGGTTAACGCCACTCTGAGTGATTTTTAGTCATTGAAAATGTAACAAATAGGAATGAAACAGACCACTGTCGACCGTAAAGTGAGAATACAGTAATATGATAGTATCTATACAAGCTATCTTACCTGGGAACTGTACTAGTATCTTCGTTGAGTTTATCAGGAGATCGAATCAGCACGTCGAGTTTCTTCACAATTTCTGAAAACTTCGGTCGCTTGTTCCGTTCAGCATTCCAGCAGTTCAACATGACCTGATGAATGACCTTTGGGCAGTTCTGAAATAGAAAAGAATAAAAACAAAGTAAAACCAAGCAACACTTAATCTATTTTGTTGATTGAAAAGTATGTGGTGGAAAGACACAACAGTCTCCTCGTCACCCCAAAAAAACCTTCATTGGGTCATCAGGCACTCCCCACGTGCAACATAAGTTTTTTTCGACTGACTCCTTTTCATCAAATCGGAACATACATGTAATGTCGCCAAATCATAGTTCTTAAGAGGTGTGTGGAAGCAGGATAATCTACAAGATTTGCCATAGTTCTCAATCTACACCAAATTCGGTGATATTTTAATTCAGACACGTACCATTGGAGGTGGAAGACGGTAACCTGATTTGACTCGTTCCATGACCTTGGAAAAAAATACAAAAATAATAAATATACAATAACAAGCTCGTAAAGCATGAATAACAATTTATAGTGAGAAAATACAAGGAAAAGCTTCAAGCGCCACATTCAGATTGCATGGTTTCAAGGTTACAAAGCTAGTCTCTTTGGAGGGAAAGCGCAGGACTGAACGGAAAAAGGACTGGTATTTAGTCGAGTCGCCTGGTTGGCTCGAGTCGTGTCGAGTCCCTCGCGTTAAAGAGCACGCAAGGTAAGCGTGGAGCAGGCGAGAAGGAAACCATTAATTGTTCACAGATATTTACATAAACACAAAGGCTCATAGACTAGCCTGTCACAGGTCACCCAATGGTCGGACTCACCTCATAGTTACCCCAGTCCCAGTAAGGTCTCTCGGCAAATGACATGATTTCCCATAGCAAGACACCATAGCTCCAAACGTCACTGGCTGGAGTGAATTTACGGTACTCAATTGCCTCTAATGCCGTCCATCTGACAGGAATTTTGCCTCCCTGAAAACAGATACCATCTCATGACTTTAAGGAGGAACTGCACATAACCACAAATTCAAAGAAAACGCAAAACGTGACAAGATGAACGGATTGTTTTGAAAACGGTTTATTAATTGACCGTAGAATTATGGATGACTTTTCTCTCCCATCAGTGAATGCAATGAACGTCGTTACTCTGGCAGACTGAAAATTAGACAATCACATCACACAGCACATCATGAGCTCTGATCTTAACCCTTTACACCCTAAGATCAGTAAGCATATTCTCCATACCGTTCTCTATACATTTCTCAAGATTGTGAAAAGGAGAAATATTAGTACTCTCGTGGGTGATATGCTAAGGAGAAATTAGATGCTAGTCACTATGCTAAGGTCAATGGGTGAATTTACATGGTACACATACCTTGGTTTCATAAGCTGAGTCTTCCAACTCTCTAGACAAACCAAAATCTGCTACTTTGCAAACCAAACCCTCTGATACCAAAATATTGCGTGCAGCCAAATCCTATAGGAAACACAAACAGATTCAAAATTCGGTTCCTTGGATTTCTAACATCGAGGTCACAACCTCGAATGCTCGTACGTTCCTTAATGATAAATAGAGACTTTTGAACTTGTCTGATTCTTGCAACTGAGCGGAATTAAGGACGAAGGAAGTGGGGATAATTTAAGACCATCAACACGAAGGAACGAAAGGACGAAGGGACGAAGGAAACGGCGGAGGGGGGGGTGAAGGGACGAACGAACGAACAGACGAACGTACGAACGGACGATGGGACGAAGGGGGGACGAGTAATGGAAGAACGCAAACGAGCGACGGGATAAAGGGTGTATAAAATCCCTTACCCTATGAACAAAGTTCATTTCGGAGAGATATTTCATTCCTGATGCGACACCTCGCGCCATTCCCAACAACTGCAGCGCTGTAAGTTTTCCGTCCATTTTCTGTGTAGAAATAATATGAGATCAGTGTAAATATGAGAAATATGAGTCAAAGTAACGGCACCTACGAGTCAGCTTGAAAAAATTTCAACGGCCAAAATATTGCTCATTGTTGGACAGAGTTACAACACTAACCTTGAGGTAATTGTCGAGAGAACCATTGGACATAAATTCGATCACGATCATCATGGGTGAGGCTGTTTCAAAAGAAAAATAAATGAAACTGTGTCAATCAGTTAGAACTGAGAGCTAAAGTCAAAAGTTACATTTTGGCTATAAACTGATGCTATAAAGCTCGGAAAAAAAGATTGAAAGTTAATTAAACCGAAAATTGGTTAGAAACTGTCACAAAGGATCTGTTTCTTTTAAAACTGGCGCCTCCAAGATTCTAGCAAGGCGCCATTATATCAGCGTTTCTTTGCTTGATTTTTATCGGCAAGTCAAATTAAATTTATTTCATCACTATTTATTAAAGATATTAAGGTTAAGCTTTTGCTGTTGTTTGGCTTTTGTGTGCATGCACTGGTCCCTTACTTTTAGTAACAACACCCTCGAGAAAGATGACATTCGGGTCACAAAACTGGCCCATAATGGAAGCTTCGCCGATAAAGTCTTGGCGGTTCTTACGAAGAGCACCAGTCTGTGTAAAAATAGACAAGGAAATAACCTCAATTTTAAAATGGCCAGGAAAAATTCAAAGCTATATCTCGCTGTCATCTGTCTTTTCGTTTTTCCGTCATTCGGTTAGTGTAGTTCGTCTTATAGTTGGTCGGTGAGTCAGGCAGTCAGTGGGTCAGTCCTTAAGTCTGAGAGTGAAAATTACGAGTCACGGTCAGTCACTCAGCCAGGACTTTTTTTTGTCTTCAAGAAATGGAAAGTAAAAAAAAAGGCTGTTTCATAACAAAATAAGAGGCTTTAAATGTTATCGCGAAGTCTAATCGTCTGGGAGAGAATATTCCTGGAATGTCGACGGTGGTAATGATTAAGGCTTTAACAACCTGAGCAGAAGTCATCATCAGATTCAAGAGTCAATTCCATTCATCACTCTTCAATTGACTCTGATGATGACTCCCGCTAAAGATGTCGAAACGTCAGTCACCACTAACGACAGCGGTTCATCTCAGGAGGATACTCTCCTTGAAACGGACCAGCAGACTACACAATCAAATGTAACTCCTAGGTTCAAACCATATACTGTATTTAATATCGTTAAGAAAGTTGCGGTTAGTCATCACGGTGATTCAACTTTTAGTGAAGTGTTACCGTTTATATCACGATGTATCTGCGGTCGACATCAGAAGTGACCATATCGCAAGACAAACGTTTATCTTTCGTTAAAAGCTCTAACTGTCTTTGTTCGCTTAAGATGCAAGACACATAAACTATCACATGACATTCCCACTAAATTAGGAATAAAACAACAGTGTACTTACCTTTAACGTCTTGACAGCAACAAGGATGGTATCTTCTCCTGGTCTCGACAAAGTTCCCTTGTATACATCGCCAAATTCACCTGAAAATAAGTTCAATCAATAACCGTTATTGCAAAATATCAAATATTAAAATCAAGGCTGTGACGCTACGCTTTGAGTGACTTTCAATGGAGGAAGAAACGAATCAAGACATGAAATTGAATCAAATGAAACTACAAAAAGACCATCCGCTATTTCGCCGATGGCTCTCAAATTTAACAATCTTAACAGCCAAGTGATTCCACGCGCAAGAAAGCTGGTTTTAAGTTTGCTAAAACCTAAAATCGACGACGTCGACCTCTTCACTCATACATTAATTTACTTCCCTTTTAAATTGTGCCCAAACGAAAGCAATACACTCGCTTAATCGACTGCATTAAAAAAATAATTTCATTTCAAACTGTTCACGTAAATAAGTTTAAACTTGTATGATAGAGAAATTTTCAATCGAAAGGAATCCAAAAATTGGTTTTGCTTCACTTCGCTCTGTGGTTGGTCCAAAAAACGCGCGCCACTCTCGACCAATCGAATGCCAAACTAAAACCAATCACGACTTGGTCGCCCGCTTTTTCCCGAGTTTTAGGCAATTTGGATGTTTTCATTTGGAGTTCTCATTGGCCATTAAAAATATTTCCTTTCTTCTGATTAGTCGTTTTATTAATAACTTGGGTTTTGGTTTCATGACACTCAATCGAAAAGCGCTCTATCGCTTAGCACCCTGTACCTCCACCGATAATATGTTCCAAAGTGATCCACTTTTTGTCCAGTTCCTTGGCAAACGTTCTCAAAGCCTCCTCAGGGTCTTCGTAATTACTTGGATCAATATAAAGTCTCTGGCCTCTCGTTGGTAAAATCACTGCAAAACAAAACCAGATTCAGGAACAACCCCTTGGCTAAAAGACATCTTGTCAACGCCTGTGTGAAGTTAAGCTTTACAGGTAAGGGGGAGATAAAGGAAGTCAATTTTTTTGTACAGTACCTTGTCCATCCCTCAACTCAACTGGTTTTAAGTAGCCTTTTTTATCTCTTCCCCTGTGAACACAAATGAACAGTGCAATTAAATATGTACACACTCTAGTGAAGACAAAAACTGACCAAAAAAAAAAAAAAAAACAGTGTGCAGCACCAAAGTGAACAAAAGTCGTTTCCCTGTAAGTTGATCAACGCCAATTTCAATATTGAGAAAATTCAAATGAGTGGCAAAAGTAAGCCAGAGTTGCATTGGTTTTGCTTTACTTCGCTCAGTGATTGGTAGAGAAAAATTCACCTTGGTCTCTCAACCAATTAGATTCAAAACTAAAACCATTGATATTGGATCCTTATTGATAATTTTCTTGATTCTCATCACTTGTTTGCTTGATATTGTATTGATATTGTAAAGTGAAATTCTGTCGAAGTCACTAATTCACTCGCATATGCAACTTTTTGGTTATGGTTAGTACTAAGACCCAAACTTTGTTTAGGAGGACAACTTGCAAAATATCATAATTGTATTACAAGGTGTGTTTTTATATTATTTTGACTCACCTACAGAAACAGACAACAAAAAGAACAGCTAAAAAGACCAAGACAGCCACTATAGGAACTGCTATGTATAACACCATCTTGAGCACTGTCTTTGAGGAACCTGGCAGGGAAGAAAATATCCAGGATAAGCCATTAATTCTAGGAAAGAGAATCTTATCTGTTCTGATGTTGATACTGTACATTTTGTATGTAGTCTTAAGTATGTCTACAATAATATCAACCCATCCTGAGTTACAGAGAAATTTTGTGAAATTAAAAATTCTAATTCAGTTACTCTTAGTACCTGTTTTCCCTTCAGTTGGATGAATTGTTGACACTAGTAAATAAAAGAAAGAGAAAAGGGTAATTAATGAAATTAGAAAAAAAAACACTTATTTCAGTCAGTGACTTTGTTCTCCTTTTTCCATATTAAGCTACTGATCAATACACAAACAAATAAATTATATAAGAATAAAGATAATCTAAGGCTAAGTATATGTTTGGGCACTCATCCTGGCATCTAGACTATCCAACTAGTTTCCACTAGATCCACACTGGTCTATGCAAATTTTCAATTTCTAAGGAACATGTGGCTGGGTCTGCAAAGCTTATCCTGTTCAATTGCTAATTAAAATGATGTTTCCTCATGGGATTGCAACATTATAAATTTAGAAACTTGGTTTGAAAGTTTTTGTTCTGTTGGGTTTTGTTTGTCTCAATTTTTTGTGCCTTTGTCTTAGCGGACATCACATCATGCACATCTCATAGCTGAGAATCCTCTTGTTTATTTCTACCAGGTCATAAAAATTCCTGAGCTCTGTATGCATCTTAAAGTTTTTTGAAGTAACTGACTCCAATGGCATTACAATCCTGTGCTCTTTAGCAAGTAATTTGACATTGTTCTGCAACCAGCTTCACAAGCTACTTGTACAACATAGATTTTGGGCCTTTCCACACTTGCAGATAAAACTAGAATTGACCTGACAAAATTAAAGGACAAATTTTTGTTCCCTCCTTTGCATTTGCATTAAAAATTTCAAAGCCATCAAATTCTGTCAGCACCTGATCTTTTCATAAGACTAGTCCGTGTAGTTTGGCAAGGTATTCCACCTCCAATTTCCAGGATTCATCCTAAGTCGTTTTAAAATTTTAGAGTGCCAGATTTTTGCAACAAAAGACAAATTGTGCCTTTCTAGTAAACTGATTTCAGTTCAGTTACACACTTTTCATAGCTTTTACAACAATGATTGACAAATTTAGCCCACTTTTGCTAATTTAGTCAATTTTGTCCAGTTTGTCTGGTTTTTACCTGAGACAAATTTTGTAGGCAGTTTGAAGATTTGTCTGCTTCAGCCAAATTTGTCAAGTTGCGACAAACCATCTGCACTCTGTTAGTGATAACACAAAATTTGCCTGAATAAACAACTTTTTGCAGGTGCAGAAACGTCCTAAGTAACACTGCATTTTACATGAATATGAATAAACACAATTGTAAGAATAATGAACTTGAGTTTCATACCTTTTGTCTTGACAAAAACTTTTGCAAAGTTCCAATCATCTCTGTTTTGCTCCAGTTGATTCAACTCATTCACTGAGTAAACTCGAAACAGAAAGTAAGTGGATGGTGGTAAACCATTAATAGCCACCTCAACACCACTGATATTTTCCTTACTTGGTGAATATTCTACGCCTGGGTTACATGACTCCTTGCAGTTCTTGTCTCTACTTGACTCACATTTAAAGCAGTCTACAGCATATGTTAATGAGTCATTCTTAAAGTCATCAGGTGAACGCTGCCAACTGATCTGAACAAACGTTGCCTTGACCACAGTAGCATTAGCTGTGAGTGGAGCTTTTGGCAACTCTACAAGCAAACAGAATATGTTTAATTGCAAACTTGTTCATATTCACATCCAAAACAATTGTACACCTCAATTTTACACTAAAACTACACTGTGAATGTCAATTAAATATGATCAAGAGAATGGTAGCCAAAGACTGAGAAAGCTTCTACCAGATTCATATGCAGCATTTTCTAAAAAGAAGGGTCTTCAGCTCCTTTGGTATCTTGCCAGCATTTCAGGGCATTGTACAAAGTAGGTTATCTTATCTTATCTTTCTGACTTACAAATTTTAAGTTTTGAGATGTTTTTCCCTGCATTCTGTGCCTCCTCCCCCACTCCCTTCACCAACCAACTCCAGCTTTAGCCATCACAAGCCTTATTGTCTAGATTGTTCTTATCAACATAACATAATTAATAATTTTAGCATGAAATAGTTTGACATTGGAGGGCCTTTAATTCCTTAATAGGCAATTCAAATTCAATTGGACAACTTTGAAATGATACTGTGTAGAAATTAGGACCTATTAATCTGTAATGATTACTAACATATTTAACAATTAATGTACCTTTACAATCTGCCTTATCAGATGAACTGTAGTAACCTTTATCACACGTGCAACCAGTTCTGCCAGTATTAGATGCTGAATTTGCAGGACATGGAAGACATTTTGAAATTCTATCAGCATTCCTGTAGAAGCCAATCTGACACTCTAAAATGAAACAATGCACAATTTCATCAGCAAGCCTTTCCTTCACAACACTTTAACAATGACCCTGTAACATGCTTGTCCAGGTGAGACAGCCTGTCTGATGCAGACTTCACAACCCATGACTTTTTTATTTGTTCCTCTTTTTCCATTGTCACTAACAACAGCCCTTCGGAGGATCTCCTTTGCTTAGAATTAGTCACCCTTAGACATGAAGTCTGTGATTGTATAACGGTGCATGTCTACAGATGGAATTTAAATGGACATGTGTAGCATGGATAACCAGTCCTTGTTCATGTCAACTTAAGATGCATCAAACCTTTCTTAAGCGTTCTATCAAATTATGAACAAACAAGGTGTGAGAAGACTTTTAACTACACATTAAATACACACACCCATTTCAATGCTGAAATAGTCTACAAGGGCAAGCCCAAGTTTTAAGGGCAGCACAAACCTTTGCATTCCAAAGAGTCTGAAGATCCATTGGTGAGTTCATAACCTTTGTTGCAAAAGCAGGCAGAGTTACCTGTAATGTTCCATTCTCCATTACTAAGACACACACCAAATAACTTTCCATTGCTCTTTTTATGTGAGTTAGGATCTGTACATACTCCTTCTTGTTTGGTTAAATTGATATTATTTGCTGGGGCAACCGTTCTTGGAAATCTAACCAAAATAGCACCACTTTCAGAACAGTAACGATATCTAACAACAAACTTCCTTATTGTCAAGCAAGCTCCTTGGTCTAGTAATGCGAGATAAATCCCCTTTTTTTTAGTTACCACTGACCCATAAAATGTTTCTGTTGTGCTCTTACCAGCCACAGGAAGAGTTTTTGGAGTTATTACAGTTTCTTTGTTGAACTTAACTTGTGATGGGTCTGGAGAAACATCTAATTTTGTATTGATATGATGAGAATAAAGGGAGAAATTTGTTCTACAGAATGGCCCCACATTAGCTAAGGGGCAGTTACGGAGGGTATATGTTATTTCAATATCAAGTCGTTTAGCATTCTTGACATCAGTAAATTCTGTTAGCAACCAGTTCTTTGGTCTCTCTTTTGTGTCACTGATATCACAGACTGTGTAAACCGTTGTTTGAGTTGAAGGATGGTTCCACTGCAAGAGAGGCAAAAACTCAATTATTGTAATAATGAAAACATTAACTCATATAGTTACTAGGTGTAAGTAAAACATAGGTACACTGTACTGAAACCTTCTGCTCAGTCACATAATTATACGACACAAGTAAAGAAAATATATCAGTCAGACAAGTTACTGCAATCTTAAAAGAAGACTATCACTGTGTAGTGAACATGAATCAAGAACAATATATAAACTCATCTAACCATCCTTGCATTTCTTAAACCAACTCCAAGAGATGTAGTTCTAAAGTGTACCCTGTTAATGTGTGTGTTCATGCAATATCTATTAAAACCCTGTGCATTTCAAACATGTAGACATCTGAGGTATAATGAATACCTCTGATTCTCACTGGCTTAAGGTTGACTCCCAGTCATTTGAATAGCTTAATAAAATCATGGTAAAATCTAACTTTGGGTGTACAATTTTTGGGGTATGAGAAGAAAATGGCTGAAATTATCAAAGATTTAGAGGGAGAAACATAGTTATCTATAATCTTTAAATACTGTTAAAAATGTGTTTAATAAGGTTCATTATAAAGAAACAGTGATAGTCCAAGTAATATTTAGCTAAAAATAACAAAAATGACACAACAGATTTTAAAAAAAATTGTATGATGTACATTGTACTTTTTGAGGTCTCAAGTTGTCGTTAACAATTGTAAGGAAGGTGTGCTTAAGAAAAAAAAAAGGCACCCTCACCAAGAGAGCTTTGAGTTATTATTATTAATAGAAGTAAACAATAGGCAACAGATGTACAGATAAAATCCATGGGAAATTGCTGTCAACTTGATTTGAGTTTGCAAAAGACTTGATATACCAAGGGTTTAAGATCCTTTTTTTGTGCTTCACTCTGCTCATCCCCACCCCTTGAATCACATGCCAGTGACTTTCTTGAAATACTAAATCATTTCCTAAATTTTCTCCCCTTTACTATGATGTCTGTGATAACGGTATGAGGATTCCAAGTTACTAATATGTAGTTATCTAACTATGACCACATTTATTTGACGTTAAATGGTACACATAATAATGGTTTTTACAACATGGGCTAGTAACAAATAAAGTTACTCACCCCTGCACCTCCTTTACTTTCTTTAAAGACATCCCAATACCAAAGGTGCGGTCCAGTTGGTTCCTCAATGAGAATTTCTACAGAGGAATGTTGTAAACTCTTACAGAATGAACTAAAAAACAAGTAAATATAAAGTCTGCAAATGGACAAGCTGGCTTGACTAGTGATTAGGGTATCTCCTTGTTTCTCTGTTATAAAGCAATCATAAGGAAATGCTAAGGAGTGTGGTATTTACTTCCACAGAGTGAACTACTGAAACAAGTACTGCACAGTTGCACCTCAATTATCCGAACTCTTGGAGACTGGGCTTAATAGTCTTGGATTATTAATCAGGAGTCCAGATAATCAAATATTTGAATACAAATATTCGTAGCTGATGGGAGCCGAGAAGCAAGTTTGCATAATCGAAAAATCCTAATAATTGAGGTTTTATTGTAAATATCATGTCGACTAATGGAAGGTCTCCTTGCTTCTTTTGCAGGAAGCAACCATGAGTCTTTGTACTCCTCCCACAGACAATGCTCACCCATTGTGGGTTACCCCCCTCTTACCCACTCTCCAAACATTTGATCAGGTAAGAACTGATGTACACTATAAGGTAAGAGTGAGCTACACTCTCTTGGGGAATAAGGAGAAATATCACTCCTTCCGTCATAAATGTAGGAGCAAAAAAAAATTAACCTAAATTTACTACCTTTCTTGTTTCATTTACTCAAAAGATGCTTTCAACATTGCTGGTTCTTAAGAGACCTGTCACATACATGTATTAACCTAATATTTTCTCTTAAGCTCAGTGGTAAATCATCAAAGAACCAAACCTGAGGGTCAGAAGTTCAAGTCATCATAGAGAATCAATTTTTTTTTCTTTCAACACCTTTATAATAAGGTAACTGGAAGTGCACTTAAGAATCTATTCCTTTGTAAACTCAAACTCCTCGTCAGAAAGAAACACTACATAGCCAATCACATGCTCCGTTATCAAATTCAATGATGGCACATCAATCATATGCTTGACTTGGATTGGGTTCAGCAATCAGAGATGATTGCTTGAGTTTGAAAATCCAACTCACTGACATGTTCCAGTTTGATTACTTTCATTTCTGAACCAATTTGAAAAACAATCAAAGAAGGAAAATCTCCTCCTACATTCTGATTTGTTCAACCAGCTATGTAATGAAAACATAACAATGACCTTAGGCAAGCCTTTAATCATGGACTTCTGGTCCACAGTACTGGATGCAAATAAGCTATAAAATCACAGTGTACTACATTACATGTATTTTGTGTCTCATCTGCTTTAGCTTGGATGAAAATTTATCTCCAGTAAATTACAATTTAACCATTCTTTAGCTTAGTTTTATTGGGAAGATACATTGTCAAATGGGTTGGGAGAAAACACAGTAGGCACTGAATAAAGAAAGATATATATATATATATATATACAACTGTTTAAAAAAATGTTGAATACATATAAGTATATATATTGATAGAAAGATAGATTGATTGATTGATAAATATTAGTGGCCCTACAATGGGTTTCACAACTCTATTTTATCCTTCTGTGCATATTTTTACACAAGTCCATCTGCAAGTGCAAATTAATTTTCTTCTGATTTTTTTTCCTTTCATTTCCTTTGCATCATAACAAATAACTCGTTTACCATGTATTTGTTCAATCCTGGTGATCAAATGCCGAAGCTTTTGCCGAATACGAAAAGTTTCGAAAGATCAGAGCGGATTACAACCTCAATAGGGCTTTATTTATCAATTTCTACCAAAACGATCACTAGACCAAAATAAGGAAATAATTATCGTCACAAAAACAATCAAATTCAAAGCTATACAGTTGATCTTCAAAATTATTCGCAAAACTCGCAGCTGGAATCTTATTTGAATTTAAACCATTCGAAAGTTGAAAGGTTCGACGCTACACGAGTGATAACGCAAAGCGAAAATCACAAACGATTAACATTCACAGCCTTTGCTAAATCATATTGTTTCAATGCATATGTATAATCCCACATACGTATTTCAAACACATTGAACAACACTACACCTGGCAACACTTTTAACAATCGATTATCTTATCGAGAGAGTTTATATCGATCTTTCGGTACTAAAAAGTAAAATATCTTGCTGTCGTCTAAAACCACTCATGGAGAGGGATGTGACTTCTTACCTGCTTCTCCAGAAACTCCACGTAAAATAGCGACTAGCCACAGAACTAACATTGAATGATTGGACTTCATGATTTAGAGATTTAACCGATGACTGGCCTTATGAGACATAAATAGAGCTATCCGTCGTACTTCCTTCGCGATTTCAATTGCTCGTCAACGTCAAAAGATGACAACTGCGCAAGACCGGAAGACGAGTATGCTCAAAACGGGTCAGACCTTCGCGACCTCGCCCAGTTATTTTGAATGAGGAATGTATTTCAATCACGTAGGGCACTGAACCAAATCTAATATTAAGAATTTTAAAGAGACCTACGCAGTCATTTTTGCAAATATTCCGCTATCCTTCGGGTAAGCAATCACGCGCGGAAGTGGCATGATTTTTGGGAGTATCTCTTAGAGTTTGCACGTACAGGCAAGAATAATTAAGTATGGCGCGACGGAAGGAAATTGTATCGATTTCATTTTCGATCAGTTGTATGTTTTCTTAGTTCATTGCTAAAATTAAGTCCATCTTCTCGCGGTAACCTGACTCTGCGATTTTCTTGTAGGCAGATTATCTCGAACTGAAACCACGAAACTGGGTGGGGCTAAAGCGTCAAGGGAGGGGAGGGATGGATGAAAAGCCCGCAGTCTACCTTTTTTGGTGTGTGTGTTTGTAACGCTTCAAAACTGTCAACGATATTTGGAGGTTCAGTGATATCTTCATGAGGCCTTGGCAAATACTGGCAAAAACTTTTAGCAACACAAAAACAGGCCTTTAAAAGAAAACTCAGCACTTTACTTAACGAGATCTTGAACAAAGAAAATTCCAATATCAACATATCACAAATCATTTGAAAAAAAATGATAATAATAACGAGTAATAGACAATAGTATGTACGAGGAAGCAAGAAATATATTATCCTTAAATAACACTTAAGTAACAATTCTGAAAATGTAAGTAATAATCCTTATGTATGTATGACTGACACTCTAGGTAATTGTCACGGTAGCTTATAAATAATAATTCGGTTCTTATTCTTGTGGTCCCTGTACTTTTTTTTTAATCATAATTTAGTTCGAATGTCATACTCTTTGTCTGGCCCGCCTAGGTTAGCTTGCCTACTTGCGGATTAGTTCAAAGTGACAATGTCAGGAGCCCATCAGTGGTGATGATAATAAGTTTTTTTTTCGGTTTTATAAATGAGTAAGGACGACTTTTATCTCGCAATTGGCGTTCTTCCCTTCGCTCGCTTCATCAAGATGTTCATGGCAACTTCCTCCAATGCTCTTCCATTTCCTGTGGGCAATCGAAAATGAGCAGTGCCGATCAGTGTTACCCAGTTCCTCTCGCCACAAAGCAGGAAACGCATTCATCCTTCCTTTGGTCCTTGCGAAAATGTAATTCTTTTCTGCTTATGACTTGAAAGCTTCATTGTAATCATAACTGCAACCTTTCTGATAAACTCTCCATCAATTGATGCTCATTTGCAGGGAGAGAAAAGAAAAAGAAATTCCGTCTTCCTAAGGCTTGTTCTTGGTTTCTAGACTTCTCTTAAAATAATATTAGCCGACATCACTTCCTGATAAAAAGAAGTTTCTCTACAATGAATTAATTCTTTTTTTCGGAAAATTCCGAGCAGAACGTGAAAGAACGAATAAGCTTTGGTTAAGGAATTCTTCTACAAAATAACTGGATAAGTATATAACTGAAATAAAAGGAGTCAGAATAAACCGAATCCAGTCCCATGATCGAGAGCCTTCGGATGCCATTATCAAGATCGATCAAGCCCATGGAAGGTTTTGCCTAGTACTTATCACAATTTTGGATTCTGTAAAACAACATCTTAATCTGTGGCAGTCTTGAAGTTGCAGATGTGTCAACTTGCGGCCTTCTCATCTCGTATGATCTCATACATTAAGGCAGGAAGGAATCTTACCAGATACGGAATTGGGCCCCAGGATCCCATCCAATCCTCCTCCAAGCGTCATGTGACCCGCTGGCGCGTAAATTCGCATGAAGAAGAGGCTCTGCGTTCGACCATGATTGTTTTCCCATACGCCAGATACAAATTGAGAAGTTTGAGATAGCAAGATCTGCCACTTAATTTCATTTATTTCTTTGAAAAAAGTACTTCATTGTGACTTAATTACTAGCAACTTAAAGATGCCCTTGGTTGACAGCTCAGAGGATGGGGAACGTTACTACTTTCGCTTGCGTCGAATTGGGATTCCTGCGACTTATCCGGGAATCGGGAACACGTACAAGTGAGTTGGAACAGCTGAGCTGAGCTGCTTTAATACGGTGCACGTACTTCGAAAGCATACGAGAACCGTAGGTTCTTTGAATAGAAGCAGATCTAAATTACGGGTCTGTGATAGAAGATCAGTTGTTTTTATGCGAAGCCATGTAAAAGACTGTATGCGAATTATTCAACTTGTTTTGAGTCTTAATGACGACTTCCACTCTGGTTGTCGAAACGCCAGTCAATACTCAGGTCAGTACCTCGTCAGTATTAGCGACAGCAGTCCTTTCCAGGAATGCTTTTACCCAGAAGATCAGAATATAAGATCAGTAGAAATACATCTGTAAATGTTGTTGAAATATTAAAACTCTCGCTTGCTGGCTTGAAGCTTTAGGTCGAGTGGGATATGTTTTATTTCGAATCACAGAGATATTTCCTATAAAACCCTGTTAAAGGTTTAAAAGTGTCCAAGTGGTTAAAAACATGTAACTCATAGGGCCCACATGGTCCCCCTGTAATAGTGGTTTCAAAATAGGGCAAAATTTTGATAACCACTGTTAATTAGTTGGAGTGGTAGTGGGGCTGGTGGTAAAAAGAGAGGGGGAGGGGCTGTATCTTTTGACCTGTTGGTATAGCATGACAGATATATGTGCAAGTCTTCCCTTGCCTGCCATACTTGCTCTACATTTCACATGGCAGAATTGCCTTTTCATGCATGAGATCTCATTGAGTTCTGTGTAGTTTGGTGAGGTCTTTTGAGATGTTTTGATTCAGTCAGATCTTTTTGCAAGGGATTGCACTTGAAATGAGATATTTTCTCCAAATTTAAGATTTATTAAGGCTTGCATATTTTCTTCTACAAAAGATCTTTCATTAAAACTTCGACAATAACAGTTTTTACTCTTGTTTTCAGAATTAACAAAGGGATAACTGTAGTTGGAAGAAATCCTTCATCTGATATTTTCCTGGATTCCAAAAAGAATAAAGTTATGATATCTAGACTTCATGCACAGATTATTACAGAGGAGGACAGCTCAGGAAAGCAGACCTTCTCAATCTCTGACACAAGTCTCAATGGCACATATGTGAATGACATTAAAATTGCTGATACTTGTAATCTCAGCCCAGGGGATACTGTTACATTTGGACATATAAGGGGAGCTGTTTTGACCCCTGGGGAGCTTGCTCAACAACCAGAATCTGAGTTCTGTTTTAAGGTGAGTTGTTGTGATTGGGTGCTATGACTACAGAGTTTACACAATACAGTAAATGGTTTGAACCCGGGGGTAACATGTAATAGTGTAGTTTGATCGTCCGGGTGAGTGTAGTCCTGAGAAGGACTGTTGTCGGTAGTGGTGACTGACGTTTCGACAACCTGAGCGGAAGTTATCATCAGAGTCAAGTGAAAGGTTGTTGTCAGTCGAATGTACAAGTAGTCCGGTTTGTGTACGCAGTTTACACAGTTTTGGGGCATGAAGGAAGTTGAACTATTGAAATCCCTTCCCCTCTTCAACAATTTCTCTGTAGATCTTATCTGTAATTCTCCTTACTGTCCGCAATATAATTTTTATAATGATGATTTAAGTGGAGATGGTAAAAGTTAAGCCTGGTGATTCAAGCAAAAGATGATGTTTTCAGTGAATGATGCAGAGATACTCTGATAATTTAAAAACTCTAATCAATCAGAGGTCTTTGTCTCCAAGCATGCCCATGCGTATTCTGAGAATTTGGTATGGGTCAACTAACAATCCGCTAATTAATATTTTTCTTTATTTTCATTGCTTGTTTGCTTGATAGGAGAAATTTAGTGTTAGTCACTTAAAATTTGTAGGTATCAAGTTCCTAGAATTTCCTGACATGTTGTCCAGAATCATTTATATGTTTAACATATATTTTAAGTGAATCAAGGTTTTGTGAGAATACCTGTCCAAAAGCAGTAAACAAAAACAAACAAACAAACAAATAATGAAAACCAATAAGAACAACAAAGAAAACCACACACATTGGCAATGGCCTGAGCTTGTACCCTGGCCTTGGTCTCTTAAATGCTAACAATCTCCCACATTATTACAGTTGTAACCAAGGTTTGATATTATCGTTCATCAATGTTACAAAAACTGTATCCCTGAATGGGGTACATTTACTTCACCATAAGAACCTGCCCTCAGCATTCATGTGTTTTTTGGCAATTCACTTGCACCAATTTACATTATTGAGTGGTTAAAGAGGCATTGTTTGTCAGAGCAAATGACAAAGGGCTAATGCTTGGAACATCAGCTTTGGAACTCTATAGGGTGGTAAATCTATGTTATCAACTCAGGTGATAATACTAAATTACCCTTCATGTATAATAATATTCCTAGCCAAGGGTCAATCATGGACAGACCTTGTTGAACAGATGTACCTGGTGCAGGTACATATTATACATGTATTTGTGATGGATTTCACTGAGATGCAAAATTATGATAATTTTTCTCCTTGTTAAGGTTTTAATTTTTTTTTTGTTAAATTTAGTTTGAAAAGTATCCAGCCACACCTCCTAACGAGAAGCAGAGGTCTTCAGAAGACACAAATTATTCTCCTGAATTTCAGAGACAGGTGTAGTGTACTTGCTGTCTTCCTTGTATTTTTCCTTAATTTTTTGATTCTCTAATTCTGTAAGGAAACAACCTCTTCATATTTATCCATTTTGTTCTCTTTTCTTTTATCTATAAGAAACAATCATCCAATTTATAAATTGCTTTTAATTTCTGACTCTTTTTCTTTTCTTTTATTACTGTAATTGTTATTTTTAAAAACATCAGCAAACACCAAGTCCTCAAAGACAGCCAAAGCCTGCATCAATCAAGACTCCACTGTTTCCTGTAGCTCACATTCCTGATCTTTCAGCTTTTCATACTCCAGGAACACCTGGATATTTGGCTTCTTCGTGTTCTACAGATAATTTCAGGTAAGTGCATATTAACTTCAATATTTATGATAATTAAGGTGTTGATTTTACACTTGGCATGCAACCTGAGGCATGGTTATAACAAATCTCTTTACATGCCATTGTATACAAGAAGGTGATTTGATTCTCTAAAAAAAATTAATAAGGGTGAGATTGGCTCTCAGGTAAATTGTGGTAATTTTTTAATTATGCCTTCTTTTTGTCATACAATCAATGATAAATTAGTTGGGAGAATTAATTTTGTATCAAAATAATACACTCAAGCTGATGTATTGACACCCAGTAAGTACTCAAATACTGTACATTTTCATGTACTTGGTCATTTTGGCTTCTGGCATTTTACAAAGACCTACTCAATTTTGATTTTAATAATCACAGATTACACAGTCCCATTCGTGGTAGCTCAAAGTGGCAACATAATCATGCTAGCCAAAATTTGGATTCTGATCAAAGTAATGATGATCTCAGAGCATATGCAGCTGCTGCAGCAGATGCTATGGCCGATAGCGAGGAGGACATTTTTTCAATTCGGCTGCCAGAGTCTCCTGAATCATATGAAAAACCTGGCACATTCTCTTTCTGTGCAAATAAGCAGACATTTATGAACAGCCATACTTCCAAGACAATACACCAACCTTCCCAAAGAAACATCAGAGAAGGAACAAAAAGATCTATTGGTAAAGGAAAGAGTCCTCTAAAAGGTAATTGTACTTATATTCTTTAGTTGAGAAAAATTATTTAGAGCTGATCAGTAACTTTGCAGCATAACTTAAATAAAAAATCCAAGGCATGATTTTAGTCACACTAGTCAACCTTAGTTGAATGATTGATCTTAAACCACAAGTCATCTCCAGCTACAAATAGCATGATGGCATCCTAATTAATAATCAAAATGTAATACAATCATGTGAATTGCATGAATCCTGTCAGCAACACTTATAAAGTTATCCTTTTCACCTAGTATACCTATCACTGATAGAAAACTTCAAGTAATTTTCTTTTCTTCTTGGTGTTGGAATACAAAGCAGGCAACTCAATAGACTGACAAGTACATGTACATGTACTTATCAGAAGGAGTCAAAATTTGATGTGTCTCCTTATCTTGGTGATTTAACAAATAAAGTTCACACTGTTATACAGCAAGATAATGAATTCAATACACATGTGTGTGTGTGTTATTTGCACTTGCATGTATGTTCTAGTAAGTTTTCAGCTTGAATTCAAAATTTGTTGTACCCTGTATTTTAGTGGCCAGTAAAAGACCAAGAAAGCATACCAGGACCTACAAGAAAAATTCACACAAATCTACCACAAGCAGTGACAGTGATAAAGATGAAGACAATCTCTTGTACAATTCTTGTTCATCTGTGGACTGTATTCATCCTCACAATAGAGACAAACTTGTTGACTGGGTACAATGTGATGACTGTGACGACTGGTACCATGTGAAGTGCACAGGGCTAACCCTTGAGTCTGTGCGTCCAAAGTCAGCTAAGTTCCATTGTGGCTGTGTATGAATCCTTAGAGTGGCTTTCTAACCATTTAACTCCTAAGATTTAAGTAGTGATTTTCCATGTTATTGGTCATTTATCACATACAATTTTAGATCTAAGACTTGATGGTCAATCGAGCAATACCCCCCTATCTGATATAATATTTCACTTCTCATCACCTTTTTGCTTGAAAATGTATGGATGTTGTGAGGAGAAGTTCATGCCTGGTCACTCTTGGGAACAAAAAGGTTAAGATAAGGGGCTTGGGGCTCATATGAGAAGTGCTTTTCATGTAAAGTTGACCCCTTAGACCAATCACATACCCATCATGGTCTGAACTCACTGAACATTGTTGCAGGGACAAGTCTCAGAGATAAAACTTCTCTATTTACATACATGTAGGCATCAATGCTACATGCACTTGACTGAACTAATTTTGTTGCAGCAATCATATTTACAAATTAAAACCAGTTTGAATTTGTCCGAAGCAGCTGTACCTTTTAGGCACTGGCTTGTTTGTTTCAAAATCACCTGTCAATGTGTGTTGCTGTTTCAAAGTTTGTTTTGCTGTTCCTTGTCAATTAAGTGACAGCATTGAAAATTATCTATAAAAATTCCATATAAACACAAAGGGTCCCATTTAGGATTCTAATAGTGGACCTGTGCATTGGGTTGCATAACTTGTTTTATTTTTTAATCAACTAGTTTCCTTTTGTTCTTAAACTAGGTTTTATGAATTTAGACTGGTCTGTAAGGGATGAATCCAATTTTGTTGTAGATAAAACTGGTTTCATGTGGGCATGTCATGAACTCAGGAATTCAGCTCTGCCTTCATAAATTTGTCCTTGACAATATATATTTATTGGCAAATATGAAAAAAAAAATTAAAAATGAAGAGAATTACACAAAGTTCTATGAATTTTAAGTGCCAAGTAGGCCTTATGAAGGTTGTTACTTATCAATTTATTTCAAAATCACCTGCTGAGGTAAATTAAAAGTTGTTTTTGAAAGCTCGTCTCACTGTTGCTTTTCCCTAAAGGGAAACAGCTGAATATTATAATTTTGATTAAAAATATGACTATATAATTTTGATAATATAATTTTGAAAAAATATTATTTCATAAAGTATTGTAAATTTCATAATTCAGTTTTTCCATCATATTGACCAGATTGTTACATTGTGCATTGTTGTGAAACTCTAAAAATAAAGCTGTATTAGCTTTGTTTAGTTTGTAATTGTTGTGATCAAAGAATTTCTCTTGTTATTTTTTTCTCTAGTTTTAACTATTTGAACTAAATTGTATCATTATAACATCTGACAATGATTAATTTATGATTATTCATATAAATTGTTTTCATCATTTCCAGTTTGTCAGATAGACCATTTACATGTACAAGTACAACCAAGTATGTTGTAGACAGTCTTTCAGTTAAGAATATTGAGAAATTTCAAATGTATAAGGAAGCTCAAAACTGGTTTACAAGCGAGAACAGTCGAGCATACACTTAAGGAGAAGGAGTAAGCTTGATCTCTTCTGAAATTTTCTTGCGAAAGTCTTCAGAGAAACTCCCTTCAGGCAGGCTTTGAAGTAGTATCTGCTGTAATTGTACTGTGTCTGGTCCTACAATCAGTTCTGGGTCTTTGTTCTTTTTGGCTGTGTTCTGTATTAGAAATCCTTTGAAGCCAAGTCGGGATTGCATTTTTCTGATAGGGTATATAAAGCCTTGATCTCTTGCAGAGTCAAGCAACTGTTTGATTCTGTCATGGTTTGGGTCTGTTGGAAGTATCTCCCACTGTGGATCAGGACGACCAGAAAAAACTAACAAGGTGATTTTCAAGTTTCCTACAACAAATGCAAAAGAAGTATGCATATGATATACTAATATTGTATTACAATCAATTCAGCCAAGAAAGGTCTTAACCCTTTACACTCTAACATCAGAATGCATATTCTTGATACTGTTCTCTATTAAATTTCCTGAGGTGATGATAAGGAGAATTTGTTTAACAATCAAGAGTTTCTGTAGTAGGTGATCATTTCCTTTATCCCTTGTGACCATAATGTGTGATTCAGGGCTGATATAGTAAAGAGAAATTAGATGCTACTCACTCTTTGGGGTCAAACAGTGAAAAAAATGCTACAAAATGTTGGAAATTATTTATATTAATTTGATGCTTGAAACAAGACAGCATTTTTTAGTATTTCAAAAGTAGTGCAGTGAGAAGCTTTGTTACATGATTCTGAACAGATTTTAGCCTCAAAGAGAATGTTTGACAGATATTAGTATATTCCTGGTGAATAATGCTTTTTGGTCATGCTTATTGGCTAGTTTGGAAGTGAATAGCTAGTACTATTCACCTCTGAGCAGCTGATGAGACAAAATTGTGCCGCAAGAGTGTAATTTCTAACCATTTTTTGGTATAATGAATGAAATAATCTTATATTTTTGTATCTGTGTGGTATATACTAAAACAATTATTCATCTCAGTGTTGTTGAAAGTGGTGGATTTTTACCTTTACTCCAGTGAAAAATTGTTAATTAACATTTCGAAAGAAAGACAATCTCCAAAAATGAGTGAAATCAACCAAAAAAAGACCTATTCGTTAAGGTCATTCTTTAATTACCAGACTCCTTGCATGTTGCTGTTGGTGAGTCACTTGATGTTCCTTCTTGTTGATCTACACCTACACTCAAAGCTTCTTTCCTAATCTTCTCTGAGAGATCCTCTCTTATCTTACCAGGGAGCAATTCACTTGGCATACTTTTAAGTAACAACTGTTGAAGCATTGCTGTGTGTGGACCAAAAATATATTCCAGATCTTTTATCCCTTTGGTTGTGTCCTGTATTGTGAATCCTTTGAAGCCAAGTCGTGCTGGCATGTCCTTAAAGGGATTCAGAACAAACCCTCCAGCTCTTGCAGTGTTAAGAAGCTCTTCAATTTTGTTGTAGTTAGGATCTGAAGGAACAACTTGCCACTCTGGATCAGGAAGACCAGAATATATTTTTATGGAAACTTTCAAGTTCCCTGCAATAAAAGAGGACTTATGAATTTCAAATAGTTCTGGTCCTTGTGAAAATCGTTCCATGCAAATCTTTACAGATGAAACTCATACTTTTATGATACTTCAATTTAAGGGTCCTCTGAAATATGAGAGGATTTGTCTTCATTAATGAACCACACAATTCAGTAAAGAGAGTGTTTATGGTTGGGCAGAACATGGTTTTTATTAATTCACTAATAAATCGTAATTAGCATTATATAATTATTTATATATATATCATTCACTTTACCCTTTGCAGTTGTCATGGTGGTATCTGCACTCAGAGTTGTTGCTGTATAGAAAAGAAAGGCCAACTATAAGTTTTCATCAACTGAAGATGATAATGAACATCATTAGAGTTTTTAAAAACATGAACACAAATGTAACTATTTATGATTACAAACTTTGTCAAGCATGGCTGATTCAAAGGGGGAAGAAAATCTCCTTTACTCCCATCTTATGCTTTCCCCTGCGAAACATTGCAGTTTTTCTTTCAGTTTCCACCTTTCTTTCCCGTTTCTTATCGAAATCTAACCGCTATTGTCCGAGGTTCTCATTCCAATTTCTACCTCCACCTGATAGTTGACTAATACCTGTTACCTAATACCCGCTTTAAAAATGCTCTCAGTCGTCACAGGTAAAACAAGCTAGACCGCTGTAAATCGGCTAAGAAACTCTCAAGATTCAAAAGACAAAACAAGAAGTGGGCTACGATTATTTTAATTCAAACTTCTGCAGATTTATGGGTTAGTCCTCATTTCTACACAAATCCCTATATGCTGCCTTTAGTGTGACAAAAACGCGCATTGTTCGATCTTGGGTTACCCGTGTTCGCGCTGTGTTTTGCCATTAAACAATAGAATTATATTACTTATGATTTTAAATTATCATTTATTCCATACATTTTTTTTCCGTGGGAAAAAGAATAAATAATAAGCTAAAAGTCAAGTGACCCAAATGAGTACTACTAACGTTGATTATAATTCATGACTAGTCTCAGACTTAAAAATAATCAATGAAAGAGGTGCAAAGCTTTGATATGAGGGGGTAGGGGGTGGTCGGAAGTGAAATTATTCTGCTCTCACTGCATGCTGTGCCTTTTATGCTCTGAGGTATTCAAATATTTTAATGTTACAATCTGGCGCGGTTTTTAGAAGGCATATACTGATAAAAAGATTGATCGTAGCAATTTGGACTCCACAATCGAACGATCGATCATGGGAAACCCGTAAACAATTTCTTAATAACATGTCTTCTGACGTTGTTTCCCCAGAAATTGTATTAAATCAAGTAATTATGTCGCAGTTTAGGATAAGGTTCGTAACACCGACTAGACTGACTGTTTTGACAAATTGCACCGGTCTTAATATAGGTGTAGAGGGGGCACTCGTGTGAACGGTCACAGAAACCCTGTGTTCTAATTTGAAAACCTTAAATTCAAATCTAAGCCAATTGTGTCGATTTGACTCATACGTACGTGCGTTTTCTAACAGCTTATCCTGACGGTTTAGGAAATGATATGTTCCACATAATCTCCTGGCAATAATTGTTATTTACGTACTCTACCTCTCTATGACCCTTAATGTTCTACGCATGGTTACCGCTCTCATCTACAAAATTGTATGCATAATGAAGCAATGGGAGGATCCCACCGTCAAGTTGTTACCGCTGAGTTTTTTTTTCCTTTTAATCTGGCCTGTGAAAACCCTGCAAAGAAGTAAGTTATTTCATCCTACCTTCAGTCGAAGCGTTGACAAGGAAAGTGAAATAAAGACACAGCAAAATTTGAAACAAACGCTTCGCTTTCGAAAACATCATAATGAAAAGACCGCGGTTGTACCAATTGAGGTTGCGTGCTGGAATGGGGGACAATTTCCGCGACAGATAAATTTGAACAAGATTTCATAGGTTCCAGTCTTCCCCGCCACGCCCATTTTGTCACGCGAGGGACAGTCCCTAGGTGTGTATTTTTACCCACCGAGCTTGAAGAAGCGTCTACTGGTCAGATATCAGAGAGAAGAGAGGGATCTCTCCATGTGCTGGAACTAAGAAGGGACATACAGAAGAGGAATGGCCATATATTTTGGTCACAGATGAGTGCATCCAGTCATTTTCAGGGTTGATATTGAGGGCCATTTCCAGTGTTCCAAGGAATGTTTTCAGAACCATGTAAGAAAGGAGAAACTAATTTTTATGGGTTGAGGAGGCTGAGCAAAGGGGTGATGCATTAATGGAGTTTACACTAGACACCTGCTTTTCTATAGGGAAGAACTTTGACAACTAGATTCCATCACTCTGATCCATTCAAAAACTAATATTTTTCAGGAAGTGGGTCATGCAAAAAACTTGTTCAGGACAGTATGAATTTCATCAAAATAAATAAATGTGTACATGGCTGGTAAACTAAACACCTGTAAACCTTTTACACTCTAACATAAGAATGCATATTCTCCATACTGTTCTCTGTGCATAATACCTAAGATACCGACAGGGAGAATTTGGCTAACAATCTAGTAACTCTTTAGTATGTGATCAGAATACCAATATATTTCTTGTATTCCTAACATGAGACATGGTAGCTTAAAGGTTATAAAGTGTGCTGAATGTGGAAACAAAAGGTCTGGAATGGAACCATGACCAGATAAGGTGATGTGTTCTTGGGCGAGACAGGTTAATCTCATAACACCCCTCTCCATCCAGTGTTAATGGCAGGCAAACCAACAATGAAATCTGACAAAGTACTGTGGGTAACCTGCAGTGGGCTGGCATCCCATTCATATGAAGCATCAAATGAGGTGGGGGGGGGGTGGGGGAGGGGTGGTGTTTGACTTAGCCTGTATGCAGACTTAACAAGTGCACTTTGCAGACTAGTTAAATAATTAACAGACCAGTTAATTAATTCCTGACATTTATTGAAGTACAGCACTCCCATGCCTCACTCTAAGAGCTCTCTGTGGCATGGAACATCAAAATCAATTTTTTTCACTTATTTTTTTTTGACTTGTGCCACAGTCTTCGTTGAAAATGAGGGACTGGGTATAGTCTTAAACAATATTTGGCTAAGCAAAGTAAGCTCTAGAAATTTATCAAGTGTGTGTTTTCATAAAATGGGAAAAAGAGAGTATATCTTTGAGCTATTTTTTTGGTGACTTTGCAATTTCTCTTCTTGAGACCTGTGACAGAACAATACACATGTACCTATTACATAAATAACAACTTGTGATTTTCACCAACTATACAAACACCTAAATCTACTCCAAGAAAACAATAATAACAGATTGATTGCCTGACTTAGCATAGATTTATCAGAAAGACATGGAAAGGTTTCTCACTATGCTCTTTTGAATGTTTTCTAGGGCAAAAACCATTATATCCCAGGCAAAATATTTTTATTTACATCATTTTTATGATTGTTTTGTCCATGACATTCAAATCAAAACAAAGAGGAGTATTATGCAAGTTATAACCACAGTGAATGGAAGCCATGTCTTCAGGAATGCACCCACACTGCAAACAATGATTTAAAAAAAAAAGCTGTTAATCTGTTGTTGGTGATATCAATAAAAAAAGACAAAGATAAAAATATTGTGCCTGTAAACGTAAGATTCATGAAAAAACATGTCAGTTGGACCAGGAAAACTTGCGTTGATAAGTGACAAGGACCTGTATCTCATGCATGATGCCATCAATCTAGCATCTTTGTTATGATACAACTTTCACAGTTTATGTTTTGAACCAATAGTAACAGTTGAATAAAGGGGGTAAGTTTCTAGAGAAACTGTGGTGCTGCATTGGTGGGAGAGTATAGCAGGTTATTTAGTGTTAACAACTGGGTTGAAAACATAAATTGGCCACCGTAAAGAATAAAAGAGCTGAAATTTTGAGTGTTAGCCCTTTGTCAGGGTGATACATGAATCACTCTGACAAAGGGCTAATGCTCAAAATGTCAGCTTTTCCACTCTTTATGGTGGCCAATTTACGTTTTCAACCCAGTTGTTAACATTAAATTACCTGCAATAGTAACAGTTGTCTGGGAAGTGTACCTGGGTCAATTTTTGCCTGGTGTATGCTGCTGGCCTATCAGAACCCCTGCCCCATTCTAGTCTAGCCTATTACTCCTTCCCCCCCCCCCCAACTCCCCTCTTGGAAAAGTTTATCATGTAGGTAAGATTATCTAGGAGAGGGTCCTGAAAAGGAGTAGCAGAGTGGCAGTAGTTGATGGCAATGAACCACCTTTCAACAACCTCAGAAGTCACTGTTACCTAACTGTCACCAACAACAGTTCTCTTCAGGGAAATTCTCAACCTGAGGATCACACTACATGATGAATTAACCCTTTCACCCTAACATCACTATGAATATTCTCCAAACTGCTCTCTATACATTTCCTTAGGTACACATCAGGAGAATTTATCTAACAATCAAGAGTTTCTTGAAACCGTGATCATTTCCTCTATTCTCTCAGCCCTAAAGTTTGATTCAGGGGTGATACTTTTAGGAGAAATAAGATGCTTATCACTCTCAGGGGTTAAATGGTTAAATGGCATCTGCTGTCATCATGTCTAATAATAGGTAAGGGAATTGAATACAAAAATGCCTCCAAACATACCTGACAAATTTCCCAAAAATAAACATGTTGAATGCCAATTTAACCATGTTCCAGGAAGATGACCTTTCATACTGCATCATATTCAGTGACATGGCAACATGTGAGTGGCAGTTGTCACAAAAAAGGTTATGCTGAAAAATGAAATAAAAAATTTTAAAAAAATTGGCAATTGTCATGATTGCAATATAATCATAATTTTCACTATGCTAACTGATCAGTTAACTCACCATTCTGTGTTTGTACTCCTCTGATGCAGATGAAATGGCCACATCCCAGCTGTTTTGTACACTGGAAGCTTTCGCTGGATTTAGACGTAAGTATCTGTAAGTAAATTGTATTTGGTTTTAATTAATTTAAAGATATAATTGTATCCTAGATAATTTTTTAGGTCTTTCAATTATCAATTCTTCTGCCTTGACATTCTCAGTTCAGATTTAATGGACAACATGGAAAATTATCAAAATATCATGCTTGTTCTTTGATATTTGGTGGAACTAGGTCATGAAACACATCTCAAATTAAAAATAAGATACACATATACAATCAGCTGTACAAAACTACTTACTTTGTTGGTCTTCCAAAGGCCATATCATCTTCCTTTCAAGAAAAATAACAGTGTAAGACATGGTAAGGGATTCCTGTTGTTTGGTTGTTGTATTTCGATATCTGTACATGGCTATCTGTAACTTAAAGTTTGTAAATGGTGCATACTTTGATATGGTCATTACTGCAACGTGTGTTCTAGGCTTAAAGCACAAATGACAAAGGTATCACTTACTGAAACATAGTATGGACCAGCAAAGTCTCTTATTACACCTGAAGACATGGCAATCCCCATATGGCCAACGAAAGGGAAAAGCCACCTTACAATATATGAATAAAAAAAGTTAATTAGTAAAGGAGTTTTTAGAAAGACTGATAGAAAGTGTAAAAACTAGCCTGCTATTCATTAATACCCATTTGTGCTGTGTGTTTTTTTTTCTTAAACAACTGGTTCTAACTCTTCTAAAAAAGGTTCCGTTGAACTTTACCAGTCATACAACACCATCTTTCCTTTTTGTCTTTTATCGTCTGAACTTAGATTGCAAGAAAACCACGATCTTTTTTTCCAAGTAGGAGGGTGGTGTCGACACTTTCATCTTTTTTCCTCAAGGAGACTTAAATTAGTTAACTAAACTGAAGGGGTGTACGGAATTTTTTTAAACTGTCGATCCTCATAGTCGAGTCATACATAGATTTCTTCTGATTAAGATTAAAAAATAATTTAAAAAAGGTTACCACTCACTTTATCATTTATTGTGCTACTATGTTAAGAAGAAAGCAAATATTTCCATGTTTATCTTTCGTACATAATTTAACCCAACTAATTGCCCTGGATAGTTAATTTCCAAAATTCTCTCTAACTTAATCAGAACCAGATCACAGGAACGAAATCATTTCACAACAGTAAACATGCACACTTTAAAATAAATATATATACTCACGTAAGCACCGGGATTGGTGTCCAGACAATACAGTAAGGATATCTGCTCCGGGCTGCGTCGATTTTTTTATAGTTATCCTCGGCATCCATGATATTTTCTTCTGGATTATCTGCCATCATGTAGCGACATTACGAAGAACTCTGTGATCGAAGGCCGCCATGGAACGTATGATATGGGACATTTCATTGCTTTTATCACAACACAACTGTTGCTGATGAGTAGATCTGCTGAAGGCGTAACACTGGCTCCTTGGAAACCAGACGCCATGGACGCCATGTTTGCTTGACTGGTGTTTTGATCTGTCTTGATTTGAAATTTATCGTTCGTTTTAACGATGAACAAGGACGCATATTTGTTGAATGATGTGAATTCTGGACACTTCACAAAATTTAATTTTCGGCTATTAGCTAGACGGTGAGCAGTTTCAGGTGAGTCGAACGAAAATTAATATCCTTCGAAATTGCATGTTTTGATGTTTTTCGTTCACTCATATTCAGATATTCTTGCAAAACTTGACTGTTTTTTTTTTTATGAGCAAAGTTATGTGCCCTCGACTTGATAAAAATAAATAGTTTATATCTCCTCGTTCCCTGAGTGTTAAACTGATACAAATCTTTTTTTGAATTACTATACGTTCTTGCAGAAATCAAACATGGTTTAGTTCAAATAGAAACTTTCTTCTCTGCACTGTGATGGAACGATTCATTCCCGAGCACCCCCTTCCTACAGAAATCCAAGAGATGCCAAAAGATGACACAGTTTGTCAGTTCTGTGGTGTCAGCTACCTTATTCACAGCGAAATGAAAGCATTGGAGGAACGTGTCAAGGAAGCAGAGAGGAAAATGCAGTACTACGTCGAAAGTGTAGAGCGAGAAGAAAAACTCAAAGTTAAAGTGGCCAGTATGGAAGAAGAAAGTGATAAGCTTTCAAGGGCATTGCAAGCAAGTGATGAAAGGTGAGAAGATATAAAGTAATGTCTTGTTATCAAATAGATTTCTTGTTGCAGTGCATCTGTTCAGTAATAAATCACAGATCGTGAATCAAAATGTGGTGAGAATGAGACACTGCTGTCCATACCACATTTTGATGTCTTCTGTGATCTATTACTGAACAGAACCACAATAACATGGAATCTATTTGTTTTGCAGGAGTAGCTAAATGTAATAAATGGTGATGTCATCTGTGTCTGTCTTCCAATAGATCATAACCAAGGAAGGATATGCATATAATTCAGTTTATTATATAAATAAGTTTCATGGTACTTTGTATGGTCTATCAAACTAATATGTAATCAATGTTAACCCTTTAACTCCCAGAAGTGATGAACATGTAATTTCTTCCTATAATTTCCTTACATTGTTTAGCAAACAGGTACTGAGAACACTCAAACTTATCAGGTATAAATTGTTATCTTGATTTAACACCAAATTCTCATAACTAATTTACAAGGAAATGTACAGTAGCAAGAGGAGAAAATTACCAGTCAGATCATGGGAGTTAAAGGGTTAATTAATGCATTGTTGATCTATTTCATTATTCCCTTTTTTTGGTTCACTTACCAATTAGTCAGAGCTACAACTCAATTTATTCAATAAATAACTTCAGTAGCTTGTAAGAAATTTTGAATTATTCAAACTGCACAAACCCCTTTGAGCTTAACTTATCAGAATTAACTGCCTACAGGGAGCTTTAAATAGCCTTAATTGTGTACTTCAGGAAAAACAAAACTCATGTCTTAATATTACTGACCTTTACTAAAATATGAGCAGAATTTCATTATTTGATAATAACATATTATAATCTTGTTGGTAGGACCAAGATTTTGGTGCAAGAGTTAACTTCAAAGCAAAGCCAGATTGAAAACTGTAAACAACAGAAAGACGATCTTGAAAAGGAACTTCAGAGAAAGAACGAAGAAGTCAAGAGAACTCAGTTGAAGTTGAATGATCTTGTGAGGCAAATTTCATCCTTTCATGAAACCTTACAAACACAAAGGACAGCACTAAATGACATTAAAGTTAGTGTTAGAGAAAATTGTCGTAACATCACAGAGAGTTACAGTAAAGTTGTGAATACTGTTGCTCTTTCATGTGAGAAGTTTGCAAAGGATACAAAAGTCCTTGAGGAGAGTTTATCTAAGGTAGGATGGTACTTTGTGAAATGCATACAGTGTCACTCTTTTCCAGTACTTAGTTGACCCTTTCACTCTCAAGATCTCTACAGTAGTTCTCCTTACTGTCTGCCATGTGATTCTTAAGATGATAGCTCAGAGAGTTTGGTATTGGATCAACTAAAAACCCCTTAATTGATATTTTTCCTTATTCTCATCACTTGTCTACTTGTTATAGTATTGATATTGTAAGGGGAAATTCTGTTTTGGTCACTCTTGGGAGTTAAAGGGTTAATGTAAGCGGCAAATATCTTCATTGAACAAATCGAGAACCTGAGACATTATCATTCTTAGAGAACACCAAGTTGTGTGCCATTCATACTAACATTCTCTTACACAGTGTGTGGGTGGGTTTCTGAACTAATCTCTAGTTGTTCATGTCTATAATTCTTTGTCTTACTGATGTGCATTTGAGTTTTTTGTAATCACTAAATGACACGATACAAACTTTTCCATTAGTGCGAAAATGAAAAAAAGATGCAACATGAGGCTATTGGCAAAGCTGAAGCACTGGTCATGGAACTTACTTCAAAATGCACTGAGTTAGAAGATAGAGTTGATGCCCAAGAGAAAGAATTGATCAAAACAAAGGAACAGAATCACACCTATAGCAAAGAATTATCACAGTACAAGGAACTCATGAAGTAAGTAGTACAGTAGACTTAAAAGCGAGACATCCCAGGTTGAGCTCTGGCTGGTGTCACTGTGCAATACTGTCAAACTCTGATACTGTTTTGATGTTTCAACCTATCAGACAAACCTGATTAGTTCTAGTGATAGGAAGGGAACATGAAGGGGAGGGAGAAGATGGTACTTGGGTACACAATTTGCCTGGACTACAACAGATTGTGTATTGAGAAGTGTACAAAGTCTTTACTAGCAGAACTCTCCCTTGGTTTAACACCTCACCTCCCTTGATATTAGCATCCCAATTCTTTCCACTTTTATAAGAGTTGACTGTGCTCTGGTCAGGTGGTTATGTGGTTGTAATCAAATTTGTAATTGTAAAATTTTATTTACTTTTATTTATATCCTACAAAAGAAAAAATACTTATTAATATTGATTAAATTTGTAACTAAAGATGCAGATACACACCAATTGTGTAATCTTTTGTAGTGATGACTTTAAGTTAAAATGATGAGTTTGTTTTAGCTTGAATAAGTGGTGGTGTAACTTCCAATAGATGTTAAATTCAGTATAATGTTTCCTTTCAGTTCTAAAGTTAATGAAGTGAATGAATGGAAAAACAAATTTCAAAGTGAATCAGGAAGTTTAAAAGAAGAAATCAAGAAAAATCAAGGCGACATTTCATCCAAAGAGAAGCAGATTCAGCAGCTAGTGGAAAATTGTAAAAATCTAGAGAAGCAGGTTGCAGAATATTCAAAGGCAAGGAATGATGTAGAGGAGAAAAGTGCAAATTCCCTGGAGGAAATCAAGGTAGAGTTGTTTAATTTGTTCTTCTTGCTCCTTCCATTTTTGTTTCAGTTTCTTCAATCTTATAGTTGCTTCTTTGTGAGTAAATTTGAAGAGTTAAGTTAGAATGCAATCTAGTGGTCAAATGTCAGTTGACACTGTTAATTTATTACTCAATTCTCAACACTATCTCAAAAAATTAATTAAAAGAAGATAATTGAATTTGGAATCTGTTGACCAATGACTTCCATATTACTGCTACTGCATTTGACAACTTAACACTTTGTTTCACATATACAGGACTCGTAATTTACTGACAGTGAAAATGTTATTATGTTATTAGTAAAAATTATAGTTAGTGATGAAACTATCTATATCATTCTCCATCATTTTCCTTGTCTTCATAATCTACAACTTTTAAGACTTTTACAAATTGCTGTACAGTGTTATTGTACCTACATACAATAAAAAAAGACAATTTTTTTCCTTTTTTGATAAAATATTTTGGTTACCTAGTACATGTAACTAATTGTTTATATTCTGTTTTAATTTTGTGTAAAGGCTTTGAAGGAATCCTGCTTCAAAGCAAAAAATGAGGTCACAGCTCTAAAAGAAGAAAGGTGTGCCTAAGATATTTTGTATATTCCATATTTAACATGGTAGTGTTAAACTAAGCTTTGTAGTTAAGTGTCAAACAGTCCATTTGAGTCAAGATTTTATAAGCAAGGGTTGTATTCCATTTTACATAGACATCCACATATTTTACCTGAAGTTGCCTGTACCTCAAACAAAAATTGCAGTGGAGCTTCATTATTTTTACTACCAGTTAGATTATTTATAAAGGAACTCTTACAGGGCTTTAAATTTTTTCCTAATTTATCTTTAATTTTTCCTCATAATCCACCTATTCTTTACCTACTAATTACACAGACCTAGCTTTGCATAAATAGCTTTCAATAGTAACACTACTTACTTGGCACACAGCTTAAAACAAGTACAATAATTATCTTATTTACCATCTTTACCAAAAAAAACTAACCTAACTTACATGTACACGTACATGTGTTTTTCTATTACTATTATTATTATCATCATCTTATTCATCATTGATATCTAGTTATAATTATTCCTATCATTTTTTCCCCCTAAATGCATGTGGATGGTTAACAGAGAGATGATGATATCTGCCCATCACAACCGTATAGAGCAACTGAGAGAAAGCTTTAAGAAAAAAATGGAAGAGGCAGATGCTTGGCCAGAAAAGGTACCAAACTATCCCAATTGTATGCAGATTTAACTTCAGAGCAAAACCAGATTGAAAACTAAAAACAATAGAAAGGTAGTCTTCAAAAGGAACTTTAGAGAAAGAATAAATAATAATTTTCAAAGAATCTTAACCAAAATAAGCCATTATAACCCTCTTAATAACCTTTTCTCGTCATTTCAGCTCAACAAAATTGTGAAGGAAAAAGAAGAACAGTTCAATGAGGAGAAAAACAACCTGTGGAGGGATTTAACGGAAGGATTTCAGAAGGTACACTGCATTGCTTCTTTGGCTTGTCAATGCATACAGAGTATGTTAATAATTCTGGTGTAACAAGGGCATTTAAATGCATACGGTTCTGAGGCCACCTCCTAAGAACTGACTCCTTTTTTTTTTTTCGCCTGATGTGTTGCAATAATGACATATTTTTTTTTGCTCTGGGTGCTCTGTTTGTGCACTTTTCGCGCGTTAGAGCTCCGCAAGAACGAAAAACATGATGTCACAGAAATATTTCTTAAGTTTTCCTTATCAGAAAAAAGCAATGATTTTCTCGTTTATGAAATATGCTTTATGTTTTGTTTTTTTGTTTTTCCGAAATTTGACGGTGCTGTTTCTTTCCGCCGTGTAGTATCTTCAGAGGATATGACTTCATGTTCCTTGCAACATGCACACTACGGGAGCTGTTCTTTATAACAAAAAGTTGTGCTCATGCTTAGAGCCACTTTTACTGCATATATGTGTCAGTGCAAGTTATTGTACACGACGGTTTTTTTCTTGTGAAAATGTCACGTATTCATTATTCCTCTCAGTAAATTTTGTTTAGTTTGATTTTTTGTTTTGTTTTTTGTTTTGTTTTGCCTTATTCCTTTTTTTATATAGGAAATGGACGAAGAACAGCAGAAACACCAAGAAGAGCTCGGCTTGTGGAAGAAGGAGGCCAAGGCTGCACAAGACAGAGTACGTAGGATACTGGTCCAGTTATTTGATATCTGTTTAAAATTATGTCCTCTCCCATGCAAGTAGTTATGAAACGAAAACAAAACAAAATTGGCGAATAAACTCATAGTTTTGCCGAAACTGCACAGTGAGTAACTTAAACAGAAATGATACTGAACTTTAATTGTTATCTGACGATTGTTTGGATAGACTATGTGGATTTCCTTTACCCTTGCACGAGAAGCGAACGGCCAAGAATGAGTCGCTTTGCTATCTCAATGATTAAATCTGGTCACTTCGCTCAAACACTTCTTTTGCACTTCCCTGTGTGTAGTTTAAAGAGGACATCACCACCATGAACCGAAGACACCGTGAGGATATCAAACGTCTGGAACGAGAATTGACTGAAGCTAAAGTGGGTGAACTCTTGATTCTCATGAGCGCTTTTCGATTGAGTGTCGTGACACCTAAATCAAAGTAACTATGGCCAATCAGCATAAAAGTTGGTAATCTCGAGGAGCCAATAAGAACTCAGAACAAAAACACGAAAACGACCTTAAACGCGGGGAAACGCGAGTGACCTAGGCGCGATTGGTTCAGTTTTTGGATCTGATTGGTTGGAGAGGGTTGCGCCAATCACAGAGACTAGTTACGTATCATGGTAATACGAAACCAAAGCAATCTCGATTTCTGTGTAGACTCAGTTCAAATAATTCGTGACCTTTTTTCAGCTCGTTGTCATTGCACAGAGTGGGCTAGCTGAGGCGAAGGTGAAACCTATCTCTTCAAGTCATGAACCTCTTTTATGTAGTCAAATCATACCGGCATAATTACAAATAAAGGTAGTTTGGAAAGAAATTCTGCAATCTCTGATTATGGAAGTTCCCTTTCCCAAAATGTTGTATTTTCCGTAATCTTTCCAAGTAGTTCTTTGTCCTGAGGTTTTGTAAGTTTTTGTACTCTGTTAGGTTATCTTGAGACGACTTACATTTACGAAGGTTACTCTTTTTCTAGGAGAAAAGTGAACAAACAAAAAATGCCGATGACTCGCTCGTACAAAATCTGGAAGCGAAAATCGTAGATTTGGAGAATCGCTTGCGTCAGCCGTTGGCAGACTCCGAAGAAGTTCTAAGATTAAGAACCAGGCTCCAGGAGTTGGATAAGATGCTCCAAAGTGCCGAGCAGCAGATAAACGAACTGGAAACGAGAAGTGAATCTTGGAGACAAGAGGTACCAGGTTCTTTATTCCTGAATGTCGTGTCATACATGGTCCCTTCTGATTTGTCTGTTTGGCTCTCTGTTTCTGACTGTCTGACTGTCAATAAAAATAAAAATAAAAAAATTGCATGAACTTCCTCTAAACTGTCTGCTTTCTCTTTCTAAGTCTGCGATATGTGTCCCACGATCATTATTTTCTATTCGTTTCTGAACATTTTTTGCCTGCCTGTCTGCTTTTCATCTACCGGTCTGGTTACCGCTTACGCCAAGGTTTGATGTCCTTGACAAATTTAGTTCAACTGGAAGACGAAAGGAAATAATGTTAGGTCGAAAAGGATAGAGATTCTATTTGTCTGTCTACCTATGCGTTTGTCTGCCTGTCCTTCCGTCTGTACCTCTTTGTTTTTACCTTTTTGTTGAACTTCTCCTTTCCTATCTTTTACTCGTTTATTCTTCTGTGTAGTAAATAAGTTTTCATCTTCGAAGCGGAAGGGTTAAATCTTCCGGTTAAGTAGTGTACTTCAAATTTGAGATAGGGAAAAATCTTTTTTGTTAAAACTAACGTACTTCTTACTATCGTAGGTGGTCTTTTTACAAGAAACTGTTCGACGCGAGTGCGAGGAACGCTTTGAGCTGACCGATGCTCTTGGTGAAGCACGGGCTCAGTTGTTAGCTCTTCAACGCACTTCCGGTGCCTCGCTGTCACGAAGTAGTCTCAATTCATCTAGTTCTTCCAGCAGCGTCATCCGGGGTAGTCGCAAAGGACATGACGTCAATGGACAAAGTGACAGTTCTACCACCCAGGCTATATCTTGCCCCGTTGGATTTGATGGAGGCGTAGGGTGTAGGCCTGGCACACGTTCACGTGACACGAGAAAGTTGTCGCGTGAAGGAAGTGTAGACGATAGTCGAAAGCGAATCGCCGCTGCCGTTCGGCAATCGGGGACAAAGAGCCGTTTGGGGGGAAATTTTAGCAGTTGAAAAATTCCAAATACTTTGAAAAAAGGGAGAACTTGTAGATATGAGTTGATGGCAAATGGGTAACGACAAGGAGACCAGAGAAATCTGGATGGAGATCGGGGAAACGCTTGCCAGCTGTCACAACGGCTGAGAAACTTTTTTCGAGCGAAGAGAAGAGCAAGATTTTAACAAGCATCGATTTGATTACTGTAGCGAGCGTGGTACGCACCCAAGACGCATCATACGTGTAGTACGTCTTATTTATGTATATTTGTATGTAGCTCCATTTAAGTGGCCCTTGTGTATAACGCACTAAGCTTTAACTTTTAAATCTTAACGCATTCAGCTACACACAAGCCGATTTCGTATCTGCTAGGTGAATATGGGCGTTGATACAGAGTCATTGACCTAAACCTAGAATTCATGGTTTAGGATTTTTTGCTCTGTTTTGATACTTAGCTTTGTGATTGAGTTACTCTATGCCCTCTTTTCTTCTAGACGAGGAAAGAAAAACTGAAAGGCAAAGAGTGTGAATACAACTGGTTTAATCCTCGACTGATAATATAATGACTATGTCTGTTGAACATAATTAGTTCGTCGTGGGGCCTGGGGTGTCTAAGTCCTTAGATTGACAGCCCGTGTTCCTGCCTATGAATTGCGAAGCAAAATGCATAAACTCGCGTTTCTACACTAAATTCTGTGGGGATACACAGAATTTTATTTTTGTAATATCCTATTAGGGCAGGAACTCCTCCGTGTGACCTTGGTTATCTTCTTCACTGCGCGATGTCATTTCCAGCGGGCTCGATGTTTTCTTTTTTGTCATCTTAACAAACCAGTGTTTTATTACAAATCGAAATAAAACAAGCAGCTGAATTAACTTTATTCTCAATATCTCTGACCATTTACGGAAGGCAGAGAGAATTTTTACTCGTCGAAGTATTTAAGGCACAAGTGATGTCTACTGTGACGACTTTTAAATCAACAACGTTTTTCATTGAATTATAATAAGTGGAACCTCAGTGCCTTATCGATATTTTTAAAAAAATAATTTTAACATGGATTTCATTACCCGTCAGAATTGCACGCAATATCTCAAAAAGTTAGAAAAACTGAAACATTTTAGACAACTTAACTGGGTTCACCCTAAGTTTCGTCAAATTTCAAGAAAATTCGACCGAATATTGGCTAAGAAATCAACTTTGAAGTCCAGAATACTAGCGAAAACAGAAGACGACAAAACTCGACCTATCAATTTTTAAATCAACAACGTTTTTCATTGAAATTTAATGGGAGGTGGAAACTCGGTGCACAATCGATATCTTTTAAAAAATAATTTTAAAATCGATTTCATTACCCGTCAGAATTGCACGCAATATCTCAAAAAGTTAGAAAAACTAAAACAATTGAGACAACTTAACTGGGTTCACCCCAAGTTTCGTCAAATTTCAAGAAAACTCGACCGAATATTGGCTGAGAATTAACTCTGAAGATCAAAACTAGAGGAAACAGGTGACGACAATACTCAATCTATCAATTTTCGTAAAATGTTTTCGGAATCTCCGGCGTCAGAACTCAAACCTAAACTTTAGAGCATAGCTGATTGAAGGGCAGATAACTATATCCAAAAGATAAGTCGCTATCCACGCAAACCTGAGAACAACCGCAAGAACAAAACAATTTTCAACGTGTGAATTTCGGAATGTCTCGATTTTTACATGATAAAAGATGCCATTGGCAGGTGGATTTTGTGTCTCAAATGAGTTTCCCTTGGCAAAAGTTCATTTACCTTGCTTCAAATTCATTTTCAGACATAATCACCATTCTAAACAACAACAACAAAAAAAGGAAGACAGGAAAAAGGGAGGAAATAACTCAAATCACACACATCAATGGAATCCAAATGTTCTCGTTGAACTGCAAGGTAAATCTTCCGTCAGACGCCGGTTCCGTCGACTTAGGCTCTTAATCTCCCTTCAGACGCTGTGTCCGTTGACTTAGGCTTTTAATCTCCCTCTTGCAGGCGATGTCTCCGTCTAGTTAGGCTGTTACGCTTACGGCAGACGCTGAGACCGTTGAAGATAATTAATCAAACAGAACTGGTTAAAGTGCGATCATCGGAATGACTCCTCCAAAACAACGATGATGACAATGAGTGTAAGACTTATATGGCTAGCTCTGTATCACTTTTACACGACAATCAGTGGAGGTATTGATAAATGGTTTATGTCAAAGTCAACTGCTTGTATAGGGGATACATTTGGGCAATGGTTTTCAGTACTGCATAGTCTATATAAGGCAAAAAGTGACAGATCGCAATTTTTGCTGGAGTCGACATTAAGGTAATGGAATCCAAACGGCGATTCTTGCAGAATTGCATATCTTTCACCGCTGTCGTTCACAAATGCATAACATGGAAATAGCGTAACTTAAAAAGGGCTACATTTGATAGAACCTTAGCCATGAAGTAGAGAGAGAATACAACCGAAGGAAAGTAGGAAACGAAACATTGTGTCCATTAATAAGGGCCCGAAGTAATCGATATTAGAATGAAACACGAATTTCCCTCGCTGCATGGTTTTAATTGACTTGGTCCTCCTAATTCAGCTCTAATGAAAGTTGAGAAGTCAGTTTTTGCATTCATCTTTTTATTCATAAAAGCGAAAATGTCCGTTTATTTGAAGGAGTTGATCACGGCGAGCCCTCCTCAGAGCCGCCTTTATGTCACTACGGGGTTAATCATAACCATTACAATTTCCTCAAATGTGAATGGTGCTTTAGCTGATCTATTTTTCACTTATCATGTACAGTTGTGAACAGACAGTTGGCCGTTATCGGACACCTGTAATGGGAGAGTTGAAGCATACAATTATACTAAGTCCACTCGACTCGATCCACCAATCACAGAATTGATCAAAATAACCATAGCAACAACCACTTATTCTGAAAGAAAAACTGGGGAATTTCAAAAATAGAGGAATGTTATTTTAGACATTGTCTCTGCCGGAGATGTTTGTCCTAGGTGTATTTCTTCTCGGAAATTGTAACGGTTATGATTAATTGGTAACAGGACTCCGTGACGTCCAACTCTATCTGTAATCATACTCGTGATTGACAAATCGATTTTGTTAATCACTCGTCTGACTACTCGGTCCTATTACCATTATAATAAAAAAAGTCATACGACAAACAAATGGAACTTCCATAGCAAAGAACATTTTCATCTTATGGCACTGAAAGTGCTTCATTTTCTGACGGCGCCAGACTTTCTCCTTCAGGCAACCATCCTGGGGAGACCCCTGCCGGAAGGCGCAAAATTTGATGAGTTTGCTTGACAAAATTGTTAAAAAAAGGCATAGAAAGAATGCAAAATAAACAACGGATCTTGGTAAATTGCAAAAACTTCCAAATTTAGGAAAACATTTGCAATTTGAAAGTGTATTTTGTTTTTGCAAGGGGCATGAGAGAAATACAGAAATTTAAAACGCTCGTGTGGATCGACATTTGCTCTCATGAAACCGTCTATCTGCTCCGACGTAAAGCAAACGCTTGAAAAAATCAGTTCTGAAATCCTTTACGGTGGCAAATTTACATATTCAACCCAATCGATAAAACCTAATTATCTTGTAACATAATAATGCAGCTTTTTCTCGTATTTTTTGCGTTGTCATCCTACTCTCCCAAAAAAAGTATGGGCGCTGAAAACGTACACTGACGACTTGTTAGTTCTTTCAGCTTGTTAGTTAAAAACAAACAAACAAAACAAAACGAAAGTAAATCTAGGAAAAGTACTTTCTACCCTACAATTGGATGTTTATATTCTCTACGACGTTCTCTGTCGAATAATTGAAAAAAAAAAAAGGAAACCGGTAACCTGATGACAAGGTCTGAGAACTTGTTGTCATCCTCAGAATACTTTGTAAGATATGCCTTATTCATCGAACTCATTTCATTTCTTAGCAGCTGAAGAAGAATGCAGACTACTGCTTTATTTTAAACCAATGAAAGACAGAACTCTCCTCAATCATGTTATGACAAGAATAGATATACCAAGAGAAGATGTCTGCAGCATCCGATGTTTCCTGGAACCCAATTGCTTGTCTTATAATGTTGGACCGCTGGAACATAGCAACCGATACCTGTGTGAGATCAGCGACTCCACTGACGTACGACATCCGGGAGACTTGGTTCAGCGGTTAGGATTTACCTACCAGGGAATAAAGGTCTGTTCATCCGTGATCCACTCCCTAGGGAGTCGACTGAAATGTGTCTTACATTCAAATCTCTTTTTTGTGCTTTTTACTGGGAAGAGAAATACAAAGTAGGTGTCTCAATGTAGCTAGCCGCCACTAGAGGTGTAAGCACAAGGAGGCCAATAAGGTGAGCTCGTCCACCTGAGCAGTGTTTTTAAATGAAACTTTAGGTGTATTACCTTTACTCAAAACTAAAATGTGCCACTTGAATAGACTCATTGTCAAATTATTACCAAGAGATTTATCATTTTACGACAAACCCCACCAAAAATGATGCATAAATCTGGAATCAATGGACTACCACTCGTTCATTCTAAGTAGAACCAGTTTCGTTACTAGGGAACTTAAGCAAACCACGATGGTGGCGGCAACAAGGACATGGAAAACAAAAGATCTTATTGGCAGAACAATAGCTCAGCACGTGCGTTTTAAAACTTTGTACATTTCTTAGCCGTCCTATGCAAAACAACAACGTGAAATCACCTCAATTTGTCAAGTCTGCGAACCGAAACCGCGTCGGCAAATGATTTTAATTTCCACTTGGAACTCACCGCTCCTTTTGTACGTTATGCTGAAGTTGAGGTGTGGCACAGTATGCAGCCATTTTTGAAATTCTAATTAAAGGCAGAAATTCAACTTTTAATCGAAGTCTTCCGTGGCGTTGCCGTCCTGACTGCTTAAGATTTTGCGTTGGACCTAAGTCTATGGTATCTTTGACCAAAAAGACGATCCTTAGAGGATTTGGGTAGTGTCACATTAAAATATATCTTGTCTCCCTCACGAGGCTCTGTAAGATTCTTATGATCCTCCCTCCCCCCCTCATTTTCAGTCAATTTGCTGTAGACCACCTATTAGACTCTGCTGGTGACAACGCGACAACTACTTCCCCCCTCCTTACCCCAGGTAATAGATAATGACAAGTCCGTTAAAAAAGAGTGTTCCGAAGGGTTTTCTGAGAAAATTATTGTCCTTGTATCATCAGAGTCCATGTAACACCGATGTTTGCGGGAAGAATATGACTTGTCAAGCGGGTTACACCAGCAAAGGATACCGTTGTATGAAAAACATCACGTCGACGCCATTAAACTTCAGCAACCTAGTTGCCAAAGAACGTACGTATCTTCTCTCCTTAAGTTATTTCTCTTATGAAAAAACACGACGACAACGACAACACTTTCAATAAAAACACAATATTTGCTAATCGAGACGGATGGAAACTCTCATCGCGATTGTTCGTTTCTTCCAAATCCAAAGCGTCTAAGTTTTATTCCATGAGCGCATAATTATGTCGCGAGATGCTTTAAACTGCTTGACTGTTAATGGCGATCAAATAAATTTGATTTGGAAAAAGCGTAAATCTTCATCATTCACTAACTTGGCTTCATCATCTTATCATGTTATATCTAAAAGTTATATATTCCGTTTCTTTCTGCTCATCATGACGAGGTTAAATTATACGGGACGCAGCCTCTGTGGTTTTTTCTCTACTGTACTGATTCGATATAAATTGTTTTTCCTCAGACTTTCATAATTGTTCTGATGCACCCAACATAACGGGAGTTTACAATACATCTCACCATGACTGGGGCCTTTTTCCTGTGTACTGTGATCAGACATATGATGGAGGAGGTATCTCATATTCTGTATGTTCGGTACAAGTTACATAATGAAACGATAAAAGAAAAATTAGTCTCAATCTGTTCCCAGTCTTCGTTCAGTATTAACTTTTCCCTTGATCAGTGCAAATATAATTGGAGAGCGTAGTCAGTGCCTTGTGGAGACTCCGTCAGTAGCTTTTCGCTCGAGCGTATTCATGGAATTGCTAGATCATCCATTCGTTTCACATGGACGATTGCATTTTTTCCACTGGTGTACGTGACTCCCTTTTCCTCTTTTTCCATCACCTGTTATTTCCATTCGCATTCTAAGCTGTCCAACACCGCTGTTGGATCAGATCAGTGATTCTTTTTCATTTTGTTCCGTAAGCGTTAGGTGATGGGAGATTTTTCGAGATGAATTAATTCTTAAAATTTTTGTCTAATAAAATTTTCACCTCACAGGCTGGACGATGGTATTCAAAGTTGTTAGTGGCCTCTCTCCATTGGACGTCGGTGGAATTTGGTCGTCACCCTCCTTATATCATGAAAATCTCAACGAAACCTTCGACTTAACGTCAGCTTATCCAACTCATTACAAGAATCGTATTGTACTGAACTGGAAAAATTTTAACCCTAAAGAGGTGAGGAAGGTTAATGAATGAATTACCCCAAACATTCAGTATTACACATGCCCAAGTAAAAGCATAAGCTTCATTACCTGCAAATGACGCTTGGTACTGAAAGAGCCTCTGCAATCATTTGGGATTTAAGGCGCATGAAAGACACTGCCAATTGAAATCCTTGATAGATATTTGATTCATGTCAAAGCTGCCACAAATTCATATTTTACCCCGTTGAAAAGTAGTTCACCTTCTCAAATGTTCATGTTGATACGGAACTTGTGCCGGGGACAGTTTGGGAAACGCTTAGATCTACCATACAGTCAAGCAAGGCACCAAGGGTGAGCTTTTCGGATTACTAAAATACACTGTAAACATTTCTCGTGTATTTAAACCCAGTGTACACTGCTTAATACTTCCTTTACTTTTTGTTACTTCTTCGTGTAATCTTCTAGTCTACTAAAAGGCTACAATCTTGCTACGAAAGGGCGACATGAGAGGGGCCGTCACTTGGTATCATTCCTTGACAATGAGGGCAAATTTAATACACTTATATATTATAGTTATATTTTATTACATCTGGGTAAGAATACTGTTGAGCGCAGTAGCTAATGGAGTAGTCAAAGGCATGCAGGAACTCAAGCCACCAGGAGATCGTTCAGCAGTCAGGGAACTAATGAAAATTGTGGACTTGTGAACTTTTTCAGAATTTGAAAGTAGCAAATGGATTTGAAACGAGTAATTACTTGAGTGATTAGTATGTTGACTATGATGCGAACTGTCACTAAGGATACAGTATGAAGATTCTATAACCTGGAAAATCTACTCATGTTTTGTGATATCGTAATGTTAAAGTTAACAAAAATTGTTTCTTTACAAAGGGTTAATTTCAGTCGATTTTAACCTCCATGCACCTCAGGTTCGCGTCGTTATATACAAGGACAGTCAACAAGTCACCTCCCTCAAGTTCAATGCCACTGGTACAGACAACTTGAATTGGTTTTCACATGAAAACCTAATTTACTCGCCATGGATTGATCTCAAGATGTTCTCAACCGTAAATTTTGGCCTTCTGGGTCCCATAGTTTCCAATCGCTTCTTTGAGATAACTGGCCCTTACACTGGTTGTCAAACTGATATCGGTTGGTTGGTAGTTACTAGTCACCCAGTATGTCCTTGGGACAGACGATCACCTCAGCCTAGTATCCAATACAGCAAGCAGCGCGTGGCGTCGCGTATGGAAAGTTACGGTAATTTTGATATTGAAATATTTTCGGCATTGTATTCTGTTGATAGGGTACCAATAACTAACAAAAAATTCTGTTGTTCAGGTATTACTTCACCTCATGCTATTCGAGACACCAGATTTAGTCGCCTGAGCAGTTTTTTTCTTCCTAACGTAGTCAAAGACGTCAAAAAGATGAACGAACATCTTCAAAAAACGACAGTAGTGATCGTTTCAAAATATCTTAAATGGGGCTTGACCCCTTCCCTTCCCTCCCCTACCCCCCAGACCATTCTCTTAAATCATCAAAGGGTCACGGAAAAACGGTCGAGCAAAACACGAAACTCATGATCACGTCTTCTACTAGTTCGCATTTTCTTCCCATTTCCCGAAAATTAGTCTTTACGTATGGAAAGGTCTTGTATGAACAATCCACATTTACTACCTGGTACGTTGTTACTGTACCTGTTTGTTCTGTTTGTTTTGTTTGTTTTTTAGCATTCACCAACGTACAGACGTACATCCCTTTCATTGACTTTTCATATGCGAAATTCTCCCTTCAGAATGAATATTATTCTAACAAGAGAATCCTTAAGCCTTTGAAAAAAAAAGTCTCTATTATGATTCCATCTCACAGGAAATGTTGGGATTGCAGACGTCCTCGCCGTGTTTGTTCGCTAACAACAAATCATTTGAAAGGCTCAGCGGAACCTTTTCTGAAATAACGTCTTTATCGTTGTAGAAAATATTCCTGTGTTGGCAATAACTTTGTCTTTGGGGATCATGATCTCTTGATTATATCTATAATTAAAATATTTAGGTTACAGTTTTTACAGTAGATAGTTTAAACCTAAATGTTACAATTGAAGTTTTCGAGACGTCAGTCATTACTGCCCTCAACAGTTTTGTTCAGGGCTACTCTCACCCGAACGATCACAACATAAGATCACAGGTCGCAGTTTGAGCAAAACGCTTTTGAACTCAAAGAAAGCTTACTCCTTGAAATACGATTTTATTGAACTTTTATTCTTTGCAAAACCGCTGTATCCTTTAAACAGTAAAGCGGGTTTATAAGCAATGAATTACAGCCCTTGTATCAGATTTAATTCAAAACGAATCAGCTGTTAATCAAGTCTATGACTCAAAGCATTAATCTGTCACCAGCTACATTTCTGTTCGGTACGAGCTCTCTAAACGTGACATAACATATCAAATAACCACTCATACAAACCCGAGTTGCTTCTTTACAGTCTTAATAGTTATTTCTTGATTCTTTAAATCTGACGGATGAACGTCCATACGAAATTAGGAGTACAAATGTACTTAGAAGGAGTTCATAATTTTGTTATAATTCATAATCATGTTATAATTTTGACCGAACTGTTATATTAAGAGGAAGGGTGAAGCCTCGTTATCAGCATATGCATATTCTCTATACTGCTCTCAATGTATTTCCTGTGGTACTTAAAATGAGAATTTATTGAGATTTTATTAATTGCATTGATTTCCTTTTTTTTCTCATTGCCTTAATGTGATACTCTAAGGAGAAATTAGATGCTTAGGTTGAAAGGTAGGTCGGTCGCTCGGTCAGTTTCAAGGTCTAACAATCAATCAATCAATTAGTCAAGTTTTTTCTTAATTTAATTAGAATACGTTTCTTTGCTTTGTTTATTACTTGACTGGCATCTCTGGTCTTCAACGTATGTACACAATCATCACCTCAGCAACTCCAACATCAGCTTGAAAAAAAAAAGTTAAAATAAACATTGATAAGCAATACGTAGTAAATTATTTGTTTAGATCTCAATAAACAAACCATCATCGTAATAACTATCCATTTTTAAAGATGAATAGTGTACAAAAACATAAAAAAATCACAAATCAGATTTAGTTTGCTCTTGCCTTGTTAACATTTGCGAAGTTTTGTTATAGTTGACTCCCCACATCATTGTACAACTTTCTCTTAAGTTTAAACTTGGATCTTGTCCTTGTAATAAACAATTATGATTAATTACCTTAACCCCAGAGTAACTGTGTGTAAAAACGTTCTTTAAAAATATCACTTTTTAATACGTTCTTTATTGAAGAAGAGGATTTTGTCGAATAATCCCAAGAAAATGTCGATTGAATTATTCGACAAATATATCATAATATCTGGAGAGGAAATTTGCTTCAGGTATTGTTATATCTCCATGGCCATTAATTTTAAAATTGAAAGAATATCTACGAAACCATTGGACAGGGTTTTTCAGGGCACATAATCATCACTAACAAACAAACAAACAAACAGTTACAGGGGTATTACAGGATTTTCAGAGGCAATTTCTACCTTGATTATCATTCCATGTGATATTGTGAGTTTTCTTGCTGTATAATATTCCTGGGACAACACCTTGTCTTCTTTCCCAGCCACAGTAAGGTCCAGTAATCACAAGCCATCCAGAGTCTAGCTCACATCCCCCGTAGCTGGCAGTAATTTCAAAGCTGCGCACCTTATAGTGGCCATTGATGTGAAAGGGAAATATGTTTTTGCGTTCCTAAGATCAATCCATGGTGATTGAATAAGATTTTTTTGTGAAAACCAGTTCAAGTGTGTTGTCCCTTTTGCACTGAATATGATAGACACGACTTCGGTCCCATTTGTGTAAAGTGCTACACGAGCCTACAGTGACATAAAAAATATATCTTTAACCCTTTTACTCCCAAGATCTAATTAGTGATTCTCTTTGCTATCTGCCATACAATTCTTTCTTATGATGTTAGTTCAGAGAATTTAGTATTGGATCAACTAATAATCCCATAATTGATATTCTCTATTCTCATCACCTACCTGCTTGATATTGTATTGATGTTGTAAGGAGAAATTCTGTCTTGGTCACTTGTGGGGTTGAAGGGTTAAATGAATAAAGGGGGTAAAGTTTCTGTACAAACCGTGGTGCTGCGTCGGTGCGAGAGTATAACAAGGTAATTTGGTAATATCAACCGAGTTGATGACGTGAAGTGGCCACCGTTAAGAGTTTCAAAGCTGACGTTTCGAGCGTTAAAGATAACAATTCCTGATAGATTTGAGTATTCTCATCACCAGTTTGCTAGATAATGTATGGATATTATGGGGAGAAGTTTCATGTTAATCACTTCAAGGGTTAAGGGAGCCTAGCCTAGCCATTCCCACATTTCACAGGTCTCAAGACAAAAGTAGTCAAATAGTACCCTGTGTTACTTCGATGCTCATTACAAACCGAGAAACGCGTTGCCTTTTAGCCAAGAATGCAACGTGTAATTACGCAGAGTGTAACATCTATAACCATTTTAGAAACTTAAAATTTCCGGGCAACAACTTTAGAAGGGAACAAACACTTTCTTCATGCAAGACTTAAAGTTTGAGTTCGAGCCTCGGCTTGGGTCATTTCGCCGGGCTCTTTGTCAAGATAATCAACTCTCGCAGGGTAGCAGAAACCTGTCACGATCACGAAACGAAATTCTGGGTTTAGTTAACCACAAGTATAAAATGTCTCCACATGTGCAGGAATTGAGACGATGTTAAAAAGTGTCTTAAGAGGCGGCCCAACACAGATGTAGTTAATTCAGGCTAAAAAAACCACAAAAACCTGTAGGCTACGATATTTAACCCTTTTACACCCTAACATCAGTATGCATATTCTCCATAAAGTTCTCTCTACATTTCCAAAGGTGCTAACGAGGAGAATTTGTTTAAAAATCAAGAGCTTCTTTAGTTGATGATCATTTCTTTTATTCTCATGACCTTAATGTGCCATTGTGGAGTGATTTTCTATGGAGAAATTAGATACTAGTCACTCTCAGGGGTTAAAGGGTTCAAACCGTGAAGGTGTATAACAGCTTTGGTAAAGCACCAAACAAAACTAAATCAACGGAATACCCGAAATCAAATATCCCCTTATGTTTTAATAAGTCTTAAAGTTTCCTTTTCTTTACTTTACTTCCTTTTGCAGATTGCTGTTGAGCGGGAAATTAGCGCGCAGCCGGTCATACATCATCTATCTGCGCATGCCCCACACTTGACCAACCGCTGTGTTGAGTTTTCTACACTTAACTCATACCCTATTTAGGAAGATGTAACCCATTAGGTCAGCACAGCGTGTGAAGCGGTATTTACCTCTTTAGGACTGAACATTTGCCAACTTTGTACAATACGGTTTTTGTAGTTTCCTCGGTAGGATGAAGTGGTATCTAGGGCAGCGGTAACATTTTCTGAAAATGTGTCGGATGAATTCCAGAAATCCCCAGAAGATAATGAAGAATTTATTCCACCAATAGCTTTGAATATCATCATCCAACCTTGATTAAAGAACCAAAAAAAGTGGTTTTTAGAAATTGTAAGCTTCTTGCAATCCAAATTTTCCAATTTTGAATTATCTCCATGAAACAGCGATTTAAACGCGATTTTTAGTTTATTTTCTAACCGCTCTTGACTCGCGTTAATTTGTTCCAGCTTACCCTTTAGTGGTCTTAAAATTTATGTAAAAGTAAAAACATGAAATTTTTACATTTAGAAACAGTTTCAAACTGAAACAGTCCTAAATACTAAAACCTGCCTACTTCATAACATTCTCTTGTTTTTTTCCGCCTCAATAACTGGATGTTACATTGTGACTATTCTCTTTTGACACTAAAGTTTGCTGCCGAGTGACGCAAAGGACGGAAAGAACAGGATGAAGTCTATGTCGGGCAATTTTGAATAGGAATAGGAAAAAAACGGGCGCGCAGCAAACAAAGCGATTTAAGGAGTTGAACCGTGCCTAAAAACCTTGCTATAAACTTCAGATTTTTGGTGGCGAGACTGTCTCCAATGCGCTGATTTATCTTGTAATGACTGTTTAGGTATCAACATTGACTATTTGTGAGACAGTGAGAAAGGGACGGAAAATCATCCACCTAGGAACTACAGCATCTTAAATCGGGAGGTTTTCGTGACCTTCTACGAAAACCACTGAAGTATCTAATTCATGATCAGTGTGACACATACCTCCACCGTCCGTTGTCTGGTCGCAGTAGACAGGGAAAGGCCCTGATCCGTGATTGAAAATGTTGTAAATCCCAGTTTTCTTGGGAGCTTGAGAGCAGTTCTGAAGCTGAACGGCTGGAAATACTACAAAATACAAAAAAGAGAGGAATGAATCTAGCTATAGGATATTTGGTAAATTACCGGTTTTTTTGTTTGTTTGTTTGTTTTTTTTATTTTGTACCATCAGATGAACTATGCCCAGGAGTGGGGAAAAATACGTGGATAAAATTCTGTAAAGGCTGTTTTAACCATAAAATAAACTTAAGGAAAATCTGCAGATACTTTAAAGACATGCAGCGCAATGGCGAATCTTGCATCAAATTTAATAATTTAAACTTACTTTTTTCACAAAATTCTCCAGAGTAACTATTCTTACAGATGCACTCGAACATCTCCAGTTTGTGTTTGGCGACAACGCAAGCTCCTCCGTTTTGGCATGGATTGGAATAACAAGGAAACTTTAAAGGAAAAAGAAACATCACTTACAGCAGTTATTTTTAAGTCATTTAATGTTGAAATGCTGTTTAACGATAGCGAAAGATTCTTACCTTAAAAGACGAATAGTGATGCCAACTCTTGCTTTCTTTGAGTTTGTCGGGGTCGTTAAACTTGTTGGAGGACAGTAACTCACACCACTTTTTTTCTTCGGCGGCAAAGTTCACAGAAACGCAGAGCGGATGGTCAAGACATTTTAAGATGCATTCAAAGTCGTCATATGATGTAATTATGTCAATTCGGGGTACATTTAGATAATGGAACTTGTCCACTGAAAGCAGATTCTGTCTTGAATTCTGCCCATACTCGGAATCGAAATTAGTACGAGTATCTGTCGGTGAAGATAATTCTTAAAAGTTAGGATATTCTTAACTGTAATTATTTGGGGGAGAAAAGTACTGATTCCTGCAAACTAGAAACTTTGAATGGGTATACTGACGTTTTTGGGTAGATTCTTTCCTTTACCCGAGAAACTGCTGAAATTAGTATTGTTTCTATCAATAACGAAAGTTTACCATGTTTGCCATTATATTACGTGTTCACCTTACCGTGGGAAATCCAGTCTCTGTCTTTGCTTTTAAGGTTACCCCTCATTTTGGCGAGTGCCTTTAGAAAAACAAGTTACACGCGATTTTCACATGAAACCAAAATAAACTAAATAACAATGAATAGGTTATACAATGCAGAATTCGATTAAATTGTAGGCTATTTGACTTTGCTTCCTTGAAGGCGAATGAAGCCGGTTGACAGAAAAATGACCAAGCGCTATTCTAGCAAATTAATCACAGATTAATTGTGTGGAATGGTGCTCAGGTATTAAACTAAGACATTTGGAGGCCAAATTTTGCGAAATATTTCTCGTTTATTCTAAAGGAAATCAGTTTTTCTTTATACTTTGAACTCCTTTACAGCATCTTTAGTCTTTTAAGGATGCTAAAAAATTGCCTCTTGATTGCAATTGAGGCAGATGTGATGTTTAGACCAAAGAAGTCATACGTTGTGTTGAAACCCGCTTCTGAATTTCCGTGGTGAAAAAAAATATGTCAAAGTTAGTGAAAGTTTATAATGCCCAAAAAATTAGATTCCGTTAGAGATTAATCCAAAAATATAAACATCGTGGAGGCTTAACTTGTTATAATAAAGATGTTTTGTTTCGTTGATGGTAAATATCATTATAAGATGAAAACAGGATAATGTAAATTCTTTTTTTTTTTTTTTTTTTTTTTTTTTTTTTTGCAACCGTTGACTTGCTGAGTGCTTTTTCGCGTATGTGAAAATTATCTGTCGAGGAAATGTTTGACTTGGTTTAGTCTAAATAGCCGCAGGTAACCAACGGTTTTGTTTAAAGTTGGAAAATGCGCATACAGATGTTACACACCCGCGGGAATCACCTGAATTTTTACCCAAAATTGGCTTGAAAAGTTTTTCTTTTCACCCTATTTCGGAATGATGATGTTCAATAACATGTTTATGTCGGGAGAGGAACTGCTTGCATTTTCTCCTAAAAATATTACTTAGTTACGAGACATCCATCTACAGAATTGAATGTTAATTATAAAATTGTTAACATGTTCTTTTAGGCTTAAGTGAGGCAGATGTGATGTTTAGAGTAACGAAGTCATATGCCGTGTTGAAACACGCTTCTGATTTTTAATTAATAATTAGATTCCGTTAGATATTAATCTAAAAAGGTGAGAAACGAAGAGGCTTCACTTGCTATAATAAAGATGTTCTGTTTTGATTGTGGTAAATAACATTATATGATAAGATAATGATAAGTTTTTTTTTGCAACAGTTAACTCGGTAATTGCTTTTTCGTTTACGTAAACATTATTTCCTAAGGGAATTTTTGACTCGGTTTAGTTTAAATAGCTGTAGGTAACAAACGGTTCTGTTTAAAGTTGAAAAATAAGTATCCGGTGTTACTCACCGGCGGGAATTACCTGAATTTGTACCCAAAATCGGCTCGTAAAGTTTTCCTTTTCACCCTATTTCAGTATGATGATGTTCAATAACATGTTCATGTCAGGAGAGGAACTACTTGCATTTTCTCATAAATACCTCACTTAGGTTACGGAGACATCCACCAACGAAATTGAATGTTAATTAAGAAACTATTAACTTGTCCTTTTAGGCCTATATTAATTGTTTTTACAAGGCTTTCCTACGTTGCTGAGCCTTCAAGTACTGCAAAGTGGAATAATTGCCCCTTGGTAAATTCCTTTATTTGTAAGAGTTGAAATTTTGCTTGAAGTACGCCTCATAAAAATAATCTGGGTGAATGACAGATAAGAGTTCGTCATGTTTTTTTAATGAGCAAATGAGGTAGCACACTTGGGCTCACAACTTCTCTAAAAATTATTAAAATATACTATCCTCCAACTGTAAAAGATAAAACAGAAATGTCTGGATGTGCTCTTCGCTGATTTGCCTTAAGGTTTTTGCGATTTCTTACGGTGCGATTTTATCGCATCGCACTTTAATTTTCCCATCTTCAACAGTTCACGAAGCACATACAGCTGGTTATTTAAACAAAGTTTATCCTTTATTTAACAAAACCGAGTTCTAAGCCATCTTCTATTTGGCCGAACCTTTCATCTGAACTTTTATTTTTGTGAACAGTGTCAAGAGGGCCGAAAGCGAATAGTGGAAGGACATTCATTCAATTAAATCAACCCCCTTATAGAGAATCCTCGAAATCCAATGATTAGGTAAAACCGCGGTCCATTATGTCAAAGAACAAACAGCAGTAAATGCTAACGTGCTATTTCCATCAGAAAATTGAAAAGCCACCATCTGTATCTTGCAGGAAACATTGAAAACACGATAACAATGACACCATTGCTTTATTTTCTGTCAATCGCGCCTCTTTTTTTACGGTAGTAGTGAAAGATTCAATTTCTCAGTTTTCATTTGTTAAAGAACATACGTGAATAACCAACCTTGTGACCAGGCAATCTTGGTTATCATTGAACACAGCTCCAGTAACAGAAAACAGTTTTTCATAAATAAAAAAAGTTTTCATAAATGAGCAGCCTATTCTTCGTGTTTCTGAGACCATGTTTTTGGGTGTTTTATTAGATGACAATTTGACCTGGAAATCGCATATATCCTTAACAGCAAATAAATTATCCAAATCTATAGGTATTATTCATAAATCTAGGTTTTTTCTCTCTACTCACTCCCTTCGTACTTTATACAATTCTATGATCCTTCCATATTTGTATTATTGCAATTTAGCTTGGGCTGGTACCTATAAGTCAAACCTTCAAAGAATTGTAACCTTACAGAAACGTGCGTTAAGAATAGTAAGCAATTCTACATACATTGCCCATACTGGCCCTATTTTAAAGGAACTTAAACTCTTAAAATTTCATGATATCCATTCGTTTCAATTAGGTACTTTTATGTTTTCATTCAAGAACTCTACACTCCCTTCCAAATTCAATAACTTTTTTTTTTTACTGAATAGTCAAATCCACAATTATAATACTAGGAATGCTCAGTCCTTCCGTTTGCCACTGTGCAGAACGAACACCAGGAAGTTTTCAATTTACTTTCAAGGTCCAAACTTTTATAATTCGTTAAATTCTGACATAACTAGTTCTCCCTCCTCCGCTTCTTTTTTAAAAGAAAGCTTAAGGAATTTCTTCTCTCTAAGTATTAGCTTCTGTAAGGCAGTAATTCTTAACTAACTTAGTTAATATGTGTGTGCGTGTGTGTGTGTGTGTGTGTGTGCGCGGTCAAAGTTAATTACCATAAGTCCATATTGTAATTCTAATATAAGATTAGTTATTTTAAGTGAGAAAGCCTGACTTGTTATAAGCCTCGTGGTTTCTTTCAGGTTTTCTCGCCATTTATTTTCTGTCATCAATTTTCTTCATTTTTTTTTTCCATGTGTAAATGTCGTATATGGCAAATAAATATTGTATTGTATTGTATTGTAAAACAGATCCAAGTGAAAGACATGGCACAAAGTCATACAGACATGGAGTACAAACTGAATTTTTCCCACCTGTACCAAGCGTGATCTTAGCTTCATTTAACTTCATGTTTACTTTTCAACCTATAGCTGTCTAGAGTCTATGTGCCTTTTATGGTATAATTTTATTGAACAAGAAGTCTATGCGAGGAATAAATTAAATATGAGGAAAATTCAAATATTAATTTTACAGAATGCCAAAGCGCAAACTCCGTTTCCATGGCCAGTTTCGCTAAATAAAGGCTGCAAGGATGTAAGGCCATTAAGTTTCAAGGTTATTTCTCTTACTAATTTTACACCTACCCACCGCTATCGAACTTATACAAAGTTGTTTGAAATTCCCATCTTATTTAAAAACTAAAACAACAACTATAACACTGTGTTAATTAACAAATTGACAAGAATATTAATTTATTTGCGTTACGAAGCTAAGCAGATATTTTATTCCTGCAAGTTCTGAATGGTAATGTGTGTTTATCAGTGAGTGTTTCGATATGTCTTAAGTTATGTGTTAACTAATTTGAATAACGGTATATAAGTGTTGAGTAATAAGAACTAAGAGTTAGTCCGTCGGGTCTGTGAACACATCTGGAAGGGCAACTAGGAGCAACTTGATTATTAGTTTCAAGTTCTCGATAAGATGCATTAAACCTCGAACGCCATGAAAAGTAGTTCCTTAGAGAGAGCGAAACGCGCGTCAAGAGAAAGTACTGCATTAGTATCGAAAAGAATAAAGGCCATGAAGCTATCTAATAAGAGCGAGTTTCGTTGGCAAGTTACGGTCAATGAATATCTATCTGACAAGCTCGCGTCAAATTCTGATGACGAAAAGAAAATGTCTCGAGCAGAGAGAATACGGCGGATAAAGATAAGCGTCGTTGGCAGTAACAAGCCACTTCTTCTTCAAAACCAACGAGTTACAGTCAAGAACTTTGCTATGATTTTGCAGTCATTTTGCGTATAACGTTAAGGCAGAAGTTTTACTTCTCAGCATTTCATTCAGATTCATTGGCTGGCATCCTTGGTCTTCAACGTACATACACAACCATAACCTCAGCGCCTCCGACGTCGGCTTGAGAAAAGAATATAACAAAAAAACTAGCGATAAATAATACATAGTAAACTATTTATTGAGATCTCATTAAATAGATTGTTAACATAATACATAATCCATAATTAGAGATAGATGGAGAAAAGAAAAGAAATAAACAGTTAGTAAAAGTGACCTTTTCCGAGTGAAACCTGATCTAGAGCACCGGCCTTTTAATCATCGGAGAGGTTTAATTTCAGATGACTCGTGCAGTTATTACACTTCTCCTCTCAGTTTCCTACCGAGATTTTGCCCAGTAATTAAATATCACTATTACACCATATTTATAAAAGGTCGACATGGCAATCTGGCGAGTACTCTCCATTTGACACATGAGGGGACGCAAATCGTCTGTACTGTAAGTATCCCGGAGAGTCCCCTACATTTTCTTAGACTTTTAGTCTAAGAAAATGTATGGGACTTTTTGAACGCTCCAGGCAGCTTTCCTGTAAGGTGTCATAATCCTGTTGCTGCTGACATCGATGTGACAGATAATTGCTTTTGCTCTGTTTTCTTTGCCGGCTTATACTTGTCATCAAGTTTCAGTAAGACGGCTATCATTTTTCACAAGAATAATGAAGTTTTCGTAAATTGTGAGATCGGATGCAAGAGCACGTGTTCAACTATTTCCCTCTTCTTGCGGAGCTTGATATGTACTTACAGTGCAGACGATTTGCGTCCCCTCATGAGTGAGACCCTCCTCCCCCCCCCCCCCCCCCCCCCACTCCATCCCGCTTCGAAATCCTGGTCACACCCCTGAAGAGGAAAAGGAGATGGCAACGAAACCATTCCATTAGGAGGTCTGTTTAGGAAATATCTCGTTATTTCCCTGATTTGATAACAAAAACAAACAAACAAACAAACAAAAACAGTAATAAAGGTATTCCAAGATTTCTTACATCAATTTTCACCACAACAGAAGTATTTCAAGATTTTTAAAATCAATTTCTACCTTGGACATTATTCCATGTGATGTTGTGAGTTTTCTTGCTGTATAGAATTGCCGGCACGGGGTGAAATCTCTCCCATGCACAGTAAGGTCCTCCGATCATAAACCACCCAACATCATTAGGGCATCCGTTGTACTTAGCTGTAATTTCAAAGTTTCGTGAAACAGAATGGCCATTGATGAGAAAGGGATATATGTTTGTCGCACTCTTAAGATCTGTCCATGGTGATTGAAGTAGATTATTTTGTGTAAACCAGTCCACGTTAGTTGTTCCTCTGGCATTGAACTTCATAGACATAACTTCTGCTCCATTCGTGTAAAGCACTACACGAACCTAAAGTCACACAAGAAAATTATCTGTTGTTTACATATCAAATACATAAGTATGGGATAAGATAAGAATAGTTACATCGGGGAATTTAAAGAATTGTTGATCAATTCTTATTGTGTTTTTACAAACTTATTTTCAGTACCACATGAAATGGCTCTATGTAAACTCGAGAAGGCAAAGTTTTGAGCCCGAAGTTATTTTATCGGCTCGGTTCTAGTATCACTCTGTCTTTGGCACGGCAACCCTTGTTTTTCAATCGTTCTCGAAGCATTAAAAGCTCCCTCACACCCTGAGTACTTTTTAACGTAATTTCGGATTGAGCAGTTTAATTTCAGCTCAGAACTTTCTTTGAATATTTTATATCATTGTGGTTTGCATATTTTGTTGTGGTTTGACCTTGCGACCGGTCGTTGTTTCTCTTGCGAGAATTTCACAATTTTAAAATAACTCCTTTTCTAAGAACTATTCTCCTACAAGGATAAAACATAAGCACTTTCCTTATACCTATTCCCAAGACGATACACTCTTAAGGTTTGGGAAGTCAGGTAAACAAAAGAACGTAACAAATAGGGATCTCATTGCATGGCCTGTGATATTACTCCCTGAAACAAATTGTTTTGGTGTATATTCTTTTATACCATTTATATTCTACTTTATTCTATTCCTTAATTCCTTTCAAAAGAGGCAAGAGCAGTCGAGAAAAGTGCCTGCTTGGTTTGTCTTTAGGAACATGATGAACATCATTTGGAAAAGTGTTTCGTAACAAACAATTTAGCCTAACCCTCTGTGGTGTAGATATTTTCCGGACTTACCTCTTGAGGGTTAAAAATTTGCCAACTTTGAACGATACGGTTTTTGTAGTTTCCCTGGTAGGTTGAAGTGGTATCTAAGGCAGCGATAACATTTTCCGATAATGTGTCGAATGAACTCCATAACGTGTCAGCAGTCGGAGAGGAAGAATTTCCTCCAATGTATTTGAATATCATCGTCCAACCTTAAAATAGAAAAAAAATTGTCAAAAATTGTCCAGGTTAGTGAAAATTGCTTGTTCCTTTGGAAAACTCTAGAAATAGTTTTTATAATTGACTGAATGGACATGACCTAAGTCCACGGACCTTCCTGGCCAAGTGAGTTAGCCACTTCTAAATGAAATATTTTTTGGGGAAAAAAGGGGGTTAGTTTGGAGAGAAACTGTGGTGCTGCGTCGGTGGGAGAGTATAACAGGGTAATCTAATGTTGTCAACTTAGTTGAAAACGTAAATTGGCCACCGTAAAGAGTTTAAAGGCTGACGTTTGGAGCGTTAGTCCTCAGTCAGAGCGATACTGATGACCCTTACTCGAGGGTCTCAATGTGTTGATTGGTTTTACGTCTAATGGTTAAGCTTTGGCCTATTTACGGTTAACGGTTTAAATTTGCCAATTTTATACGCCTAACGGCTGAATTTTCGACCGTTTTACTCCTAACGGTTAACCCATCGAGATCCTGCTTTTTAGTTTGACGTACCACCTCCATCACTTGTCTGGTCGCAGTACACTGGGAATGAGTCTGATCCATGATTGGAAATTTCGTAGACTCCTGTTTTCTTTGGGGTTTGGGAACAGTTCTGAGGCAGAATGACTGGAAAAATAAAAGTAGAAAAGATTCCTATATGAGTCCTTGCACACGATGCAGAGATCTATAGGTCTCTCTGCTGTACTAGACTGTCCTGGCATTCTCATTTTACTAATCGGAAATGAAATGAGTGGCTTTTTTGGCAGTCTAGATGAAAATGTATTTTCATCAAATTCAAATAGTTTTTGTGTAAAGCTTTTATATATGATTTCGATAAGTTGGCACGAGTGACTCCCTCACTACAAGTCGTAACATAATAACTCTTGTTCTCTAAATCGCAATGAGTCGGTTCGGGATAACCAAAAACATACTAAATTGTGTTAGAAGTTAATCATTCCCCAAACCGCAAAACGGATTGGCCATCGAAAACCTAAGTAAAAAGGGGGTTTTTCGTTATACACAACTAACATATTAAACATAAAGTCAGTGACTTTGGAGAATTTCGGAAATTTACTTAAGCAGAAAAACAAGAATACCAAGCATAAAAAGGCAGGAATATTTGCATTACTTGATGAAAGAGCTACAAAATACCTTGGTTACAATTCTCTCCCCTGAGTCCTTGTGTACAGACACAACGGTATCCTTTTGAAGTAAACCCAGCTTGACAAGTAGAATTTTTCTGACATGGGCTGCTTCCACAAGGATTCTGCAATTAAAAAAATAGAAAGGACACAGTGCCTTTCCTTTGTTATATGCTAAGAGCACGTGTGCTTCTTGAGTGATTACTATCATTATTACTGCACTTGCTGCAGTTATTTTTAAGTCATTTAAGTTGAAAATCTTTTTTATGACAACAAAAGATTCTTACCTGAAAAGACGAATAGTGATGCGAACTCTTGCTTTCTATGAGTTTGTCGGGGTCGTTAAACTTGTTGGAGGACAGTAACGCACACCACTTTTTTCCTTCGGCGGCAAAGTTCACAGAAACGCAAAGAGGATGATCGAGACATTTCAAGATACATTCAAAGTAGTCATATGGTGTAATTACGTCAATTCGGGGTACAATTAGATAATGGAACTTGTCTACTGAAAGTAGATTCTGTCTTGAATTCTGCCCATACTCGGAATCCAAATTAGTATGAGTTTCTGTGGGTTGAAGACAATCACTATAAGAAACGTACTGATTCTTGCAAACTAGAGACTTTGAATGGGAGTAACTGACGTTTTTGGATAGATTCTTTCCTTTTACCCGAGGAAGTGATGAAATTAGTGTTGTTGTTTCTTTTCATATTACGTGTTCACGTTACTGTGGGAGATCCAGTTTCTGTCTTTGCCTTAAAGGTTACTCCGCACCTTCTCGAGTGCCCTCAGAAAAAAAAATTTACACGGTATGTTTCTCATGAAACCAAAATAAAGTAAATAACAATAAATAAATTATTAAATGCAGAACACGATAAAACTATTAGCTATTCGACTTTGCCTCCTTGAAGGCAAATGAAGCCGGTCAACAGAAAAATGACCGAGCGCCATTCCAGCGAATAAACTACCGATCAATTTAGGTTGGCGGTTAGGTATTGAATTAAGGCCAAATGTTGCGAAATGTTTTCCTTTCTGATTACAGCTGAGGCAGATGTCACGTTTTGACTAAACATCTCATACGCTGTGTTAAAAAAACGCGTTTTTTTTCTCGTGGTGAAAAATTAGAGTCCGCAAGAGATTAATCCAAAAAGATAAAAATCGGGGAGGCTTAACTTGCAATAAGAAAGATGTTCTGTTTCATTGGTGGTAAATATCATTAGAAGATGAAAACAGGAAATGTAAATATATATGTATATGTGTAATAGCCGTAGGCAGATGTTACACACTGGCGGGAATTACCTGAACTTGTACCCAAAATTGGCTTGAAAAGCTTTTCTTTTCACCCTTTATCGGAAAGATGATGTTAAATAACATGTTTATATCAGGAGAGGAACTGCTTGCATTTACTCATAAATACCTTATAGCGCTACGAGACATCCATCTGCGGAATTGAATGGTAATTTGCATTGAAAATTGTTAACATGTCCGTTTAAGCTTATCTTATTTGTTTTCAAGGCTTTTAAATTCCACAAAAAGGGAAATAATTTCCAATTTGATAAATTCCCTTATTTGTGAGAGTCGAAGTTTTGTTTGTAGTACGCCTCCTCAAACTATTCGAGGTGAAAGGCAGAGAAAAGTCCGTCATGTTTTTTTAACGAGCAAATGAGTTAGTTCACTAAGGACCCACAACTTCTCTAGACTTATTAAAATATACCATCCTCCAACTGTAAAAGGTGCTATTTCCATCAAGAAATTGAAAAGCCGCCATCTGTAGCTTGCAGCAAACATTGGAAAAACATTAACGATGACACCGTTGGTTTATTTTCTGTCAATTGCGGCTTTTTTTTTTGAAAGAATCGATTTCTCAGTTTTCATTTCGTCAAAGAACATACTTGAATAACCAACCTTGTGACCAAGCAATCTCGGGTATCGTTGAACACAGCTCCAGTAACAGAAAGTAGATCCAAGTGAAAGACATGGCACAAAGTCATACAGACGTGGGGTTGTACAAACTGAATGTTTCCCAGCTGTAAAACGCATGGGATTAGCGTCAATTAACTTCCTGTTTACTTTTCAACCAATAGCTGTTGAGAGTTCTGTCTATTTACCTTTTACGGTACAATTTCGTTGCACAAGAAGTCTATGCAAGGTATTAAATAAATATGAGGAAAATTTTAAATGTAATTTTAACAGAATAGCAAAGCGTTTAAACTCCGTTTCCATGGCCAGTTTTGCTTAATAGAGGCTGCAAGGATGAAAGGCCGTCAATTGTTATTGTTATTTCTCCCGCTAACCTCACACGTAACCACCGTCATCGAACTTATACAAAGTTGTTTGAAATTCTCATCTTATGTAAAAGAAACCAACTATAGCACTTTGTAAGTGAACAAATTGTCAAGAATATTAACATACCTGCGTTACGAAGATGAGCAGATATTTTATTCCTGCATGTTTTGAATGGCAATGTGTATTTATTAGCGAGTGTTTCGATATGACTTAAGGTATGTGTTAAGTTATTTGAATGACGGTATATAAGCGTTGAGTAATAAAAATTGAGAGTTAGTCCGTCGGGTCTGTGAACACCTGCGCACAGGCAGTTAATTTTAAGATGGACGAACGCAGCAGAATATCGTGTAGCTGTATTGGATCCATCTCCATCCATACATTATTCAAGCAATCAGATCTGCTATTTCGACGTCGATCGGCTCATTAACAGAAAAATTACATCGATCAAATCAAGGGCAGCTAGCCGCAGGTAACTAACGGTTCTGTTTGAAGTTGGAAAACGCGTATACAGATGTTACACACTTGCGGAAATTACCTGAATTTGTACACAAAATTGTCTCGAAAAGTTTTCCTTTTCACCCTATTTCGGAATGATGTCCAATAACATATTTATGTCAGGAGAGGAACTGTTTGCATTTTCTCATAATTAGCTAACTTAGGTCACGAGACAACTCCTCTAAACTTGTTAAAATATACAATCCCCCAACTGTAAAAGATTAAACAGAATAAATATTTTTAAGAGGAATACCAAAGCGTTTAAACTCCGTTTCCATGGCCAGTTTTGCTCAATAGAGGAATTCAAATTTATTTTTAAGGAATTTTTATTTGAAGTTTTATGAAATTCCCATCTTATTTAAAAACATAACACAACAACTATAACACTGTGTAAGTGAACAAATTGATAAGAATGTTAAAATATCTGCGTTAAGAAGCTGAGAAGATATTTTTCCTGCACGTTTTGAATGGCAATATGTGTTTATTAGTGAGTGTTTCGGTAGGTGTTAAGTTATTTGAATAACGGTGTACAAGTGTTGAGTAACAAAAATTGAGAGTTCGTCCGTCGGGTCTATAAACACCTCTGCACAGGCGTTAATGTTAAGATGGACGAACGTTAAGCATTTCGCTTCACGAACACAGTAGAAGATGATGTAGCCATATTGGATCCATTGCGATCCATCCATTATTCAAGCAATCACATCTGCTATTTCGACGTCGATCGGTTCATTAACAGAAAACTTAATGTGGTCGAATCTAAGCTAACCAGATTTGCTCAAAGTTTTTCTGAAAGTAACGGCGTTGCAGTTGAGCAAGCCGTAAAAAAGGCTCGTCGTGAGAAACATGCTTGCATCTGGAAGGGCAACTAACAATGACTCGATCATTAGTTTAAAGTCCTCGATAAGATGCATGACGCTTTGAACGCTCTGGAAAATAGTTCCTTAAAGAGGGCGGAACGTGCTTTAGGGGAAGGTACTGCTTTTGTATCGAAAAGGATAAAGGCCATAAAGCTATCCAATAAGAGCGAGTTTCGTTGGAGAGTTACGGTCACAAATATCTATGTGGCAAGCACGCGTCAAATTCTGATAACGAAAAGAAAATGTCTCGAGCAGAGAGGATAGCGGTTAAGGATAAGCGTCGTTGGCAGTACCGAGCTAGTTCTTTTCGGAAACCATCGAGGTCAACAGTCGAGCACTTCGATATGATTTGTAGGATCTTGCGGTCATCTTGCGTATAACGGTTAAGCAGAATTTTTGTTTCTCAACATTTCATTCATTGCTTGGCATCCTTGGTCTTCAACGTACATACACAACCATAACCTCAGCGCCTCTGACGTCGGCTTGAGAAAAGAATAAAACAAAAAATTAGCTGATAAATAATACGAAGTAAACTATTTATTGAGATATCATTAAATAAACGATTATCATAATCCATATTTAGGGAAAGATGGAGAAGAAGAAAACAAATGAAAAGTTGGCAAAAGTGAACTTTCCTGAGTGAAACCGGTTTTTGAGCACCAGTCTTGTAATCATGGGAGACGTTAAATTTCAGATGCCTTGAGCAGTTATTACGTATCTCCTCATAATTTCCTACCGAGATTTTGCCCCAGTAATTAGCAATTGCAATTAAATTCTGACACGCAGACGAAATAAAGAGAGGGAGGAGGGGGACAGGGTGTCTTAAAATGCCACTATAACCTATCATGAAAGGTCGACATGGCAATCTGGCGAGTACTCTCTATTTGACACATTGTGACATCCTTCCTCCTCCCCTCCCTCCCTTTGAAAAATCCAGGTCATTTCCCTGAAGAATAAAACGAAATGGCCGAGTTATCCAAGCTGTCGACTAGATCAGTTCAATGATTATCTCAGCAAAACGAAAACAGAATTATTATTCCATACCGTTTCATCTGATTTAATAAAAAAAACAAATGAATGGCAACGAAACTATTCCATGAGGTCTGTTTAGGAAATATCATGTTATTTCCCTGATTTAATAACAAAAACAAACAAACAAACAAACAAACAAACAAAAACAGTAACAGAGGTATTCCAAGATTTCTTACATCAATTTTTATCATAACAGAGGTATTTCAAGATTTTTAATATCAATTTCTACCTTGGACATTATTCCATGTGATTCTGTGAGTTTTCTTGCTGTACAGAATTGCCGGCACAGGGTGAAATGTCTCCCAGACACAGTAAGATTCTCCGATTATAAACCACCCAACATCATTAGGGCATCCTCCGTACTTAGCTGAGATTTCAAAGTTTCTTGTACCGTGATGGCCATTGATGCGAAAAGGTTTTAAAGTTGTCGCATTCTTAAGATCTGTCCATGGTGATTGAAGTAGATTATTTTGTGTAAACCAGTCCACGTTAGTTGTTCCTCTGGCATTGAACTTCATAGACATAACTTCTGCTCCATTCGTGTAAAGCACTACACGAACCTAAAGTCATACAATTATCTGTTGTTTACATATCAAATACATAAGTATGGGATAAGATAAGAATCGTTACATCTGGGAATTTAAAGAATTGTTGATCAATTCTTAATGTGTTTTTACAAACTTATTTTCAGTACCACATGCCATGGCTCTATGTAAACTCGAGAAGGCAAAGTTTTGAGCCCGAAGTTATTGTATCGGCTTGGTTCTAGTATCACTTTGTCTTTGGCACTGCAACCCTTGTTTTTCAATCGTCCTCGAAGCATTGAAAGCTCCCTCACACCCTGAATACTTTTTAACTTAATTTTGGATTGAGCAATTTTATTTCAGCTCAGAATTTTCTTTGAATATTTTATATCATTGTGGTTTGCATATTTTGTTGTGGTTTGACCTTGCGACCGGTCTTTGTTTCTCTTGCGAGAATTTCACAATTTTAAAACATAACTCCTTTTCTGAGAACTATTCTCCTACAAGGATAAATCATGAGCACTTTCCTTATACCTATTACCAAGAAGATACACTCTTAAGGTTTGGGAAGTAAGGTAAACAAAACAACGTAACAAAGAGAGATCTCATTGCATGGCCAGTGATATCACTCTTTGAAACAAATTGTTTTAGTTTATATTCTATATATTCCATTCTTTTCTATTCCTTAATTCTTCTCGAAAGAGGCAAGAGCAGTTCAGAAAAGAGTCTGCTTGATTTGGCTTTAGGAACATGAAGAACTGCATTTGGAAAAGTGCTTCGTGACAGACAATTTGACAAAGACAAGTTTCCATAAGGTGGAAACCTCAGACTACTACAAAAAAAATTTTTAAAAAAATCTTACTGATTTATTTTAACTGGCCATTTCTAAGGAAATAAATTAACATTTCATATGAAATTTTTAAACGAAGGTGCATTTAGCCTAACCCTCTGTGGTGTAGATATTTTCTGGACGTACCTCTTGAGGGTTAAAAGTTTGCCAACTTTGAACGATACGGTTTTTGTAGTTTCCCTGGTAGGTTGAAGTGGTATCTAAGGCAGCGATAACATTTTCCCAGTACATTTAGATAATGGAACTTGTCTACTGAAAGCAGATTCTGTCTTGAATTCTGCCCATAATTGGAATCCAAATTAGTACGAGTTTCTGTGGATTGAAGACAACGACTATAAGTTGGAATATTCTTAACCGTAATTATTTGGGGAAGAAACGTACTGATTCCTGCAAACTAGAAACTTTGAATGGGAGTAACTGACGTTTCTGGATAGATTCTTTCCTTTTACCCGAGGAAGTGATGAAATTAGTGTTCGCGTAACTGTGGGAGATCCAATTTCTGTCGTTGCCTTTAAGGTTACTCCGCACCTTGGCGAGTGCCCTCAGAAAAAAAAATTTACACGCGATTTTTCTCATGAAACCAAAATAGAGTAAATAACAATAAATGGATTATTAAATACACAACACGATAAAACTGTAAGCTATTCGACTTTGCCTCCTTTAAGGCGAATGAAGCCGGTCAGAAAAATGACCGAGCGCCATTCCAGCGAATTAATTACCGTACAATTCGCTGGAATGGCGGTTAGTTATTAAATTGAGGCCAGATGTTGCGAAATTTTCTCCTTTCATTCTCAAGGAAATCCATTTTTTCTTTATACTTTTGAACACTATCTTTAGTCTTTTGTTGCTAAAAATTGCCTCTTGATCACAATTGAAGCAGATGTCATGCTTTGACTAAAGAACTGATACGCTGTGTTAAAAAGGCGTTATGATGCCCTAAAAATTAGAATCCGTTACAGATTAATCCAAAAAGATAAAAATCGTGGAGGCTGAACTTGCAATAAGAAAGATGTTCTGTTTCATTGGTGGTAAATATCATTAGAAGATGAAAACAGGAAAATGTAAATATATATGTGTAGATATATATAATAGCCGTAGGTAACTAACGCTTCTGTTTGAAGTTGGAAAACGCATATACGTACAGATGTTACACACCGGCGGGAATCACCTGAATTTGTACCCAAAATTGGCTTGAAAAATTTTTCTTTTCACCCTATATCGGAATGATGATGTTAACTAACATGTTTATGTCAGAAGAGAAACTGCTTGCATTTTCTCATAAATACCTTACGTATTGGAAACTGTTAACATGTCCGTTTAAGCTTATCTTATTTGTTTTTACAAAGCTTTTCTACGGTGCTTAGCTTTAAGTTCCGCGAAAAGCGGAATAATTTCCACTTTTATAAATGCCTTTATTTGTGAGAGTCGAAATTTTGTTTGTAGTACGCCTCGTCAAACTATTCGAGGTGAAAGGCAGAGAAAAGTCCGTCATGTTTTTTTAATGAGCAAACGAGTTAGTACACTAAGGACCTACAACTTCTCTAAACTTATTAAAATATACCATCCTCCAACTGTAAAAGATGCTATTTCCATCAGGAAATTGAAAAGCCGCCATCTGTATCTTGCAGCAAACATTGGAAACACGATAACGATGACACCGTTGGTTTATTTTCTGTCAATCGCGCCTTTTTTTTTTTGAAAGAATCGATTTCTCAGTTTTCATTTTGTCAAAGAACATACTTGAATAACCAACCTTGTGACCAGGCAATCTCGGATATCACTGAACACAGCTCCAGTAACAGAAAACAGATCCAAGTGAAAGACATGGCACAAAGTCATACAGAAATGGAGTTGTACAGTCTGAATGTTTCCCAGCTGTACTCGGCACGAGATTAGCTTCAATTAACTTCCTGTTTACTTTTCAACCAATGGCTGTCAAGAGTTCTGTCTATTTGCCTTTTACGGTACAATTTCGTTGCACAAGAAGTCTGTGCAAGGTATTAAATAAATATGAGGAAAATTTTAAATATATTTTTAACAGAATAGCAAAGCGTTTAAACTCCGTTTCCATGGCCAGTTTTGCTTAATAGAGGCTGCAACGATGAAAGGCCGTCAATTGTTATTGTTATTTCTCCCGCTAACCTCACGCGTAACCACCGTCATCGAACTTATACAAAGTTGTTTGAAATTCTCATCTTATTTAAAAGAAACCAACTATAGCACTTTGTAAATGAACAAATTGAAGATGAGCAGATATTTTATTCCTGCATGTTCTGAATGACAATGTGTATTTATTAGCGAGTGTTTCGGTATGACTTAAGGTATGTTTTAAGTTATTTGAATAACGGTATATAAGCGTTGAGTAGTAAAAATTGAGTTAATCTGTCGGGTCTGTAAACACCTGCGCACATGCAGTTAATTTTAAGATGGACGAACTTTTAGCATCTCACTTTACGAACGCATCAGAATATCGTGTAGCTGTATTGGATCCATCTCGATCCATTCATTATTCAAGCAATCAGATCTGCTATTTCGACGTCGATCGGTTCATTAACAGCAGAATTACATTGATCAAATCTAGGGCAGCTAGCCGCAGGTAACTAACGGTTCTGTTTGAAGTTGGAAAACGCAATATACAGATGTTACACACTTGCGGAAATTACCTGAATTTGTACACAAAATTGTCTCGAAAAGTTTTCCTTTTCACCCTATTTCGGAATGATGTGCGTTAACATATTTATGTCAGGAGAGGAACTGCTCGCATTTTCTCATAATTAGCTAACTTAGGTCACGAGACATGAATGTTAATTAGGAAACCGTTAACATGTCCGTTCAGGCTTATCGTATTTGTTTTGAGGCTTTCCTATGATACTTAGCTTTTAAGTTCCGCGCAAAGCGTAATAATTGCCGCTCTGGTAGATTCCTTCATTTTTGAGAGTCGAAATTTTGTTTGTACTACGCCTCGTCAAATTATTCTGGGTGAACGGTAGACAAAAGTTTGTCATGATTTTTTAATGAGCAAATGAGTTTATACACTAAGGGCCCCCAACTCCTCTAAACTTGTTAAAATATACGATCCCCCAACTGTAAAAGATTAAACAGAATCGTCTGGATGTGGTTTGGATAAGTTTGGCCTCGAGAAAATAACCGGCCCATAATGTCAAAGGACAAGCAGCGGTAAATGCTAACGTGCTATTTCCGTCAGAAAATTGAAAGGCCGCCATCTGTCGCTTGCAGCAAACATTGAAAACACAATAACGATGACACCGTTACTTTATTTTTCTGTCAATCTTGCTTTTTCTTTTTTTTTTTTTTTTTTTTTTTTTTTTACGGCAGCAGTAAAAGAATCGATTTCTCAGTTTCATTTTGTCAAAGAACATACTTGAATAACCAGCCTTGTAACGAGGCAATCTTGGGTATCATTGAACACAGATCCACTGACAGAAAACAGATCCAAGCGAAAGACATGGCACAAAGTCATACAGACATGGGGTTGTACAAACTGAGTGTTTTCCAGCTGCTCTAAGCGTGAGATTAGCTTCAATTAACTTCCTGTTTACTTTTCAACCAATGGCTGTCGAGAGTTCTCTATATTTACCTTTTAAGGTACAATTTCGTTAAACAAGAAACCTACGCAAGGTATAAAATAAATCTGAGGAAATTTAAAATATATTTTTAACAGAATAGCAAAGCGTTTAAATTCCGTTTCCATCGCCAGTTTTGCTCAATAGAGGCGACAAGGATGAAATGCCGTCAATTGTTAGGGTTATTTCTCTTGCCAACGTATTTTTTTACAGATTACCAAAGCGTTTAAACTCCGTTTCTATGGCCAGTTTAGCTCAATAGAGGCTGCAAGGATGAAGGCCGTTAATCGTTAAGGTTATTTTTGTTTCTTTCAACGTACCCACCGTTGTCGAACTTATGCGAAGTTTTATGAAATTCCCATCTTAATTAAAAACACAACACAACAACTATAACACTGTGTAAGTGAACAAATTGATAAGAATATTAAAATATCTGCGTTACGAAGCTGAGAAGATGATTTTTTTCCAGCACGTTTTGAATGGCAATGTGTGTTTATTAGTGAGTGTTTCGGTATGTGTTAAGTTATTTAAATAACGGTATATAATTGTTGAGTAATAAAAATTGAGAGTGCGTCCGTCGGGTCTATGAACACCCCTGCACAGGCAGTTAATTTTAAGATGGACGAACTTTTAGCATCTCGCTTCACGAACACAGCAGAAGATGGTGTAACCATATTGGATACATTGCGATCCATTCATTATTCAAGCAATCAGATCTGCTATTTCGACGTCGATCGGTTCACTAACAGAAAACTTAACGTGTTCGAATCTAGGCTAACCAGATCTGCTCAAAGCTTTTCTGAAAGTAACGGCACTGCAGTTGACCAAGCCGTAAAAAAGGCTCGTCGTGAGAACCATGCTTGCATCTGGAAGGGCAACTAACAGCAACTTGATCATTAGTTTCAAGTCCTCGATGGGATGCATGACGCTTTGAACGCTCTGGAAAATAGTTCCTTAAAAAGAGCGGAACGCGCCTTAGGAGAAGGTACTGCTTTAATATCGAAAAGGATAAAAGCCATAAAGCTATCTAATAAGAGCGAGTTTCGTTGGCGATTTACGGTCAACGAATTTCTATCTAGCAAGCTCGCGTCAAGTTCTGATAACGAAAAGAAAATGTCTCGAGCAGAGAGGATAGCGGTTATTAAGTGTCGTTGGCAGTAACGAGCCAGTTCTTCTTGGAAATCATCAAGGTCAACAGTCAAGCACTTCGATATGATTTGTGGGATCTCGCGGTCATTTTGCGTATAACGGTTAAGCAGAAGTTTTACTTCTCGACATTTCATTCAGATTATTCATCGCTTGGCATCCTTGGTCTTCAACGTACATACACAACCATAACCTCAGCGCCTCCGACGTCGGCTTGAAAAAAGAATAAACCAAAAAATTAACCGATAAATAATACATAGTAAACTATTTATTGAGATCTCATTAAATAAACGATTATCATAATCCATATTTAGGGAAAGATGGAGAACAAGAAAACAAATGAAAAGTTGGAACTTTCCTGAGTGAAACCGGTTTTTGAGCACCAGACTTGTAATCATGGGAGACGTTAAATTTCAGTTGACTTGTGCAGTTATTACGTTTCTTCTCTTAATTTCCTACCGAGGATTTGCCCCAGTAATTAACAATTGCAGTTAAATTCTGACACCCAGACGAAATAAGAGAGGGGGGAGGGGGACAGGGTATCTTAAAATGTCACTATAACCTATTCATGAAAGGTCGACATGGCAATCTGGTGAGTACTCTCTATTTGACATATTGTGACATCCTTCCTCCTCCCCTCCCTCCCTTTGAAAAATCCAGGTCATGCCCCTAAAGAATAAAACGAAATGGCCGAGTTATCCGAGAAGGTGTCGACTAGATCAGTTTGACGATTATCTCAGCACAACAAACACAGAATTATTATTCCATACCGTTTTATCTGCCTGAATAAAAAGGAATAAATGAATGGAAAAGAAACCATTCATGAGGTCTGTTTAGGAAATATCTTGTTATTTCTCTGATTTGATAACAAAAATACCAGACAAACAAACAAACAGACAAAAATAGTAACAGAGGTATTTCAAGATTTCTTAAATCAATTTTTATCATAACAGAGGTCTCTCAAGATTTTAAAATAAATTTCTACCTTGGGCATTATTCCATGTGATTTTGTGAGTTTTCTTGCTGTACAGAATTGCCGGCACAGGGTAAAATCTCTCCCAGTCACAACCAGTTCCCCCGATTATAAACCACCCAACATCCTTCTGGCATCCTCCGTATTTAGCTGTAATTTCAAAGTTTCGTGCACTGGAATGGCCATTGATGTGAAAGGGATATATGTCTGCCGCATCCTTAAGATCTGTCCATGGTGATTGAAGTAGATTATTTTGTGTAAACCAGTCCACGTTAGTTGTTCCTCTGGCATTGAACTTCATAGACATAACTTCTGCTCCATTAGTGTAAAGCACTACACGAACCTAAAGTCACACACGAAAATGATCAGTTGTCTACATATCAAATACATGAGTATGGGGTAAGATAAGAGTCATTACATCGGGGAATTTAAAGAATTGTTGATCAATTTTTTATTGTCTTTTTACAAACATATTTGGAGGATGTCGATCAATCAATACCACATAACATGACTATATGTAAACTCGAGAAGGCAAAGTTTTGAGCTAGAAGTTATTCTATCGGCTTGGTTCTAGTATCACTCTGTCTTGGGCACGGCAACTTTTGTGATTCAATTGTCTTTGAAGCATTAAAAGCTCCCTAACACCCTGAGTACTTTTTAAAGTAATTTCTGATTAAGCACTTTTGTTTCTGCTCAGAATTGTCTTTGAATATATAATATCATTGTGGTTTACATATTTTGTGGTGGTTTTACCATGCGAACAGTCACAGTTTCTTTTGAGAATCAAAGAATTAAAGAACATCATTTGGAAAAGTGTTTAGTGACAGACAATTTGAAGACAAGTTTCCATAAGGTAGATACCTTAGGCTTATACAAAAAAATCCCAAAAAATTTTAACTAATTTATTTTTGCAGGCTATTTCTAAGGAAATATATTAACATTACATAAGAAATTTGTGCATGGACGAAGGTGTATTAAGCCTAACCATCTGTGATGTAGATATTTTCCGGACTTACCTCTTGAGGGTTAAAAGTTTGCCAACTCTGAACGATACGATTTTTGTAGTTTCCCTGGTAGATTGAAGTGGTATCTAAGGCAGCGATAATATTTTCTGATAATGTGTCGGATGAATTCCATAACACGTCAGCAGTCGGAGAGGAAGAATCTCCTCCAATGTATTTGAATATCATCGTCCAACCTTAAAATAAAAAAAAAGTCGGAAATAGTCTAGGTTCGTGGAAATTGCTTGTTCCTTTGGAAACTCTAGAAATTGTTTTTTCGAATTGACTGAATTGTTATGGACCTAAGTCTGGGACCTTCCTAGCCAAGTGAGTTGGCCACCTCTAAATAAATTGGAAAAAGAGGGTAAGTTTCTAAAGAAACTGTGGTGCTGCGTCGGTTGGAGAGTATAACAGGGTAGTTTAGTGTTATCAACTGGGTTGAAAACGTAAATTGGCCACCGTAAAGAGTTTAAAGGATGACGTTTCGAGCGTTAGCCCCTCGTCAGAGAGATACTCATGACCCTTACTCGAGGGTTTCAATGTGTTGATGGCTTTTACAGCTAACGGTTAGGCTTTGGCCTATTTACGGTTAACGGCTAACATATTTCCATTGTGGTCACCATAAAACACTTTGGGGTTTTTACAGTTTAAATGTTTCAATTTTATTCGCCAAACGGCTGAATCTTTTGGCCGTTTTACGCCTAACGGTTAACCCCATTGAGATTCTTGTAATAAAATATGTGTTTATTGTTCATCGTGGTGTAAGAGAGGAGATGAACTTTGTTCGTTTGTCTCACGACATAGTCACTTTTGATGTAGATCGCGACGTTTCGACTGCAGTCGAAAGTCAGGCGATGAGGTCGACTGTTTACGTGTTTATATGGAAGAATTTGAGGAACAGGCGATAACAAATGCGACTTGAAAACCGAAGATCTGGAAACGATATGTAGATGACACTTTCACACTCTTAGACCGGGACAATGTCGACGGCTTTTTTACAACATCTAAACAGTCAACAGCCTACTATTCGTTTTACCATGGAAATCGACTCGATAGACTACTACTGTCTGCAGAAAGCCCACCCACACTGTCCAGTACCTAACCTATGATTCACACCACCCTTAGTGAGTAAAGCTTGGTTTTGTTAAGTGTCTATAATACCGAGCCAAACACCTCACAATGACACCGTCAGTTATCTCTGAGGAAAAAAAACTTGTCATCAGTACTTGTTTCGAATGGTTATCTTTCTTCATTTGTACGAAGAATCGCAAAGACAACAAGGGTAACAGCCAACAAAGGCCGCGCAGGAATTTAAATCTACTGCCATTCTCCCTTACATAAAGGGTGTATCAGTAGTTCTTCGCCGCTGCCTACAACAACAAGGCATACGAACCGTATTGCAGTCGAAACACTGCGATCTACATCAAAAGTGACTCTATAGTGAGACAAAGGAACAAAGTTCATCTCCTATCGAGATCCTCTTATTTAGTTTGACGTACCACCTCCATCACTTGTTTGGTCGCAGTACACTGGGAATGAGTCTGATACATGATTGGAAATTTCGTGGACTCCTGTTTCCTTTGGGGCTTGAGAACATTTTTGAGGCAGAATGACTGAAAAGATTAAAAGTAGAAAAGATGCTTATACGAGTCCTTGCACACGATGCAGAGATCTATAGATCTCTCTGCTGTACTAGACTATCCTTGCATTCTCATTTTACAAATCGGAAATGAAATAAGTGGCTTTTTTGGCAGTCAAGATGAAAATCTGGCTTCATCAAATCCGAATACTTTTTGTGTAAAGCTATCAAATATGATTTCAATAGGTTGGCACGAATGACTCCCTCACTACAAGTCTTAACATAGTAACTCTTGTTTTCTAAATAACAATGAGACGATTTTGAAAAAAACATAAACATGCTAAATTGTGTTAGATGTTAATGATTCCTCAAGCCGCAAAACGGACTGGCCATCGAAAACTTAAGATAATTATGATATAAACAAATACTTGCTAAGAGGTGAGAAGGAGGTTTTTCGTTATACACCACTAACATATTAAAAAATGAAGTCAATGACTTTAGGGAACTTAGAAAATTTACTGAAGCAAAAAAACAAGAAAACCAAGAAGTATAAAAAGGCAGGAATATTTGCATTACTTGATGTATAAAAAGGCGGGAATATTTGCATTACTTGATGAATAAGCAACAAAATACCTTGGTCACAATTCTCTCCCCCGAGTCCTTGTGGACAGACACAACGGTATCCTTTTGAAGTAAAGCCAGCTTGACAAGTAGAATTTTTCTGACATGGGCTGCTTCCACAAGGATTCTGTGATAAAAAAAAAAAGCAAACAGTGCCTTTCCTTTTTTGTATGCTAAGAGCACGTGTGCTTCTTGAGGGATTACTATCACCATTATTATTATTATCATCGTTATAATTAAAAAAAAAAAGAGATCATCAGAGTCATTTTTTCGAAAAAGCATTAAACCTCAAGAAGATTTCACCTGGTCTCCAACATTTGGGAAATTAATTTCGCCATGGACGAGGTCTGTTGTATGCCTCACTGCGTCCCACTGATTAAAATTAATTTACCGAATTAAAGAGTTCAGGTAATCATTCCAGAACATAGCTACCTTTTCTTCCTGTTTACATTTCTGTAGTCAACCAGTCAGTCGTGTCAAGTGAAGTTTCAACAAAAAAAAAAAAAAAATTTGTTGTGTTTAGGTTGTAAGGCTTACCTCAATTCCTCGGTAGCTGTAGCCATTTCTGGTAATGAAATTCACGCTGGTGACTTGTAAATGAGTGCTGTTATTCAGGTCGCATAACGGAATATCGCCTAGTAGTGGCCCGTAGTTGTAAGACACACAGTCAGGATCTCCATAACAGATGAGTTCACAGCCTACTTCACTTTCAACTGGCAGAGATTTAATTATGTGATTAAGTAAATACTTGTCTTTGGTGACTGGGTTAAATAGAATGGCTCTGCACTCATCTGAATTTGCTGTCACAACTAAAAATAACAAAAATTTATCATTATTCGTAACTGATCAACATTAGCGATATGTGTCGATGAAAATTTATTTCATCCCTCGAGGCTCCTGGTAATTGCCCTCTATCCCCCTTAAATAACGCGAGTTCCTTTCATCTACAGCAAGTACTAGCATTTGGAAAACTTATGGTGATGCATTTGGAAACGAATAGTCATGCGAACTCTTGCTTTCTTTGAGTTTTTCCAGGGTTGTTGAACTTGTTACAGGACAATAACACACACCACTTTTTTCCTTTGGCGGCAAAGTTCACAGAAACGCAGAGAGGATCGGTCAAGACATTTTAAGATGCATTCAAAGTCATCATATAGTGTGATCATGTCAATTCGGGGTACATTTAGATAATGGAACTTGTCCACTGAAAGTAGATTCTGTCTTGAATTCTGCCTATACTCAGAATTCAAATCATTACGAGTTTCTGTGGGTTGAAGATAATTACTATAAGTTAGAATATTCTTAACTGTAATTATTGGGGAAGAAACGTATTGATTCCTGCAAACTAAAAAACTTTGAATGAGGGTTTTAGGATAGATTCCTTCCTTTTACCCGAGTGACGGATGAAAGTGGTCTTGTATCTATCAATAACAAAAGTTTACTATTCTTGCCATTGTTTCTGTCTTTGCCTTTAAGGTTACTCCGCACCTTAGCGAGTGCCTTCAGAGAAAAAAAATTACACGCGATTTTTCTCATGAAACCAAAATAGAGTAAATAACAATAAATAGATTATTAAATACACAACACGATAAAACTGTAAATGGCGAATGAAGCCGGTCAACAGAAAAATGACCGAGCGCCATTCCAGCGAATTAATTACCGATCAATTCGCTAGAATGGCGGTTAGTTATTAAATTTAGGCCAAATGTTGCGAAATTTTCTCCTTTCATTCTCAAACGCGATGTTTCGCATGAAACTAAAATAAAGTTAATCAAAATAAATAGTTTATTAAATGCGGAATACGATAAAATTGTAGGATATTCGACTTTGCTTCCGGTCAACAGAAAAATAAGCGAGTGCCATTTCAGAGAATTTATTACTGATTAATTCGCTGGAATAGCGCTCAGATATTAAATTGAGGCCTAATGTTGCGAAATATTTTTCGTTTATTTTTATGGAAATTAATTTTTCATTATACTTTGAACTTCCTCCACAGAATTTTTAGTATTTTAAGGATGCTAAAAAATTGCCTTCTAATTGCAATTGAGGCAGATATGATGTTTAGACAAAAGAAGTCATACGCTATGTCAAAAAAGGCGTTTGTTTTCTCTTGGTGAAAAAAAATATGTCAAAGTTTATAAAAGTTTATGATGCCCTAAAAATTAGATTCCGTTTAAAATTAATCTAAAAAGATAAAAATCGTGGAGGCTTAACATGTTATGGCAAAGATGTTCTTCTGTTTCGTTGGTGGTTAATTTCATATTAGGAAATGTTAATTTTTCTTCTTTTCTTTCTGACAACAGGTGACTCGGTAACTGTTTTTCGCGTATGTAAAATTTAAACAAAATTGTCTGGAATTTTTAACTCGGTTTAATTTCAATAGCCACGGGTAATTAACGGTTTTGTTTGAAGTTGGAAAACGTGTATACAGATATTGCCCACCTACGGGAATGACCTGAATTTGTACGCAAAATTGGCTCGAAAAGTTTTTCTTTTCACCCTACTTCGGAATGATAATGTTCAATAACATGTTTATGTCAGGAGAGGAACTGCTTCCATTTTCTCATAAATACCTTACTTAGGTTACGAGACATGAATGTTAATTAGGAAACTGTTAACTTATCTTATTTAGTTTTACAAGGCATTTCTACGGCGCTTAGCTTTTAAGTTCCGCGCAAAGCAGAATAATTGCCACTCTGGTAAATTCCTTTATTTGTGAGAGTCGAAATTTTGTTAGTGATACACCTCGCAAAACTATTCTGGGTGAAAGGAAGATAGAAGTTCGCCATGTTTTTTTAATGAGGAACTTCTCTTAACATATTAAAATATACTATCCTCCAACTGTAAAAGATTAAACAAAAACGTTTGGATGTGGTAAAATCGTGGTTTGGATTACTCTGTCCTTGAGTAAATAACCGGCCCATAATGTCAAAGAGCAAACAGCGGTAAATGCTAACGTGCTAGTTCCATCATGAAATTGAAAAGCCGCCATCTGTAGCTTACAGCATACGATGCAAACACAATAACGATGACACCGTTGCTTTATTTTCTGTCAATCGTGCTTTTTTTTTGTTTTTTTTGTTTTTTGAAAGAATCGATTTCCCAGTTTTCATTTTTTCAAAGAACATACTTGAATAACCAACCTTGTAACCAGGCAATCTTGGGTATCATTGAACACAGATCCAGTAACAGAAAACAGATCCAAGTGAAAGACATGGCACAAAGTCATACAGACATGGAGTTGTACAAACTGAATGTTTCCCAGCTGTACTACGCATGAATAAAGGAGTAAGTTTCTAAAGAAACTGTGGTGCTGCGCCGGTGGGAGACTATAGCAGGTAATTTAGTGTTAACAACTGAGTTGAAAACGTAAATTAGCCACCGTAAAAGGTAAAAAAGCTGTCGTTTCGAGCGTTAGTCCTTCGTCAGAGCTGTACTACGCATGAGATTAGCTTCAGTTAAATTCCTGCTAACCTTTTAACCAATAGCTGTCGAGAGTTCTGTCTATTTGCCTTTTACGGTACAATTTCGTTAAACATGAAGCCTATGCAAGGCATGAAATAAATATGAGGAAAATTTAAATATATTTTTAATAGAATACCAAGGCGTTTAAACTCCGTTTCCATGGCCAGTTTTGCTCAATAAAGGCTGTAAGGATGAAAGGCCATCAATTGTTAAGGTTATTTCTCCTGCTATTTCACACATAACCACCGTTATCGAGCTAATACAAAGTTGTTTAAAATTACCATCCTATATTCATTTGTGAGAGTCGTAATAATGTTGTTTTGGCCTTGCACAAATTACAGGCCCATAATGTCAAAGAGCAAACAGCGGTTAATGCTAACGTGCTATTTCCACGAGGAAATTGAAAAGCCGCCATCTGTAGCTTGCAGCAGACACTGAAAACACAATAACGATGATACCGTTACTTTATTTTCTGTCAATCGCGCTTTTTCTTTTTTATTTTATTTAATGGTACAGTTTTGTTAAACAATAAGTCCATACAAGGTATTAAATAAATATAAGGAAACTTTAAAAATATTTTTTAAAAGAACACCAAGGCGTTTAAACTCCGTTTAACATAACGACTATAACACTGCGTAAATGAACAAATTGACAAGAACACGAACATATCTGCTTTACAAAGCTGAGCAGATATTTTTTTCCTTCACGTTCTGAATGGCAATGTGTGTTTATTGGTGAGTGTTCCGATATGTCTTAGTTATGTGTTAAGTTATTTGAATAACGGTATATAAGTGTTGAGTAATAAAAATTGAGAGTTGGTCCGTCGGGTCTGTGAACACCGCCACACAGGCAGTTAATTTTAAGATAGACGATCTTTTAGCATCTCGCCTCACAAACGCAACAGATGATGGTGTAGCCATATTGGATCCATCGCGATCCATCCATTATTCAAGTTTGCCAAATTTTGTTTGTTCAAAGTTTTCCTGTAAATAACGGCACTGCAGTTGACCAAGCCGTGAAGAAGGCTCGTCGTGAGAACTACACCTGCGTCTGTAAGGGCGACTAACAGCAACTTGATCATTAGTTTTCAAGTCCTCGATAAGAGGCATGACGCTTCGAACGCCCTGAAAAGTAGTTCCTTAGAGAGAGCAAAACGCGCCCCAGGAGAAGGTACTACTCTAATATCGAATAATATAAAGGCCATAAAGCTATCTGATAAGAGCGAGTTTCGTTGGCAAGTAATGGTGACAATGACGAAAAGAAAATGTCTCGAGTAAAGAGGAAAGCCGTTTAGGATAGGCTTCGTTGGCAGTAACGAGCCCGTTCTTCTCGAAAACCATCAAGGTCAGCAGCAAAGCACTTCGATATGATTTGTAGGATCTTGCAGTCATTTTGCGTATAACGTTAAAACATAATTTTTACTTCTCAACATTTCATTCAGATTATTCATTGCCTGGCATCCTTGGTCTTCAACGTACGTACACAACCATAACCTCAGCAGCGCCTCCGACGTCGGCTTCAGAAAAGAATGTAATAAAAAAAAAAAAAACCTAGCGATAAATAATACATAGTAAACTAATTATTGAGATCTCATTAAATAGACTATTAAAATAATGCGTAATCCATAATTAGAGATAGATGGAGCAGAAAACATATAAGAAGTTGGCAAAAGTGACCTTTTCCGAGTGAAACCGGTTTTAGAGCACCGGCCTTTTATTCATCGGAGAGGTTAAATTTCAGATGACTCGTGCAGTTATTACAGTTCTTCTCTCAATTTCTTACCGAGATTATTCCCAGTAATTAACTATTGCAATCAAACTCTGACACCCCGATGAAATAAATAGAGGAGGGCGTCTTAAAATGTCACTATTGCACCATATTTATGAAAGGTCGATATGGCAATCTGACGAGTACTCTCTATTTGACACTGTGTAATATCCCCCCCTCCCTTTCCTTCCCTTTAAAACATCTAGGTCACGCCCCTGCAGAAGAAAAGGAAATTGCCCAGTTAACCAAGAAGGAGTCGACTAGGTCAGTTCAACGATTATCTCGGCAAAACAGAATGGTTATTCCATACCGTTTTATCACTATCATAAAAAAAGAATAAATGAATGGCAACGAAACCATTCCATGAGGTCTGTTTAGGAAATATCTTGTTATTTTCCTGATTTAAAAACAAACAAACAAACAAACAAACAAAAGCAGTAATAGAGGTATTCGAAGACTTCTTAAATCAATTTTTACCATAACAGAAGTATTTCGAGATTTTTAAAATCAATTTCTACCTTGGCTATTATTCCATGTGATTTTATGAGTTTTCTTGCTGTATAGAATTACCGGCACAGGGTGAAATCTCTCCA